TCCTATCAGTTCATTTATCTAGTGGGTTTTAATTCTCAGTGGCTCGTGTTTTCAATAACTGGGAGTCTAGCATCAGGATTTTTCCGATTTTATCAGGATTTGAGGTCAATCATGATTTAATTCCGATTTCATCAGGATTTGAGGAAAAATCGGTCGTAAAATCAGGATTTGAAAGAAGTATAGGCCGTCCGATCGGATATTTTTATGCAGCTGTTTCTGTGAACTTCCGTTCGCCTAATTTTTCTACGCAAAAAAGTAGGATTTGATCAGGATTTTGAAAAATTTTGAAATTAGGATTTAGCAGTCAAAAATCAGAAAAAATCAGGATTTCCCAAAATGAGAAAAAACTAGACACCCTGTATAAGTTTCGGAAATTTTCCACGGTTTCTCTGAAGCCTAGGACATCTTATAATCTTCTTGTTTTTTCCTGCAATAAATGGGAAAATCCTTGAGGTACGATGGTTCCCTTCTTAAATTTAAGTCACCGAATTTTTCTGTTTTGGCTCTGTGTCCTTCTTGCTGCTTTTTACGTCATGTGTTTTTTGCCTCTTTTCTCCTTTGTTTTTCTTCTTTTCTCGCTAACCGAAAAACAGGGACGCGTAGAAAACGCAAGAAATCTAGTATTGATAACATTGTATGAGCCCCAGGTGTTTTAAAATAACCACTCTCACTTTATTTTGTCAGTAAAAAGTGAACTAAATTCTTCCTTTGATTTTTAGAGCGTCCTTTTAGCTTCCACGTCCTTACACAGGATTTCACTCATCGGAAACATTTTTTCGGTTCTCCTGCATTAAAATAAATCGCAGTATTAAGGTTGCAACACCGCAGAACGAGATACGTGTTTTACTAGTTACGCCATCGATACTCACACAACAAGGCCGCTGCGATACGATACCCTTCATTTAGAAACGTAAAAAAAAATTCCTAAGTAAATATTTTCTCGGTTTCACCTCAATAATCCCAGTACCGCTGATCCTCCATCAGATGGAAAATCAGTGTATTGAACTCGTCGACGAGACTTGGTTCAGGGCAGAGTTTTCCTAATTAAGCCCCGTTATACTGATTGCAGATAATGCTTCGAATCCGCCAGCGGAAATCAGCTGATTCGCACTGCTGACGTGGTTCATTTTAAGAGAAGCTTTTTTTCATGACGCAACATTTCTGCCGACTCCTCTGACCTCGAATTTTTCGTCACACAGCCGCGCCGCGGCTGTTGGAGCTGGAATATCGGGAAACGTTAAGGAATTTTTACGGTTTTTTTTGTTATTTTGGTGTAGGAAAATTGAACAATCATTGTTTGCTGAGTGTTTACCTTATTGAATACCGGAAAATATCAGGGAATGCGGTGTCATCAGGAAAATATTAGGAAAATTGGCTACGGATCAGGGAGTTTCAAACGCGTCAAGTATTTTTCAGCCTCATTCATTTCATGGCTGGAAAAATTGACAAAGATTCAATTCATGAATCATGTTGGTTTGTAAGATAAAACGTGTGTCGATTTATTCGCGCAAAAAATCAGGAAGTTCTACTTTAAATATCGGGAAAAATCAGGCATATTTTAGGAAAATGTTCAATGAAATTATCGTAGACACCCTGGTTAGTTTGCCTTTGTTAAATTGGAGACAAATCGAGAGAGACCTGGATGTAGTCAATTGTGTCAGAGAAAATCGGAAAATTACGAGAATTTTCGTCGTTTTGGTCAGGGAAAATCGAGAAAAGTCGGGTGGCTTTTAAACTTTTGGTACGAAAAAATCTAGGAAGTTCAGAAATTTTTTTTCGTAGATCAGGGAATCACGAGAATAATAATTTTTGAGATTTAGATCAGGAGGAAACTGAGAGAAGTCAAGAAATTTACGTTATTTTACTCAGGAAAAACATGAAAAAGTCAAAGAATTTTATTCATACTTGAAAAGAAAGCAGATAAAAGCGTGGAGAATTTTTACTCCAAAATACCGCAATGTACACAAAAGCCTCTTGAGAATTTCATGGAAAAAAACCCCTTTTTTCTCGTGCTCTATGTTTCAGTTTCTCGAGTTTTCACGGCCCGTTAGAACGGTAATACCGGAAAATTATGATTTTCCGATAAAACGAAGAGCTTTACGGAATTTTTTTTCAGAATTATGTAATTTCATTTTGTTGATGGAAACCTAGAGAATTCAGGATATTTTAGTCGTTTTAATGAGGATTAACTAAATAAAGTCAAGAAATTGGTGTCATTATATTGCGGGGAAAAACTGGTTCAAAACGGAAATTTCTGTTGTTTCTCGGCGAGTAAAGACTTGGCAAAGTCAGCGGGAAAAAATTCTTTAAACTTCAGAATCAGAGGAAGCGGTTAGTTAGTGTCATGAATAAACTTTAAATGTTTCTCTTTCTTGCGATTTTCATAAGTAATTTGAATTTTCGCAATCGTCCAAACGAGGGTTTTAGAACACCTTAAATTACAGATTGGGAGAACTCAGGGCTTTAGTTTTAAAATGGACCATAGAAAATATTTTTCTCTTTTTTAACAATGTCAGTAGATCGCTAATCTTATAAATCATAGGATCATCGTAATTTCGGTTACTCCATGAACAATAAACCCAAGCTTCAAGTCTAATTTCTTTGTGACAACGGAAATTACATTGGTCACCAGGAAATTTTGGTTGTAATGCATTCATTTTCCACCTTGTAGCAACAGTTCATTTCCCTGAGTGTTGGGAAAGACGAATGGAGGAAATAGGGCAAGGGAAAGAATGCGCGTCGTTGACGGCGCAGAGATACAACTATTCGTGCTTGATGGATGTCCGTGCTGCATCCGCAAAATTGAAGGCGCGATGGCGCAAGCCGTGAGCTCGCAATGCTCCACAATGCTCCGCAATGGACACTATTAGATTTTTTCAATCCGATGTTTGATTCTTTTTTACGATGTATTTGTAGCCCCATATCTAAGGCAAGTGTTTATAGCCAGCCATGGGTCAATTTGATCCCTGCTAGGTATTCACGGGTTTAAAAAGAAAAAAAAAACATGATTTTTTTCAAAAATTTTGAGTTGCCAATTGCAAAAACATTGCCGGAAAAAAGCTGGATGTGGAAAGTAACAAGTGACAAAAGACGCAATGAATAAATGTTTAACACGCAGATAGGCACTGACTTTGAAATGAAGTCTTCAATATTTTGCGCCCTCAGGCTATAGCCTATACATGTAGCCTAATCAGAAATGCGACCCTGCTGGTCCTTGCGCGCTATTGCAATACCTACACGTGCTCTCAATCCGTTCGAAAAGAGCGCAACAGAATGAGAACAAAATAATGTATACCTAAGTAATGAAATAAATAAAAACAATTCAGCATTAACGTGTATAGAACTAGGAAAAACATTGGACTGGTCCATGTAATCGAGCCAATGCTGAAGCCGGATCTTTCTGGAAAAGTATTTCTTCATAGGCACTGTGATGCCTTTAACGGGAGAGGAAAAGGTTGACTCGGTTAGTATGAATGGTCATCAATCGATGTAATCCAACGATCGCACCGAACTCGGGAGACCGACGCGAGTCTGTCGCGGACGCCCCAAAACTTATGACGTCATGACCCCTTTAGAGGATGAGGTCATCGCCACTTAAAACTATAGAAAACACATTCTAAAATGTCCCACCGTGGAAGCAACTCATATTTTATGCAAACATCGCGCGGAAAGTATACAGCATGCCACATCTGGATGCATGATCATCGAGTGGAATTGTGAAGAAAAAGAATGGTGGTGGTGATTCGGAGGCAAATGGAGACCCCACGCTTAGATCCCGGCTATGATGGAAACTTAAATTCTGAGGGATTCATAATTGCTTTATGCGCCTATCGGAATGGAGATGTTGTAGGTGTGAAGAATTTGCGATTTGACTACTGATTCTTATGTGAAAGTTCTCGAGGAACACGATGGTGCCACTGGTTTTCTCTGAAATCAACTCCCAAGCTCAAAAAAAGCTCTCAAGTTGAGGCCAAAATGGAGGGGATATCCCACGCTATCCTGAGAGTCCACATCTACATCAAGACAAACTCTCCATGCAGAGATAGGGAGCAAATACATTAGCAGTGATGCCGTGTTTTCAGTTTTGGAGTCCCCAATTAAAGTGGCAGCCCTGTCAATGTATTTGCTCCCTATCTCTGCATGGAGAGTTTGTCTTGATGTAGAGGTGGACTCTCAGGATAGCGTGGGATATCCCCTCCATTTTGGCCTCAACTTGAGAGCTTTTTTGAGCTTTGGAGTTGATTTCAGAAAAAACCAGTAGCACCACCGTGTTTCTCGCGAACTGTTACATATGGATCAACAGTCAAATCGCAAATTCCTCACACATGCAACATCTCCATTGCGTGCCGACGCACAGTGGATCGAGTCAATTGAAGAAGTCGGATATGAAACTTTCGACTATAACTGCAAATTTTGATGTTTATTTCGTCACATTCTAAATTTTGAGGGGTGCTCCTTGTCGAAAATTTCACCAGGAACCTATGAAACCTCTTTTTGATCCGCTAAGTTTTGTTCAAATGGAGTTATAAGCGTTTAAAGTTTCCAAATTTTGTCCGACCTCTCGTATCGACTCGATCCCCTGTGCGACGGAAGGATCCTGCTACAGATTTGGTTGATCCTTTCAGTCTCTTCCCAGTTTCAGAGCGTGAAATAACGAGCTTTAAGAATCGGAAATCTTCTTGGTTTCTTCTGGAGAACAGATGAACTTAGCACTCAGAATATATGTAATCGGGAATCCTTGAGAACTTAATCAGGCATTTCCGGTAACGTTGCCAGGGAACTTTGGTAGCGTAAGCAGGAATTCCTGGTACACACCGTAAACAGGGATTCCCGGGCCAACTGATACCTAACTCGGACAACCGACAGGCTTACACTCGTCGATTGATGGTTGACTTTTTACATGATATTTTCTTTGGACCTTTTACGGCATTCTTTACTGCAATTGATTTTTCCTCCACGATCAAGTAATTCATGATTGTATTTTCTTGTGTGTTTTCCAGATGAGTATTTTGCTACCATGCAAGGATCCATCTTGTCTCGTCTTAAATATCCCAGAACTGATCACTGACGCATTTCTCGAGAACATCCACAAGGCGAACGTTGTCTACACGAGCCGCTTCAACAAGTGGTATCTCAGGACCCACTTGAAGGTAAGTTTAGCGAATTTTGTTTCAGTGCTTCTTTTCTTTTTTTCTCTCCTCAGATGGGTTTAACGCGGTTGTAATATCACAAAAGTTAAATTTTATCACCGGTTGCTGGAGCGAAGAGAAAGTTAAGTAGTCTCGATCTAGATTGAGGGCGACACTCGCAGTACGTCGTGGCCGCGGGAAGCATGCCCTTTCGTTCGTTGCAAAAATTTCGCACGAAAGGTCGGAAGGTTATACAGGGTGATCGAGGGTTAAACAGCCGAACTGCAGAAGCGTGCTCTATGGGTCGAAATAAGCTTTTTTTGTTGTATTAAGTTTTTTTCAAAAAATGCCTCCAGTCGAAGCTACGGCCCCCCAAAATTTCGGAAAGTAAATCGTTTTTCCTGAATTTTGGCAACGGTTGTGAAAAAAATCTCATGAAAATGTGTACTTCCCTGTACTTTTATGACCCGAATTAATAAGTGATCTCAAAAAATCGAAATCTCAATTTAAAGAGGGGGTTTGGGGGTGTTTCGGTCCCTGCAGTCTGCCCGTTTAACCCTGGATCACCCTGTATACGGGAAGAAAACGAACATCCAGATATTTGACAGTTGAGGAGATACAGTACTGGTTTCGACTTTTATTTTTCGAAAAATCTGAGTCGTAACTTTTAAAAGCACATTTTAGTGGACAATTCCCGAAAATTCCTGTTTGGATATCATAAAATGAAGCTGAAAGTTTCCAAACGCGAAAATTTACCTTCCGATTTAAGAAATCGAATCTCGCTCAGACGGGATACTTTCAGTTTTCTAGCTGTTAAATGAAGTAGTGCATTTTTTGATCCTTCAAAAAAACCCTCTTTTAAGGAGATGAAGTTTTCAAGGAGGAAAAAAATGCTCTGTGATGTATAGAAAAGCACATTTCAGGTGAAAATTCCCAACTTCTTCTTGGATAGTATGAATTGAAGCTGAAAGTTTCCAAACGTGACAATTGGCCGTCCATTTTTGGCTTCCACGGTTAAAACCTCTAGTGAAACTGCAATAGACATATAAGAATAAAAATGTACCCTCCCTCCCAAACACAAACCAAACTGATCAAAATTATATCGGGTAAACGGGCAGTTTTTTTGTCTTTTAACCAACAAAGGAACATTCCTAGCAAGAAAAGTTCACGAGCATGCCATAGGTTTAGTCCCATACAGGGTGAGCGAAAAGTCCCCGACCCCCCCTCTAACTTTTGAACGAATTGAGCTAAGGAAATGAAACTTTGGGAATGTTCCTATCTCAAAGGGGACCATCTTTTGAGGGGGTCAAAATTTTGGTCCCCCCCTCAGGGGGGGACAGGGGCCCCCCAACTTTTTTTTTCAAATAGCAACCCCTATCTTGTGATACCTCATTCGAAAGAGCATAAAAAACTAAGAATTTTGGCGCAAACCGCAGATCAATATCTCAATTTTTGACCGAGTCATGATAGGTCAAAGGTCAAATTTGACCGATTTTCAAAAAATCATAACTCCGGTTCAAATTATCGTAAAGAAAAAAATAAAACGGGAAAATTTACCAAATTGTGTTCGCTTTTACGTAAAAATTGCAGAAATCACTTCGATTTAATTTTAAGGGGGGGGCTCGGAACCCCAAATACGTCAATTCAAAGGTCATTCAATTTTCCCACGAAATAAGCCAATTTCCTCTGGAATTGCCTCCACATTATCTCAGTAAGGTCAAAATCAGTTCAACATTACGTTGGCAAGTCCCCAAATTTCGGGAAAAGTTAAAAAAACGAAATTTAAACGTACGTTTAAATTTCGTTTTTTTCTAAAAACTGAATTTCCTCCGGAAGCTCCTGATTTTCAGGAAAATTTTTATGTGGCGGAGGAAAGCGAATTGCATTTTTAGGTGCTTAGAATGCAATTAGAATCACCACATGAGATTCGCGTCTCATCCCCACGTCCAAAAAACCTTTCCGTATTCCTGTGTCATGTAGGACCTCCGTGGATAAAACTTTTTTTTTCAATTTTTCGGAGGGAAGTTTGATTCTAACAGTTCCTGCCTAAGTTAGAATTCGTCAAAAAGTCCAATTTGCGTTATTTTGCTAACCATATGACGTTTTGCTCTAACATGCTTAACATTGTTTTAGCATGCTAACTGAGAACTCAATTTGAAGCTAACTGAGCGATTTTCTGTGTACCGAAAAATGCATAAAAAAAAAATCATTCAAGTGGTTCAAAGGTTCTGCGAAAATATTCGCGTTCACCGAAACGGACCAAGGCCCTAATGGATGGTCGATGGTCGCAGCTTACACCTCTACCGTGTCATTGCCTGGCTCTTGCCATTTGTGAAGTTTATGCCAGTGACGCACTGGAAAAAAAACACATTGGCTCTAGAGTCCAGACTCTTGAAAACATTGACAAGAAAAAATACTCTTGATTCAATCAGATTTTTGCTGAAATCAAAAGGAAATCCGCTCAAATTAAGAGACTTGGTTCTTGATCTAAGCAAAAATCCGATCGAATCAAGAGTATTTTTTATTGTCGATGTTTTTAAGAGTTTGGATTCTAGATCCAATGTGTTTTTTTTCCAGTGCGAGGCGTGAATGATCGATTATTGATATTTCTCCTATTGGAAGCTGTGATAAATAATCGATTATTAACTTAAGGTGTCCGAAACACCGTGTTTATAGACCATTTTCCATAGGTTTTAATGGCAGATCAATCTATATATCGCAAAGCACGCCACGCCACTGATATCGATGACCTTTTTTCTCTAAAGAGATCTGATTTTGAAGAAATTTTCCGACGGAGGCGGATCCAGAAAGTTAGATCATCGTTTCTTCTCCATTCGAACCCATGTTAAACAATCGATTCTTGTCGGAACATCTGGCCTTTCCGAGAATCGATAAATGTCCATAGGTTCGAATTAAATGGAGAAAAAACAATGCTGCCACTTTTCCAAAGTAAGACAGAGAAGAAGCCCATACACTGGAAAAAAAACACATTGAATCCAGAGTCCTGACTCTTGAAAACATTGACAGGAAAAAATAATCTTGATTCAATCAGATTCAAGCTTGAATCAAAAGGAAATCCGCTCAAATGAAGAGGCTTGGTTCTTGATTTAAGCTTAAATCTGATTGAATCAAGAGTATTTTTTCTTGTCAATGTTTTCAAGAGTCTGGACTCTAGATCCAATTGTGTTTTTTTTCCCAGTGTATCTTAAGTTGAGTTTATTCTGTTCTTGGGGAATTTTCGCTATTCCTACCTCAAGACGTAATTCAGGTATCGCGAAGAATGAAGTAATGTTCAAATTTCATCCTTATTAGGCATCTAGCGTGTTTATTGTTGTGAAAAGGCAACGGATACCTTCGTCAAGCTGTACGATCGACTGCGTCCGTCTTCATATCGTGAAGTATGCAACACGGGCTCCCGCGAGTCGAATTAGTGGTATCCTCCAGGCGTCAGTGCAGCCGCGTGACGCACTACAGTGAAGACCTATAATCATAGATCCATGCAGGGTGGCAAAATTTCATGACAAATAAAATCTCGTAATTTCACGTGAAATATTTCACTGAAATTTCCGATCTTTCGTTTCTTTCTCACGTTTCATGCCACCCTGGATCCGTGTGCAGCAGTTCAAGACTGGCAACTTATATTTATAAAAGGAATCGCATGAAACTTAACCGGAAAAAAACACATTGGATCTAGAGTCCAGACTCTTGAAAACATTGACAAGAAAAAATACTCTTGATTCAATCAGATTTAAGCTTAAATCAAAAGGAAATCCGCTCCAATTAAGAGGCTGGGTTCTTGATTTAAGCTTAAATCTGATTGAATCAAGAGTATTTTTTCTTGTCGATGTTTTTAAGAGTCTGGACTCTAGATCCAATGTGTTTTTTTTTTCAATGTTGAACGGATGGTAGTATTTGTCCGACCAAAACCACCGAAGATCTCCTCAAAAGTCAGAACCAGCAGTCGGAGGGTTTTAATCGTCTCGCAGACTTATCAGTCGGTTCTTCTGAATCTAGCTCTTCCTGATTCACCGTGACTGCGAAAATATTGTCGGAAAAAAAATTCTATCCGCCTGTTTACCGTTTGACGCAATTTTTCGATTGGCAGCCGAGTTTGATAATCGATCCCTTTACGGGTTTACTATTGGCCTAGATATGGGTCTGAAGGCCGATTTTGGCACTGCGATTTTTAAGGATTTGTGGTCGAATACCGAAAAACAATCGGCCTTCAGACTCATGTTTAGGACAGTACAAGACCAAAAGAGAGACCTTAAATGACCAAAGCATGTTACTTTCCGGAAACAGCGATGACCAAAGTGTGAGACCACGTATCTCCATTTGCGACTCCCTGTCGCACTTAATTTTTTCTCCGGAAAACAAGTCAACTTAATTGTTTGACAACTTATTCCTTATTTTCTTTTCTCCAAGCAGAATACTCCGTAGAAATTTTAAGTTATATAGTTGACTTGTCTCTCATCGAAAAAATGAAAGAGAAGCGGAACTTTTGACATACTGTAATAGAGATACGTGGTTCTGCACATTGGCCATCGATATATCGACGGCGTAAGTCCGCAACCACGTATCTCGTTTGCGGTGTCTGAAAATCTCTGCCTCTTTGGTGTTTTTTTAAAGGAGAACAAACTGACATCATTCCTTGAAGTTTTTGCAGAATTTTCTTCGCACAGAGAAGAAAAATCACGGCAGTTTTAAAGAATTGCCGTTGAGTAGTTTTCCGTTTGAAAAATAAAGTATGACAGGAAGTCTGCCACGTCGCAAACCAAGATATGAGGTTGCGGACTTACTCCCTCGATATGCCCTCAATGGGCAAAAAATCACTAAGGTGATTCGGCAAGCTAAAGTGACGCGGTCTAAGTGGTATGCGATATATCGCATCGATTAGGTCAAACATCTCAGCAGCTTTTGAATTTTTAGTAAAAAAAGGACGATAGCCCCTGCGCATAAGCCTGAAGAGTCAGTCTAAACCCAAAAATCGGCAAAATTCAGAGAAATGAAAGCAGGATAGTGTTTGGAAAGAAACCTCGCACTCGAAACATAAATAGATAGTTGAATTGAATGCGAGGTTTTTTTTTCCAAACACCATTCTCCTTTCATTTCTCTGAATTTTGCCGATTTTTGGGTTTAGAATGATTCTTCAGGCTTATGCGCAGGGGCTATCGTCCTTTTTTTTTTACCAAAAATTCAAAAGCTGCCGAGATTTTTTACCTAATCGATGCGATATATAGCATGCCAGTTCAACCACGTCACTTGAGCTTGACGAATCACCTCAAGTCGAGGAAATTCAGCCGGGGTGGTCCCAAAAACTGCCCTTATCGGTTCGACACCTCCCCTCACGAAATTCCCCGCGAAACTTTTTGGCCGAACATCATCTCGTAACTCTGACTGACGCAGAGACAAGAGACCCTCCTTTAGTATCTTAGCCATGGTGGAAGCTTTTACTTTCGGGACTTCAGCATTCTACTGTTGACTTACCTACATGGTTGATGTTCAACAACGTGTTGGCAGTTTCGTTTTGCAAACAAGCCGAAAATGGCCGACGTTTGGGAAAGTTGTTTGGCTCATGACGTCATCCGAAGCTCATCATCGACCATGCAGGTAAGTCAACAGCCGAAAATAGGGTGATTACTGTTGCTCTCTAATAATTGTCCGTAAGGAATTGTTGAAACCCCGAAAGTAAAAGCTTCCACCTGTCGCTAGGAGGCCAGTGGAGGGTCTCTTGTCTCTAGACTGACGGCATCGCTTCCCGAACTCTAGTTCGTTCTCTTCGACGCTGCCGCCGCGCCGGTCTCGGTCTCGGGTCGGGAAACAAGGAGGACCGCTGCCAGCTCCCGAGTCGGTGTCGGTCCTGGATAGCCTCGCCGAGGCGGCCAAGCCGGAGCCCGACCGAGCGGAGGCTGATCATTCACCTCGGCGCCCGGTCATAGACTGCATTTTACAATCCCCTCTCTTCACGCTCTGATCTTTCTCTCGCCGCGCCGCACAGTGGATCCAGTCAATAGGAGAGCTCGGACAAAATTCGGAAACTTTAATCGCTTATAAGTAACTCCCGTTATCTAAACTTTGAAGTTCAAAAATTGGTTCCGTTGGTTTCCTCGTGAAATTTTCTTTCAGGAGCACCCCTTAATATTTAAAATGTGACGAATTAAACATCAAAATTTGCATTGAAAATTTCAGGTCCGACTTCTCTGATCGACTCGACCCACCGTGCGCCGCGCCGCGGTTCCTCATCCTCCGTCGTCGTCGGCCCAATCCGCTCCTCTCTCGTGGGTGTTCCACAATATTTTCGCGCCCCGGAAACCGCCCCCCTTTTTCTCCCGCCCCCCAGTTTCTAGCTATTCGCGGAGACGCTTCTCATAATAGAGACACGGGACGTTTTCTGGATCCAGACAGGGCTCCCGTCCAGAGGGATTGTCGGGGATCTGAGGAGCACTTCGGGAATTGAGCTCTTGCACGCGTGTGGGATTTGCAATTTGAGTACTGATTCTACAGTAAAGTTTCGCGAGAAACATAATGGTGCCACTGGTTTTCTCTGAAATCAACTGCAAAGCTCAAAAAAGCTCTCCGAGTTGAGGCCGTGAGTGCTCCCATTTCTCGGAACTTTTGGATTTTTCCTGAATTTTTTCCGGAACTTTTGGATTTTTCCTGAATTTTCTCCGGAACTCTTGGATTTTTCCTGAACTTTCTCCGGAACTTTTGAAATTCCCGAAATTTTCCGGATCTTCTGCATTTTCCGGAATTGACTCGGGAACTTTTGGAAAAATGTATCAAGAATTCCGGAACTATTGACGGTCATGTATTGGGAAGAATTGGAAGAAAACCCGGAACTTTGGACAAACATGGAATGGGAGTACTGGAGGCCCGTAATGGACGGGATATTCAAAGAGAAAATAAGAGCCCGCATTGAATAGGGAAAAAGCGTGACCGCCTTCGCCTGATCCTGGCCTGAGCCAATGGCGGATCCAGTAAATTGGCAACATTATCTTTCCTCAATTTAAACCTATGAAAATGTATCGATTCTTAGAGGGCCAGGTGCTCCGACAAGAATCGATTATTTAGCATAGGTTGAAATGGAGGAAAGCCGGTGTTTGCCAAATTGCTGGATTAGCCTCTGGCTTGAGCTTCCCGCGCTTACTTTTCAGCCAATCAGACCTCCAACGACCACATTCGAGTTCCATATAGAAAATAACAAGGGAAATCGGAACCATGTGTTTTTTTCGAATTTAGTGAATTTGTCGGCAAAAATGTGTTCACAACTTACTTCTCGGGGATCGGCGTTTCGATTGGTGTATAATACATGCCTTTTTCTCCAAAAAAAACACCAAAGCTCTTGATTTTTGAAATTTCAATTTTCTTCAATTGAGTCTGCGGGACAGTCAAAAACATAGACTGAAATAGAATAAAATTGAAATTTCAATGCATACATTTTTCATGCATTCCTACAGATCATATCAATTTGTTTAGGCACATCGATGTTGTACGATTTGTCATTGATTCAGAACTCCGTGAAAAAAGTTGAAATTTTAATATCTCTAATTTAATCACAGGTCACATTAACTCTTAATCAAGATACCTTTATATTAACCTTATCTTAATAAGATTTGTTCATTTGTGTTCCAGATTGATGACTCAAAAATATTTTCATGCCGTTTTAATCAAACCTATTTAATACAAAATCAAGGTTGCACCTCTGAGTATTTTCTGTCTGCTGTCCCATCAAATTTTTCAAGCGGCTCTGCAGTTTTCGTTTTGAAAGGTGAGCAAGTAAAGGATTAAACGTACTTCTATTTTTACAAATGTTTCATGTCGTTTCAGCTGTAGAATTAAGGACTGAAGACTTCCACTGTCGAAGCCCGAGTTGCTCATTTTCATAGAATTCTATTGGGCGTTGTAATTCAAGGGCTCTAACTTCAAAAAGTTGATGAATATTTCTGCAGAGGACTATCCTTCAATGAATCATCAATCGAAATAGAAATTACAAACCAAATAGGTAGAGCTAATGAGACCAGATACGTAAGTGAGGTCGATGGACTGAAGCCAAAAAGAAGATCAAATTTTAAGGGTGTCCACCTAGTATGAAAGGAGAAATTTAGGTGGATGAGCAAAATCCTTTTTTTCTTTTTTTACCGATGTTTTCATTATTTGTTTCATCTAAACAAAGATTTAAGAACATTGCTTGTTGTATTTTTTAAGCCTGTACTATTTACTATTATAGTTTTACCATCAAACTGCAGAAAAAGACTCAAGAGCACCTAGCGCAAGCATCACCATTAATAATTTAAGAACACATCTGTGTGTTCTCATTTGTTAAATAGTTTTTAATAAGTGGAGAGGAGAGTGCATTTTACTCTTCCTGGATCCAAAGTGGGTTAAAAAAACTCATGGTCTGTACATTCTTGAAAGGAAAATTTCGTTCAACTAGTGCTGAAAGGTCCTAATTTTGTCTATCCACCTTTGAAAATCCAATTTTTATATTTTTTCTCATTTTTTTCATAGTTTTTCTCTCTTTTTTACTGCTTATCTTTAATAATGTGCGTTTTCTCCCTTTAGGTGACTCAGGATACACTATCTATCTAGGCAAATTTCGGGATGCCCAAAAGATCCTTCTGAATCCCCTGATTCAGAGAATTTCCCAAGGAGAGGTAATTTTATTACATTTACCCGTTTTTATTCTAAAAATTATCTCGCTTCTCTATTGGATGCAAAGAGCCGTATGCAAAAACGACATTTTTCATCCCCCCTCTAAAACTTATTCAAACTTCGTCTATCAGTTACTAATACTGGAGCGCTTCTTTCCCCAAATTTTCAGACCCCCAAAAAATTTTGGGGGGGCGCTAGGGGGGGTGGAAGTCAAAACCTGTGACCCTCGATATCTTTCGAACGAAACAAGATATTGAGGCCCAGTTTGGACGAAAAATCGTCTAAAATTGCATACTTTAAGATTCTAAAGGTCAAAATCCCAAAATTAAATTTTTATTTTAACTTATGTGTTTTTTTTCAGTTTTTGAGGAAAAACAATTTCTTTTAAACAGATTAAACTGAAATTTCACATTTTTTGATTTGAACCAAAACCAGTTTTTTAAATTGTTCGTCTTTTTCCGCATCCAACGAGTGGTCGTATAAGCTGGGGAATCGAACGGTTCCAGAGTTATGATCGATTGAAGTTTCCGCTCAACGCGCGCCGACCGATTTTCGCGCGCAAAAAAGTCGAATTTGACTGTTATTAAATCAGATTTAATGTTCAAACTGAGCAAAATGCATTATTAGGGACTCTTGAGGGTCGCTGAGTCCAGAAATTACAGATACTTCCAAAAAATTCACGTTTTTAAAATTATAGCTCCGTAGCGCTATTTTAGAGGCCCACTGAGCGCCGACCGGCCGCTCAGTGGTCCTGTACGGAGCTGTAATTTTAAAAACGTGAATTTTTTGGAAGTATCTGTAATTTCTGGACTCAGCGACCCTCAAGAGTCCCTAATAATGCATTTTGCTCAGTTTGAACATTAAATCTGATTTAATAACAGTCAAATTCGACTTTTTTGCGCGCGAAAATCGGTCGGCGCGCGTTGAGCGGAAACTTTAATCGATCATAACTCCGGAACCGTTCGGTTCCCCAGCTTATACGACCACTCGTTGGATGCGGAAAAAGACGAACAATTTAAAAAACTGGTTTTGGTTCAAATCAAAAAATGTGAAATTTCAGTTTAATCTGTTTAAAAGAAATTGTTTTTTCTCAAAAACTGAAAAAAAGCACATAAGTTAAGTTAAAAATTTAATTTTGGGATTTTGACCTTTAGAATCTTAAAGTATGCAATTTTAGACGATTTTTCGTCCAAACTGGGCCTCAATATCTTGTTTCGTTCGAAAGATATCGAGGGTCACAGGTTTTGACTTCCACCCCCCCTAGCGCCCCCCCAAAATTTTTTGGGGGTCTGAAAATTTGGGGAAAGAAGCGCTCCAGTATTAGTAACTGATAGACGAAGTTTGAATAAGTTTTAGAGGGGGGGCGAAAAATGTCGTTTTTGCATACGGCTCTTTACTGTACTACGAGCATTGTAGGAACTTAGCTCCGTTTCTTTGCCTCAAGCAGAATTCTAGTGGCAGTCTCCTTGCATCAAATTTCCCTGAAATTCCACACTTGTGTCTGATTTTTCTCTTTAAATCTATTTTCTCAAGAAAGATAAGCAAAATTTGTGCCTATATTGTCATGTGGATAATGTAATCGACGTTCCATCAATATTTGTTCACAAAATTTCCATGAAAATTATAATTTTTATTACCAACAGATTTGCTAACTTTTGCTAAGTATGAAAGAAATAAATTGAAAAAACAAAAAAACACTAAGAAATGGCCTAAACTGTACGTAACAAGGTGGAGAAATGGTGCTGGGTCCACACCATTTCGTGGGGAAAACAAAGCCAAGAAATTTCACAAATTATAATTAGAGTTAAAATTGAAATTTTTTGAACTCTAATGCGTACCAGTACGAAACTGAGGGAGGAGAGTGTTCAGCTCAGGCAGTTTGTATCGGAATATTAAGTTGGAGTCATCTGCTGATGAGGTCTAAAAAGGCCCAAACCGGTATAGATCTCTCAGCGTGACTTCAACTTAATATTCCAATGCAAACTGCCTGAGCTGAACACTCTCCCCCCTCAGTTCCATACTAGCTGCTGGTACGCATTAGTGTTCAAAAAATTTAATTTTGACTCTAATTTTAATTTTTGGAATTTCTTGGCTTTGTTTTACCTGCGAAATGGTGTGGACCCAGCACCATTTTTCCACCTTGAAAGAAGTAAATATACAAATCTTCGTACATTTTTCTAGAAATTCGTTTTTATTAGAAAGAAAACAAGGAGCTCCAATAAGACTAGTGAAGGACGCACTACTCAATGATTTTTTTTCGCTCAAGTCATTTGCGCTTGGAAGAATATTAACATCTTTTTGTTGATTTCCTATCAAAGTTAGTTTGGATTGGTAAAGTAACCAAACATAATTTGTAGTAAAGCTAAGAATACCTTAATCAATTGAAGTTGCATCCAGTTGGAAGTTGTATGGATCGTTTTTACTGCTCTGGTTGGTAGGGAATTCTGATTACGTCAAATGCAGGACCATTGAAGTCATTATTTTGATTGAGAGTGAAGTCAAAGTAAAGTTTAAAATTTTGAACAGCGCATGCTATATAACATCTTCTGTGAAACACAATAGTGCCAATTATTGTGTCCAAAATACACTCCCAAGCTCCAGCAGAGGCTCAAAGTCGTAATTATTTTATGAGACAAGGTGCGAATTAAAGCATTCTCATTCATGTATCCTCTTCAAAATTTTTTGTTGAACACAATTTGGCAGAACGAAAATTACTGAAATCAACTCCCAACTAAGATATATTAATATCTTAGTTGGGAATGTTTGTAGTCTACGTTAGTCCCAGGAATTTTAAATTGGCTGCTCAGAAAAAAAAACATTAGTCTATTCAAATCAAATCGTGCTTTACAACGGTCTTGGTAGGCTTCTAATCGATCAGCGTCCCTGCTCTGCCCTGTGTTGTTAAAAGTGTTAAAAATTTGCAACAGCTGAACCAAAGCACTGAGATTGAGATTTGCATTTTTTAACACCGCAGAGACAGTTTCAGTAACGCTTAGAGGGCGATTTGACTCACCTAGACTTCCATTTTTTCATGAGCAAGAGGTCTAAATTTACCTATCAAAAAACGTTAAATACTGGGGTAAGGCTTAATTTCAATAATGTTTGTAGCTTACATTTGCACCTTGTGAGCGCTTGAGATGAAACGAAGTATGTTGTAGACTCATACAATTTTCAGGTGGCAATTTATCAGACTATCTCCCCCTTCTAGTTTCTTGGGGGGGGGGGGATGATTTTCTGATGTATTAATTCTGTAATCTGGAATTTAGTGTCAAGGGTTAACTTATTTTCGTCAGAACTAACTACTGTCAGAACTCAACTACTGTACTGAACTAACTTTGTCAGAACTTATGCTCATCCAATTTGTTGCTTCTCTGTGTCAGGAACCTGTGGTTGTACAGGTTGTAGACCCTGCCGATGTGTTTGGAAATGTAAACAGCTTTAATCCTCCAAAGGATGAAGTCACTCCAGAGTTCCTCTCTTCATTAATAAGGTAAAAACTTGCTTCAGATACATCTCTTAGTAGGTCTCCAGAGCAAAAGTACCCATGCCCAGTGACAGAATGAATTAATGCGTCTGTGGTTCAGAAAGGGTGCAATCCGGTTGACAAGTTAACCAAAACTATATCCACAACTTGTACGCACTATGTCTAATTATTTGTCCTGGGTATTGAAAGGGTTAATATTTGCTCAATCTAAAAATTAAAAAGACTGGTTTCATCAACATTTCCTACATTTGCTTAGTTAAAAAATCGAAAAATCTCAGTAACAGGGAGAAACTTTCGTGAGAAGCTGATCCTGCCAGGCAAATTTTAATGACTCAACCTTAGAGTTAAGATTCCACCCTTTAGATTATTCCTAATTTCCTACTATATGCAAAGAAACAGTTGGTAATGGTGCAATTCCTTTTCTTTCTTTTTTACAGGCGAGAGCTCAAGAGGGAACCTGAACGAATCATCATTGGAGCCCCAATTTTCGGAACGCAAAAATTACTCCTACAATTAGCTCAAGAACTACAAGTATGCAAATGATTTTCTCAAATTTTTAAAGTGGATTGCTTGTGTTTAGTTTCATGTTTGGACTTTGAGTTTTTGTAGACTGAGGTTCCTTTCCAAGAGAGACGATCATTAATAGTAAAAGAAATTTCTTGTCTCAAGATTTAAAAAAATTATTTTTTGCAAGAACCAGAGATGGAGAGATTTTGCCACTGTAAATATGTAAGGTGAGCCTGTGATTCTCAAAACCATGTAAAAACAATTATTACAAACATGCAGAACAAAATTATTCAAAATTGGTTGTTTTTTGGTTATTATTTAAAATCAAAGTTTTTCTGCAATCTTCTAAAAATTGTAGGAATTGTATCACAACAATATCAATTTTAAAAAAATGTTGCAAAAGTCGTACAAAAATAACTGACGGTCAAGATTTGCCTTTGAATTTGCTTTGAGCAGTTTGAATTTTGGTGATTTTGCCACTAGTATGCAGTATTGATGGACTGCTAATTATGCTGGGTATTATGACTCCAAAATCAAAGCAGAAGTGACAATACGATGGTCTTAGTAGTGATTGCTGTACTGTTCTTTTTGTAAATATTCTTGTATAGAGTTGTAAATTCTGCACATAACCTTGCGGAAGAGCAAAGTCAATTCCATGGGCAAACTGGCCCAGGGAGCTGGGGGCAATCATACCTTGAACCCCAGCCGAAAGGGCTCCAATCCCTTTTAGCAAAGTTTAGGGGTTGCATAGGGCTTAATATAAAACTCGCCGAGACCCTCCAGGTCTCTATCGAAGGTCTTTAGCAGGAAGGGCCTCAAATCTCGTTTCGGCAGAGCCTGCCTCCTGAAAATTTCGAAGCCAGTCCAAAACCTGGTCAACACTGTCTGGTTTGCTTTTCCAGTTGATGTTGAAGGTGCATTCAGTTCTGAGAAAATGTTCCAGATTACTTTTTCATATCATATTAAGATTCTCTGTCTATCTGTCATTAAATTTGCAAGTAAAATGTAAATGTATGATTTTTCTCCACCTAATCCAACATTATTTTTTCAGATAACTCTAAAATTGGACAGAGTGAGAGAGACAATTTTCTCTTTTCTGCAATTGAATGAGGATTTTTACAGTGCTAAGAAAAACCCAGATCATATAGAAGTAAAGGACTTGAGTAGTTTTTCATACAACTCTCAGCAGAAGTAAGTTTTTTCTCTTATACATCATCCTTTTATTCGTACCCTTAGTTCAGCTCACTTTCCAACCAAAAATGGCAATCCTTTGTCTCAGATTGTGCAAACCTCGAGTTAGGTTAGGTTGGCCTCTGGGCGCAGTTTTTGACACACCTCCTAAATCTCAATACACTCCAGCAAAAAGAGGTCGTGTAGGAGCAGGGGGGGGGGGGAGGTGGGCTCTCTCCCAAAAAAAATTTTAAATTGGGTGGGACCCTCTTTCAATACATTTACTGGCTTTGGGTCAGAATTGCCTTATTGACCGGCAAGTTTTTATCATTTTCCTGTGCATTTAAGCATGTCTGCGGGTCCTCCAAGAAGTACGAAATTGCTTAGTACTACTTAAATACCAGTAAGAAGCACTAGTGTCAAAGCAATTGGTAGAAACTGTGGTTTCTCCACATGTCGCTAGTCTCTAGAGACATGTCTCTATGTTCAAGTCTCTATGTTCTGCTTTGGTCTGTTCCATTCTGTTTTGCTCCATTCTATCCATAATCCGCAGAATTATGGTGAAAGGCCACAGAGAACCTTAATGATAGGATTCACTAGTTTAATTTGATATTTCTTCTGACAGTCCATTTTTGAGTTTTAAATAAGAAAAGAAATGCTTCTCATTGAGCTAAAAACTACTTGAAACTCAATTATTTTACAGTTATGGGTTGTTTCTTTCCCACTAAACTTGGTCTTAACAGATAAGTAGCGTTGATTTTAGTTTATTTGGCAAAAAGTGCACAGTTTCGGCCGTCGGCATCATGGTAAAGCTTTCTTTTTAGAAAATTCTAAACAAAATGAGGGGGTACTGTGCATTCTAATGAGGAAGTATTGAAATTAAGAGACATGCGATGCATGCGTAATCAAGTTCAGTGAACTGATGAATGAGCAGACAAAAAGTTAAAGGTGGACACAGGTTAAAGGAAACCTTCTCTCCTTTCATTTATATGCCTTTATATTATGCTCTACCAATATATAAGCTGTATTTAAATGTGAATCTTGTCGATAAGAATACAGTATGTTAGAATAGTTCTGATTCAAGATAGCATTGTACAATAGATCTGATTCCAAACTGTGCTGAATAGGAAAAACTAGAAAAGTGTTCCAGTATTCCCATATTTCATTTATTCCGACGTAATATTCAACGGTATACAGGACGCAATTAAAAATATTTGTGTTAGAAAGTAATTCTTGCACCAGACGTTTTGGACAAGTGTGAATCAGTGCAACGCACCATCTTTTGATTAATTCTGGACAATGAGTGAAATGGCAACTAAATTTTTCTCTCTTTTGCTAATCTTTGTAATAAATTCAATAACTTTTCTAGCAATGAATCACCTCAAATTCAGGAAACTCATATCTATACTTGGCTCATACTTTTTAGGCTCAAACAAGGATGGGGGCAGTATATGAAAGTTCTCCCGCATCAGTCGATAGTTATTTGTATGATATTGGATTTATGGAATCTAATGTAAATGGGATGTACATCTCTGGAAGAGAGGTTTACAAAATCAAAATGAAAACTGCTTGAACAGTTTTTTTTTTCTATCCTCTGACTCATCACAAGGCACTACATTTTTTTCTTAAGCAATCAAGACCAATCCACCCAGGTCAGTCATTCCCATGGACGAATTTTGAAACGTTAATGCACATTGGTGGCAGGGAATTAAATGCCATTCGTTTTCCATGAGACGAGCCAACTCCACGTCTTATCAACTGCATGGGAGTGAATTTCAAAAGATGCACAGTGACTGACCTATTTGGATTGGTCTCAATAGCAATGAAGGTTCAACAAGTAGTTGCGAAGCTGTGATGCTTTCGAGTTGGCCACTTCATCAATTTAGTTGATTCTGAGCTAATGGGACTACTTTTTGCAATAAAGAACTGCCATTGCTGGCTCATACCTAGAAGCACCCGTCTGCATGGGAAAACTGTGAGCACATGCTGTTTCTAAAATGAGCCAGTAATCATTGTTACTAATTGCAGAATGTAGTTCAATCAATCATAGTTTTCTGATAATGATCAACCCACTGTTATTTATCAAAAGTTTGCCACTCCATCTCCCAACAGCTCTAATCCAATTGGTTTTTATTTCAGGAAAGTCATCTTCAGTCCAGGCTCCAGGTTTGAAAATGCAGTGTACATCAAAATCGGATCACTACCATGTGATGAATTGACTGATGAGAAGTTGTCATATGGAAGTAACATATTTTATTTCCTACCAAATGTTCACACCGTGACTCAAGATGACTTGGGTATATTTCTTGATAAGCTCAAGCCAAGAAAAATTCTGGATCTCCCACCATTGTTAATTGAAGCGTGGAAGATTAGCAACTACAACAGAGAAGGCAACTTTGTCCCAAGAATGAGGTCTCGTCACAACTCTAGGATACTATCCAAAGGATTTCTTACGAATTACAAAACCAACCCAAAAATTCTACCCAAAGATCTTCAAGAAATTTTTAGTCACTCTCGGCGACAGAGATCGGCAGCACCTCGGTGTGACAGTGAATCTTTTCCAAATTCAGACAAGGAGCTAACGGTAGTCAGTGTCGAAGGTGACAGTGAAAAAACCGTTGAACTTGTTGAGCAGGATTCAAAACTGTTCTGGAAAAAGCCTGAAGACTTGCTGAATCAGAGTAGATTAACATCAAGTAATTTGACAAAGAATGAAGTTTCCGAGGAGCGAAGCAAGCTTATGCAGAGCTACTTGGCATCCGAATCTGAGCGACTAAAAGGATCCAAGTCCTCAGACCCTGTAACCAAAGCTGTGATAAGACCTGATAGAAAAGCCGCACCCAAGAGAGTTTTTATTCAGGTTGAGGAGCAAAAAATTACTGTGCGTAAGTATAGGATCCTCAACAGTCCTCCTTGCAGCAGAGAAAACTTAAGTTGGAAGCAAAAATTTGACTGTGATCGTAAATTAAGTTCATCCCCAGAAGAAGTAGTAGTAGATTCAGTTTCGGATGATGTTCCAACACACAACACCCATCTGAGGCTTAAGCAGCTCTTGCAAAAGTCATTACGCTCAGGAACAACACAAACACCAATTCCAATTTGCAGAGTTGTTCTCCATAAATCATCCTCGCTCCCATCCGATAATATCTGTGATACTAAGTTTGAAAGTAAGAAAAGTCTTCTGACGTATAAAAAGAAAGAGCGAAACAATAAAAGAAAAATGGGGAATATTTCTTCAAAGTTAGAGCTGAGGCAGGCTAAAGAATTGAAAGAAATGAGGAAAGAATTAAAGAATCTTTTGATCAATGGGACATCTAATTTATGTCCTGTCAATCTTGAGTCCCCTAACAGCTCATTATCCTACCTAAATAAGACATCTCTTTCATCAGAACAAAGAGACTCTAGCAAAGAAAAGGACTTGAGGGCCAGTTTCAAATATGGGCAGAAAAACCAACTCAAGGCTGAGTCTCTAGGGGATGGGAACTTGAACACACAGAGTGAAATGAACTGCTCTACAACCAAGAAAAAGAGCCTGCAAGAGCGAGAATTGCAGTCTCTCATCATTGACGGAACTCCAAATTTATGCCCCATTAACTGTGCTGCTTCAGATAGCTCCGTTGATGACATTAAAAGAGAAGAATTCAATAGTCGTGCTAGGAGAAAATGTGAGCCCAAAGAAGGTTCAATTAATCACAAGTCAAATATCAAGGAAGTACCTAGAACTTCAAGTGATGGAAGTTGCTCCATATCTAAAGAGAAAAACCAGCATGTCGTAACCTGTAGTAAAACTCGAAATTCATCTCAAATAAACAGTCAACCTGACAACCCAGTTTACAGGAATATAAATGAAAAACTGAAAAGCAATTCAATGAGGTTAGCTGGAAACAGGAGTCATGAAAACAGACACCCAAAAGATTCAAAACCTAATGGATTTTCCTCCTCTGAGCCGAGTTGTGAGTTAGAAGCAGACTTTTCTGAAATTAATTCCAAAGAAGATTCCCGAAAAAGATTTAGAAGTTGTAGAAAAATAGAAAATCCAAACTCAGAAAATGTTGAAAACTTGTCAACATCCATTGATGAAGGCAGTAAAAGCCTCAAAGTAAATGGAGCTTTAGACTTAGGTAGTAGTGATTCAAGTAGACTCTCATTGGAAAACAACGGTGATACATTTGTTGAAAGTCTTAAAGTAAGACAGACATGTACGAAAAGAAAATTAGCGGAGGCCTTTACCAGCCCCACCTCCATGATCTATTCAAGAAAACTGAGAAAATACTCAGATTCCAGCTATGAACATTCTGAAGTTGTGTCCAGTCATGAAACTGAACTTGGCCATGAAGTTGGTAATTCAAACTGTATTCCTCAAAAATGGGGAAGGAAAACAACTGATCAGAGTCAAAAGACTCATATCTACCCACCGCAAGGTGAGAATTTAAAGAAGTTGATCTCAAGTGGGTTGAAAAGTCTACTGGTACGAAAGATGGAAGAGGAATTTAAAGCAGGGCTCAGTAGGAATCAAGGGAGCCAGCAGTCAGAAAAAAATTCTATCAAAGCTAGCGCACAACCTGAAACTAAAATCCCTTGTGTTTCAGGGAAGAGAGACCTTTTCTCTGCGCCAAGGGAGTCAAGAAATTCAAATGTGCCAGAAAAATCAAGCCCACAAAACAGAGCCAAGAGCAAGGAAACTACATGTAAATCACACACAAGCTCTTTTCAGAGAGAGTTAAATAATTTAACTGCAGATGGCAGCGATAAAGTTTGTCCCATCAGTATTCTCTGTGATAATGATGATGATTTAATTTCAAGGAAGCTCAGAATTAGTAAGTTTCAGGTGGAACAAGACTCAAATAAGGTAAGTAAAACGTGTGAAAAGGGATCAGAAGTTGATAACAAAACGAGAGCCACCCGGCACCGTGGGAGTTTGAAAGAACTTGAAAATTTAACCATTGATGGAACTCCTAAGCTTTGTCCTGTCAATATTTCCTGCAATGAAGATGGTTTGATTTCAAGCATGCTAAAAGTCAATGAGTCTCAGGCAGAGAATAGTGCAGAAATAACAAGAACAGACCTTGTAAATGGAGCCAAAGTTGATAGAAAAATTGGAATTTGGAATGAAGATAGAACACCTACGAAATTGGACCCTTCTCCTTCACAGGTAATAGATTATCGTGGGAAAAACTGGTCCAAGGAGCTGAAAAAATTGAGTATTGATGGAACTTCGAAAATGTGCTCTGGAAATAAAATTCCTGCTGAGGACCTGTTCAGTGCACGCAAACTTAAAGAGAAATTTGATATAATCTTTAATCAGCCATCAACAACTCAAAAATCTAGGCCAAGACCTAACCTAGAAAGGAAAACCAACAACAGTGTTTTTCTCTCGCAGAAAAAACTAGTAAATGCTTCCAACCATGCCGATGGAGTCAGTTCATTATCTTATACACCTATAGTAAATACTGGAGCTGATTTTAATATTCCAAGTCTCAAAGATATGAGGAAGCCATCTTCTAATTCTATTGCAACAAGTAAAGCTGGAGCAAACTCAGAAACTGAAATTCTACAGAAGTCTGATCCGAACTATAGAACCAACCAAGAGAACAGACCAATGGAATCTTTGGCAAGCAGTGAACCCTCGCAGTCTACTCATCGTAAACTCCCCACAAGAGAAAATAAGAGGAAGAACAAACTAAATTTTGAGCTAAAAAATTTAGCTATAGAAGGCACTCGTAACCTCTGTCCACTAAATCTCACATCTAGTCATAAAGTCCTCTCACAACCCTGGAAGGAAGAGCAAACATCATATAACAATTTTTCTAATGGATACCTTAAAAGTAAGGTGTCCAAAAATGCTGCGTTTAATGGAGCTCAATCACTGAAGGAAAAGCTTAACAATGAGGTAACAAAATGTATTCTTAACGGTACAACTGACTCAAATGGATTACCTCCCATGTTTGTTTCAGAAACTAAGGAGAATTTGAAAGAACTTAGTAAAATAAGCAAGAACCAAAACAATGAGGCTGTTTTGAAATCAAAAAAATGTGAAAGAGATCTTTCTGACAAGTCTCGCTCAATTAAAGAAAATGAAGATGGAAACCGACAAATCTTTCAAGAGAAATGTACCGGGTCCACAGTTTTAGCAGCTGAAAATCCGGATGAAGTAGAATTGATTCAAATAAAAAGAGAACGCTCTACTATCAATTTCTGGGATGATTTAACTGGAATTGACATTACCAAGATCAAACCATGCAGCAGGAAGACAGTGAAATTCACTCCAACACCTATCACATCTCGTGCTTCATCTGTTCAATCATTTCAGATGTCACCGATGAAACATTTCCTATCACATGAAATTAAAGAAGATCTAATCAATGGAATGAGGCACAATTTATCAGTGAAAGTTCAGAAATTTGATAACAGCAACTATGCGGACCTTGATTCGCCCAAATGTTTACCTAACTCTCCTGCAAAGAGTTCAAAAGTGGGCAACACTAGTTCTATGAAGTTGCTACTGAACACACCAAGTAAGAAAGAGAACAAATCAAGTCCAACAAAATCATTGTTGAGATCTGCAAGTCTGTCCAAATCCTTGCTGGAATCGCCCTCGAATCAAAGTTTGTTAAACCGGAAATATGAAGCAGGCACATATGAAAAACCTCGTTTACAATCCTCTGCCCAGAAAAAATTGCTGGGCAAAGAGTTGAAAGCTCTTCAGGAAAACTTACTGGAAGCTCGCTTGGAAATTCTCTCAGGCTTACGTCCTAAGAGACTACGTCAGAAATTTGATAAGAGCAACAACAAGGAGCTTGATTTGCAAGAGCTTTCACTTAATACCCCTGCAAAGAATTCGAAAGTGGGAAATACTAGGGCCATGAAGTTACTATCAAGCACACCAATCAAGAAAGAGAAGAACACCAGTCCAACAAATTCATTGTTGAGATCTACAAGTTCGTCTGAATCATTGCTGACGTTGCCCTCAAGTCAAACTTTGTTTAATCGAAAACATGAAGCAGATAGCTACAAAAAAGTTTCTTCACAATCCTCTGCCCGGAGAAAATCGCTCAACAAAGAGTTGAAAGCCTTACAAGAAAATTTACTGGAAGCTCGCCTGGAAATTCTTTCAGGTTTACGACCAATGAGGTTGCGCCAACCTGTAAAGAAGCCAAAAAAACTGTACAGTTCAAGTGGCATGAAAGTTCAAAAGGTGGAAAGATCGAGGCCTTTTTCAACAGTTAAGATGTTAGTTGACTGTTTGAAGGAAAGTTCAGATCATGATTGCAATCTTGACCTTCCAAGGGTTACTAATTTTGAGGTCAGTCGGCCATCGGACCGATTCAAAGTTGCAAAGAAAGATGACAGCCGCAAGAAAAATTGCAGTCTCAAATCATGTTCTGTTCTTGTGGAAGATATCCAAGAAAAAACAAAATTTTTCCGTCTTCTTGGTTTACAGTTGAGCAGTACAATCCCGAAGCGGCCTGTGTCTAAGAAGGAAAAGATCACCAATCTAAGCTTTTATCAATTTCCCAAAAGATTTAAAAGATGGAAACGTAAACCCAATGGGGTAGATTACTATTGTTGAAGTCAGGTTCCAAATGACACTGAAAATACAGTACAAGTGCAGCAGTCAGTGTAACTTGTATTGATAAAGTGAATTCATTGCAAAATCTCGCAATTACTTTCAAGTTTCATTAACCAAGAAACTTTTAAGTCTCTTATTTATTTTTTTACTAACACAAATCACACAATTATTAACCTAAGATAGAGTAATTACCAAACTAATTTTAGTGTAAACCCACACTAAGACCTGGCATTTGCTTTTTTCTGTGAAAGCAGTGCACTGCATCGTTTTGTAGTTTCCTCATTAATGCATTATTACACCTCAAAACATCTTAAGTTCCATTTTATCTCTTGCAAACATGTGCAACCTTTAAGATCCCAAATTTGTAATTTTACACTTAAACCTCTGTAAATTTTGTATAGCCAAAATTATTTGACAGTTGATAGCCTTGTACATTTTGTGATCAGGGTTTGTACAAAAATTGTATTTATTCATCAGTAAATGTGTGTCGCTATTTAAATAAACACTGAGATATATCTACTAAATATTTTCTCCTTCGAAATTAGGTTTTTGATAAGCTACAAAAGTTCTATGATATCAAACCTCAGTACTCAGCCAATAATTTTTTTTAAAAATCTCTTTCTATTTTTGAAGAACTCAGAAAAGCAAATTACATTTCATGTGACAGTTATGTTTTTTAAACCAAGGAGGTTCTTTCGTTTTTCTTTTTCAATACTACATCTATTTCTCAAATTTTTGAACTTTATCTGTTTGTTTCAAATTCTCAAAATTTATCAGTTTTAAAAAAATAAGTAAGGAAACACTGATCGCAACACCTGTTTTACCGCGACAGAGCTCTGATAAAAATACGAAATAAATATTTTCTTTTCTTTTCTTATGTAAACACATCCCTTTAGGAAAGACCTTCACTTCTGATCTCTTTATCTGAAGTTAAGAGTGAATTTATCATAGTCAGGTATGAAAAACTGTCTTCAAGGATGAAGACTTCTAACAAATGTTTCTTCATCCTTGGAGACAAAACACATGCTTCTATTACCATTTTGTCAATCGAGAGACTGCTTGAATGCTGTTTCATAGAGCTGATATCATTTGGACATCGAGTGTCCTATTCCTTAATAACTTTATTTTTTGGACCCCTTGATTGTTTAACCGACACAACTGTGTGAAACATATCTCAGTTAATTCCATAAATGTTTGGGTCAAATATGTGCCAAAATGTGACCAAATTCAATTTCAAATGTTAAATAGAGAGTTCGCTCTCTCAAATTCTTTTCTTGAATAGCTCAGATATTGTACATTATTATCGGTCCTCTCTCCCACTCCCTCCAACCATCTCATCATTAAAGTTGTAAAGTCATTAGCTTTGTTGGGTATTATCTGTAGCTCTGCCTTAGGAGGGAAGAAACTTGGAAAGTAAATTAAGGCTATGTGATACATGTGAAATTTTTTGCCAAGAGATTTATGACACATCATAAGTGTGATTTCTTTTATGAACATTTATGATCTGTCCTTTTTCTTGTAGGTTTTGTTAATATTTTCTGTTTTTACTGATTCTTCTTCAGTGAGAAGTTTAATTTGTTTTAAGCACCGTTTAAATCCGTCACTGCAAAGAATCTACCATGTTATATGTATATATTATATTCACATATGTGTATAGTTATGTTTCCAAAGGAATGCTTCTAAATTTTTGGCATGTACATTTATCGTATTATAATTTTATTTTTTCTAAACGGTTAATTTATTCTTTATTGTTTTATATTGTACACTGTTACGCTTTCATATCAAGAAATGTCGTTGCAAAAGTGTTCCATATTGTAGAATTCTGATGGAAATGGGTCTAAATTTTCGGAATTGAATGCTAATATCCAGCATTTTTTGATCGTAAATTCCTCCTCACAAATTCCTCTGACATCATCTACTCATTTAATTATATGTTCTTACAACATATCCATAAGACAATCAAGGCGCAACAAAAATTCACCTTTTGATATTGGAATGAAACGTCACCCGCCTTATTTAACATTATGTACAATCTGTTCCAATGGTGCTTCCTCAGTTTTTATCATTCCCATAAAATTGATAAAGTATGGATATTTTGTCCAAAAGAATAGAAAAAATCACTCTTACATGATGGATCAATTCCGCAGAAATTTTTTTCAAACTTCCAAGACTGATGAAGGTGCAAGGCCCATTCTCAATTCTATGTATGCATGCTCAATTAAAAAATATTTTGTGGAGTCATGTATAGACTAACTGATGAGAGTGGAATTTGTTGCAATGTTACGTTTTGTTCATTTTAACGTATTATAAACTGTGAGGTTGAAAGGCTGAGGTATTGTGTTGCTTGGTGGACACACCACAATTAAAGTCAAAAAATGATTAAAATCATAAAGTCTCAAACTATAATTTAGCGTTCAAAGAGAAATTCAGTGAAGCAAAATATTAAGGTTTTTTTGAAGTAACATCACATCAGAGCTTCTAATGTTGTGTCCTGAATGGCACCTAAAATTTTTCTATGTGTAATCCGCACCCTCCTATGAACCGTATTACTGTAAGGAATGTGCTCATTAATTGTGATAATATGTAAATATGAGATTCCTACACTAAATTGTTAAAGCACTGTTTTGTTGCTAAGGTGATCGTTATCTGTTAAAATTTATCCACATTTTTACCCATTTAACTACTTATTCTTTGCCTAAAAAGCCATTAAAGCAGGATGACATTCAAACCACTTTTTAAAATTACCTAGATGCACTGTTTGAGAGAAAGAGAAGGACCACGTTTTTGCACCTCTACCATTTCCTAGCTTAAAATATATTTTTCTTATGTGACATTCCTTTCTCTTGATACAATTAAATGGCCGAAGGATGATACCCATGCCAATAATTTTAAAACGTTTGTTTCCTTTAAACCAAGTAAAACTCATCAGCACCAAGTACTCAGATCCAGCAAGAAAAACGTTGTTGTTCTTTTTCTAATGACTAAAAAATTGCCCTATGTAAAAGTGGGCCCAACTGACTTAGGTCAGACTGATTCTGAGTCAGGGAGCTAGACTGCCTTGTGTAACAAATCACTCTGACAAGATCAGTAGTTATCATGATGTTATTCCTGTATTTCCTCTCAGCTCAGTAGGAGTTGATCAGCTCCTCATACATAATGTAACCTGATAAAATACACATACCTGGAAACCTGTAGATACACATGGCAGAAAAAATACTCTCATTGTGACAAATAATAATTAAAATTTTGAGGCAATCATTGAATTTAACTTAATTAAATGAGGGTAAACACAGTTGTAGTATCGGAGTCCAGTTTTTTTTCCCAATTGACTTGCGCTCTCAAACTGCCCTTGATAAGCATAATCGTAGCAGTTACTTAATTTCAGAGAAAATTTCTCAAGAAAAATTCTATTGTCATTTTTCTAAATTTTGCAAGTGTTTTGGTCGAGAATGATTCTTTTGGCTCATGCGCCAGGGCTGTCATCTTTTTGGCTAGAAAGTCAAAATCTTCCAAAATTTTTCACTCAGTGGATGCGATATATCGCACGTCAGTTCCGCTTTGCCAAAAACTGGGGACTAATCATTCTAAGTATGAGTGTATCCAAGCCCAAAGTATAACTGCAAATGAAATTTTTCCAAATAGTCTGTACGTTTTCATATCTGTTGCATCATGGACGAAGAATACAAATTCCAATGATCTGACGCCTGGATTTAAACTTCCTGGTAGAGTGTCGCCCACCAGAATATTTGCAATTTTTAATTTAATAAAGCTTTAGCAAACTGTTTTTAAAACCGAAACTACCAAAATTTAAAACCAACGAGGTAGCTTGAAATTTTGCACCAAACACCCATACTCTCTCTACTGTAGATTTATCCTGTATTTTCTGTATAGTTCATTACGATTGTATTTAACTTTGTACGTACTAATCTAATCTCATGGTTAATTTGTTCTGTGTATTTCATGCAAATTATTTATTATCGTAGTTTGTATAAACAGGGGCTTGCCGCAGAATCTCCCCAATCTTTGAATGATCTTCCCAGTGGTACCTTGTTTACTTGAAAGCAATTCTTTATTTTGATCTATAGTTTCTGATCAATTTCCCTTATTGATCTATTGTAAAACTTCCTTTATCAACTTTTAATTTATTGTTCTAGAGTTTATTTTTTATTAACTCTCTCTTTTTTGTGGACTCATCATTTTATCTTGTACTGCTGTAATTAATTAATTTCAAATACATTTTCCATCCATGGAATCTTTTGATCTTCTTCATTCATGTGATATCCAGTGAGGCACTGTAAACATACCTACAGTAATAATTTAGTTCATGGCCCATTTTATCATTTTTTAACAAAATTAATTAGTTTATATTAAGTCTGTGTCAAGGAGCAAACAGACAACCCTTCTTTTTTTCCCGCAAACTGAATAAAGAATTTAGGTTGAATAGAATAACATCAAAATTATTGTTGTGTTTTGACGGTAGCATTGTGACAACGTTTTTACAGTCTCCTTATGCTGGGTGAGAAAGCACTATGCAACACATGGGAAGCACTATGGAAATGAAACACATAGGTATCAGTATTTCTGGAAATCAACTGCAAAATAAGATGAAAATGTTTACAATTAACATTGGTTGAATGGCAATTATAGGAATGTTAGTAGTTTACAACAGCAGTAGAATAATAGTTTGTCTACTCTAACTTCATTTAAACTTCAACTAACATTTAATCTGTGTTAATGATACTTGCTAATATCTCACTCAGGAGTTGATTTCCTTTCTTACTGTGTGAATTGTTTTTTTCATATTACATGTAATATTTTTTTTTTTTTTTTTTTTTTTTTTTTTTTTTTTTTTTTTTTTCTAGTTCAGACCTTGCTCAATGGCCCATTGTTAGTTGAATAGTTCAACTTAATAGAGGACCAGTAAAGATTCAGGTAGCCATCAGCTCCAGATTTATTTATTTGACTCAAGTCTCTATATTGTTATCAAATCGAGCATAAGAGTTCAGTAACTGACAATGAAACAAACATTAATTGCAACCCAAGCCTTAAAATATCCTCTTTCTTGGAAATTTTATCCACTACGCTTTCAGGCCCAAAGTATGCGCCAAGCAAAAAATTGAAAACAGTCAACGTTTCTCCATTTTTCTCATTGTTTGCTAACAAGAGGAAGCCAAAAAGAAGAAAAAATATTAAAAAAACTAGTTTAATACAAAAATTTCCCCAAGATAGGGCAAGTACTACTCACAAAACTTTTTTCTTTCAAGCTCTCGTCCTTGCGGGTACGTACTTAGAAGAATATATTGTCATCTTCGGGGGGATTGAAAGGTTTGGTTATTTTATAGGACACCATGACTTTTTTTTGTTGCATTGCGAATGCTAACATCCACAGTAGTATAACAACGAAAAAACTAGCAAAATAATTTTGAGGAGACAAATTTTTAAAAAACTATTGCAAAATTTGCTTCGTGATACCCTATTCTTAGGTGTTGACTTTAGTAAAATTTACAGGAGATAAAACATAAATAAAAAACTGTTAAAGAACGACATTGAAAAATAGTTTATTTCTCAGAGACTTTCCAAGCGGGAGAGGGGTGTAGGGGCCGTTTGAGGCCCACTCTGCCACGCTAAGAACAAAAGACATATGAACTTTCAGGTACTGCCAAATTTTCTTTGAAAATTACAAATTTATGGAAAAATTCGTTAGTATTATTCTTCACACATTTTTCAGACAATTTTGTTTTCAATATAATCTAAAAATATCTGAAAATTAAAAAAAAAATATTCAAAACTTTCTGCAACAATGCATGTTTTACCGGGTGAAATTTGGCAATTTCCAAATGTTCATACGGCGTTCATCCTTACCACGCCAGCCAGGGCCGGATTTACCTACTTGCCACCCATGGGCCGCCTGTATTTTGCCGCCCCCTTCTCATTCGTTTTGAAACATTAATAAAAACCATCAAGAGAACGTGCCGGAGGGGGAGGGGTGCATAAGACGCGTTTACCTGCTCGTGTTGAATACATTTTTTGCGAAAGCCCTGTCAACACTACTAGGAAAATTTCACGGACCTTTGCTTCTCCATTTATAAGAAATGAACCAAAAAATTATGAAAGAACAAACATAAATGTGGTTTAATAATTTTAACTTCTGCCGCTGCGCCGCGCTGATCGGACTGTGTTTGGCGCAATGCGTGAAGTATTCCTGCAGTCTTGTAGGCGCTATGCGTTTCACGCCAACCGCTCCTGACCGCATTGTGTTTGGCGCAATGGGTGAGGTATTCATGCAGTCTTGTAGGCGCCAACATGTGTTACATGCAGACCGCCTCGCCGAGAGCTTGTCCTTTTCATCTCAAGTCCTTGTCATTATTCCTCTCTGCGCTAAGCTCCAGGCCAAATTGCGTGTTTAGTTCCTCTCTTAACTCGACTAATTAAAGATTAAAGATGTTGTCTCTTTTATCACTGAAAGACGACAAAATTAGAAACTACTATACTCTCAGGAAAGAGAAATTTTGTCCCCTTTTCTCATTGATATATATTTTTTTTTTTCTGAATCCGATTTTATTTATACCTACATTCAAAAAAAATTACAAAATTTGCCGCTATGGGCCACGGCCCATGTGGCCATCCCCTTAATCCGGCCCTGACGGTGGCAGCACTACAGCTGAATACCTTCAACTCCATAATTTTTTAATTGAAGGTGTTCTATTTTTCGGAATGCATATATTTGGTCATTCCCGGTCGTTTCCTCTCGGGTCTGATAATACCTACTGGCCTGTATTTAACGGTGTGTGTTCTGATTTGGCCATTTCCAGTCTCTTCTTGGGTCCAATACTGGCTGTAACGTGGGTGAGGACCGACTGTGGCGGAGAATGCTGATTATCCGGCATTCCACCGCAAATCCGCATTTTTCGCCAAAATCGGCCCTAAACCTTCCCCATACCCATGTCTCTACCAGTAAGTACTACTTAGACCCGGAAAGAGATCAGAAATGACCAAATTTCACTACACTTTCCGTTACAGTTTGACTTTCAATGAGCAAAAACTCGCAGGGTTGAGGAAAATCTGGTGGGAAGCCCAAAAACAGCCCTTATCGAGACCTCTCCCCTCATAAATTGCTAAATTCTTCTTACAAAAATGGCCTTAAAGGAATTCCTAAAGCAAACATTTCCACGGATATCTCTATTTTTGCTCTTTTTAAAAAGAAATAGGTACATAATACTAAACATCCATCATTCAGTTTGATATATTCTTAAATCTTCGGCACCTTTCCGGTTTCAGAATGAAGGCATCCATCCCCCTCCCATCATGTTCGGACCATTTCCGGTCATTCGAGTTTAGCGCAAAATTACCCGCCAAAATTTAAAAAAACCGCAGTTTGTCGGACAGCTTTCAATTTTCTTCCTGCAGATTACCACCATCATTAAAAGCAAAAATAAGCTCGTCTCTGGTGGTACCACATTCCATTTTGTGAAAAATTAGTTATGCATGATAGGTTCAGCCGCACATACATATTTGGTGCATTTTTAGAAAGTAGGCGAATGAAATTTGATATCCCGGAAGAAGCCGGTGATAGCGCATCCTGCACAACTATAGCACACATTTAATAAAAGCGCTCAGTACTCTAGGTATCGACACAATTATTGCCTATGTGGAAGTACCAAATTCCACTACTAATTTAGATATAAGCTGTGTTTTCCCCCCTTCTTCTTTCCGGCTAAGTGATATCATCAAGATGAGTTGGAATCACCGTGCACGTAAAAATTGCAAGGAATCGAAAAAACAAGTGCAATCAAGTGCAATGCATTTTGCATAGACTGCGGCTGTCTCTTTTGGTGAGCTCACTCTCAGTTTCCGTTACTTACTGTGAGCTGCCTCCCCAGGATTCGAAATTTTGATTAATATATTTACAATTAGTAGAGGCCAAAAATAAGCCAAAACTTTGATATTGTCATTTAAAATTATATTTTAAAATTTATTTCATTCCCGTTTTACTTCTTAGAAGTATTTTATGGCTATTTTCAGGAAGAAAAGGTCGGTTCCAGGCGCCCTCCTGGAGTAGGTATTCGATTAGTTCCGTCACGTGCCGTTCACAGCGCAAGTGCTACACCTCGTTCGCTCTCTTTCGCAAGTTGGTGCTGAAGGTAAGAATACGTTCTCCTGCTCTGTGAATTTTATCCGTTTCCATCCCGGTGAATTTTTAAGTGATTCTCTTATATTTGTGTCCATATTATTCCTGAAGCTTCTGTTTTATCCACGAATCTTATACTTTCGGTTTGTTCGATTTACTTTTGCGAATTCTTAGTGCCTGACTCAGGTGGTAAGTCTCCATACCTTCGCTCACCATACCGGTCGTCTGAATTTGTGTAAATTGTGTAACCTCGGCCCCCAGTTTTCTTTAATTTTCCGTTCGTTGTCAATTTCGGTACTCTTGGTGCTTGTAATTTCGTCCTTTTTTCTCACATTTTCGAGTTTGTCGCGCCGCCTTGCGGCGCCACGTTTCCACGATGTCGCCATGTTGTCCATATGTGGTAGTCCGGCAGTTACCACCGTCTTATTCCTCTCCTGAGCATTCTAATACTCAATTCCGCACACATTACTCTTCTCACACCTATTTTTCGTAACTCAAGAATCACGAGAATTTCATTTCCCGGTCGTGAAGCGATCTTCTTTTGTGTTGGACGCATGACCTCTCGAGGCATCCGCGATCGATTGTAGGCGTCTGAACCGGCAGACGGTGCCCTTGTCCTCCAACTCCCCAGAGCCAAGTTCGTAGATTTCCCTTAATTTTCAAAATCAAACCCGTCTCATGTATCGAAAATCTTACGCGCCTGCAATCCTATTCCTTGTTCAAGGCCCAACGTGGTTTTCAAGTCCCCGGTTCCAGCAGACACCCGGCCTGCCACATAGTCGCCCTCACAGGCTGCCACCCATTAACCTGAATTTTTCCTAAGATGTAGCATTGTAGACCTCCAATCTTTATCTTTCTCGGTGCTTCTCCTTCCTTTAGAGTGATAACTCAGCCTCTCTTGTCTTTTTCTTTGTCTTCACCACACTAATCAATCCTGAGACAATTTAGATCTTGCAGCCATGAGGTCATGTAATCATGTAATTACTCATCTTTGTCCACTGATGACCAATCATCAATGCATTAGGCCATTCATGGAGAGGGTGGAAAAAAAGTCAGTTTTCTGAATCTTTTGTGGATGAGCCTTTCTGAGTACTGCGTGCTCTTCTTGAAGACCAGTAGGCTCTGTATTGTTGGATTCCTGTCACTCAGACAGAACCAGCACATGCCAAGATCCATCTTCTACAGTGCAAAATTTTCTTGAAACTCTGAGTCTGTTCTTTCCTCATGTACGAATGAGGAAAGGATGCCCCCAGTCCTCAAAAGTTTCACATGGCACACTTTTAACCCCAGTGTCCAACCAATGCAGTTACCAATCACCTGAGTTAATTTTATGGCATCAAGTCCATGAACAATTTATCAATAGGTAGCGTTTCATTGCTTGGCTTCACCATGTGCTACATCTTTGTCTAGGCTCGGAGGGTGTGGTTTTTCATCTTGTCCATGTGCCGATTAGGCCCTGGTTAAGTCTAAAGAGGTATTTAGGAATTGCAGTTCTTCTCTCAATTCCAGAGTAGGGAATCTGCGCCCTTTTCAATAGGTTTTTTAGTTCCAATGAATTATTCACACTTTTCAAATTTAAACCTCTCAACCAAAGCCTATTCAATATTTTGACTCATATTTCTCACATTTCATTCTGATTCATATTAATGCATTGTCTCAGTCCTCATCATTACACTTCCTTTCATTTTAAGGTTCTCACATTTTCAGGTTTTGCACTCAACCGATAAACCCAAAATTGGCTTACTTAATTGACCTGATTTAGCTGAAAGTAAAATATACGCAACGACTTCTCAAGTACCAATTATTTCTGACTAATTTCAATTTGATTAGAATCCATTCATGTTCTTCAGTTATGGTTGCGATTGGAGAGCTTCACCTGAGCCAGAGATGAGGTCCAAGCTACAAACTGCCGATCACTTTTTATTCGTGTAAAGTTATTTGTGGATAGCCTCCTTCTGATGTATTCATTTTTTCTTTCCCTCCATCTCAAGGAAGTTGCCTCTTTAAGAAAGCGTTCACTTTCTAGCACCATGCTCATGTTCTGGTCCCATCTTTAATGAAGGCATCAGGAAATATCAGATGCGCAACCTAAGTATGCCTTGAGGCATTCCTGTACTCAGACCTGAGCAGATGTATGTAGTTGTGAGCAAGATCAATTCCTGCAGGTCCTTTTAACTGTCCATCTTCTGAGATCATCCTCCTACCCGACCATCACTTGATGGCAGCCTGTCTGATACAGAATCAGCAAATGCATTGCTTAACTTCATATTGCCCATGTGCATTATTGCTTCTTCATTCATTCTCTGGAGTGACTGGTATGCGTGGATTTAGTCTTTATTTTACAGGCCATATCTTGCTGTATGCCATTGAATTTTCTAATGTGTTGTTTTATGTATTGTGTTGTTTTATAGCCCTAACTCTTCATGTTTCTTTTTGCAGATTTCTTGTTGTTTTTGTTGAGAAGCGTCACGCCAATTCGTCAAGATGGGAAAGGAGAAGGTCCATATTAACATTGTCGTCATCGGTCACGTAGATTCTGGTAAATCTACCACAACTGGACATCTTATCTACAAATGTGGTGGTATCGACAAGCGTACCATCGAAAAATTCGAGAAGGAAGCCCAGGAAGTAAGTATCTTTAATTCCTCTATTGTATCATATTCTGCTCAAGAATGTCCCCTATTTAAGGATTGAGCGTTTTCGCAGGCAAAGACCCCCTACGATGTGCAGGCGATCACAGAGCGGGAGTAGCTGGTGGAGCGTGCGTGCAGCTCGCTCGGACTCCATGATTCTGCTCTGTTGCTCTCTCCTCTCCCCTACTCTTTGCTCCTAATGGCGCCAAGCACAAATTTCACTCGCGGAGAAAAATTAAACTGCTCAGCTCAAGGAATTGGCATTTTTGATTGAGATTAAATTTCTAAACGAGTCCAACCCAAGTCAACCAGGGTAATTCTCAAAATACTTTGGCAAGATATTTTTCTGATATAATTTAGGGATATAATATAATTATTGACATAATTATTATGATATAATTTATTTAAGGATTGAAGATGGAGAATCTTTAGAATTTATGGAGAAATCACAAGCTTGTGTGGGGGCCCCAGCGTTCTGAGGCATTGAAATTAATCTTAAACGTACCTATTTACATTTTGAATTTTGGTGGAAAATACGGGGGGGAGGGGGGCTTTAATTTATATCTGAGCCATGTATGTTTGATTAGAGGATTTACTTATTGCTAAATAGGCAGAGGATGCCGGGATGAGTTTGAGGATTGTATGCGCACAAGGTATAAATGTTTTCAGGATAAAGCTATGGCAGCTAAAAACTAAGATAGCATCCTTCCTTCCTTATTGGAATCAGGCGTAGATCTCAGGAAAAATTTAAAAAATAAAAGGAGGCTATCTACGTGTGGGAGAAACACACAAGTTACTTAGAGTACTTAGAGTTAAATTTTAGGTAAAAAAGATGTGTAGTTGGTCGGTAAAGACGCAGAGTTGTACTTACGTATTTGCCAGGCTGTGTACATGCATGCAGCACCCACTGCAGCCTCCTCCGGAGAATACTATCGGTGCTTAATATTATCTCAAACATGCTTCAGATGTCAAATTTTGAAATCATCCATGTTGTGAATACCTATCTATTAATTATACCTTACCTGTATCTTTCCCTCTGCTTTATGCTGCTTATTAGTACATTCTGTGCGCATTGGGGGAACTAGTTGAGAGGAGGAGGGGGGGGGGATAAATCTTACCCTCACATCTGACTTAATTCCTAAGAAATATGAGGGATTTTGCTAAGTTAGCTGTGTTACCAGACTTTCATTGTGGAAATTATAATTGTACCAAAAATATTTCCATGTATAAAGATGAACCATCAAGCTAAAACTTTAACTATAAACATTCGCACAAATTTATCAATTTCTTTTTGTGGCACAATGGTACAACTTCTGGAAACTTCCGGTTAATAGGTAAATACGAGGCACTTAGCACATTTCTTGAAAAATTTGCTAAAACAATATCTGTGCACATTTCTACTTTTGATAACTTACTTAAACCTTCAAAAGTACATAACAATCCAAAAAGTGGTAAAATTTACCAATCAGGCATCAAGAGGTGAAATGTGGGAGTGTAAATAAATAACATCACCTACAAAGATAACACTTACATTGGAAATATGATAGTATCAATAAATTAATATGTATATTTTCAATTTTTAATTCTAAGAAATACAAAATGGATTAATATAATGCACCCACTGGTACGGTGCTGAGGGTGACGTCTCGTTCCTGAGTGTTCAAGCAGTAAACGATGGAAAAAGGACGCTTGGAGCATGGGGTGCTGAATTGAGACCTGGCACGATATACTCACTGCCAACCGGCGATAAGAGATATCAAACCAAATCCAAAACCAATCAAACTGATAAAAGCAGAACAAGTGCACGTGCAGAGGCCTCAGGTAGATGCGCAGGAAACGGAAAATGGATGGGAGAGCTGGGTGGGGTAGGGAGGCGGCGGACGATAGGATGGGTTAGAGTAGGTATTGGGAAGAGAGTGCTCGAAGCTCGAACTGCCCTGAGTTCCCATCGCGCGACGCAGCCATCTTGCCTGCACATCGTAGGGGGTCTTTGCCTGCAAAAAGTAAACATCCTATTTAAGACTCCAGTGGTTTACTTACAAATTTAGCAGAGTAAACAGTCTAAAGTTACTGCAGTATCAGAGATACCAGTGCAAGTGTTTTCTTGCGGGATTATCCCAGTTTCTTTTGTCCCGATTCATCAGTAGTAAACAAAACTGAAGAGCAGTATGATGATTTGCCAAATCTTCTGCTATTTTCAGCTCTCTGTTTTACTCCATGTCGCGAAGATAGTTTATTCACTCCCTTGAGAGACCATTAATTTAAAGTCTGACTCTTCCATTAATTAAGAAAAAAGAGACTCTTTTTATCTACCTTAAATAGTCATCGAGAATGTCAAGTCAGAAATTATCACACGTCAGTATCTGTGCATCCAACATCCATGAATTATATACCTTAGGTGTTAGAAGTGGGAAAAAACGTAACATAAGTATTATGTCACATCAACCTGAATGCATCAATCATCAGTCGTTCATTCCTTACCCTGTTAAGTATTGTTGACTGGTGCTGTTCTTTGAAATGGATTTTTGTCTCTTCTCTCCCTAGTTTTATCACTGGCTACTATCCTAGCAAGAGGTAAAGATTCTCTTCAGGAGAAGCAAAATGCAAGAAAGAGAATGAGTCTACAGTTACTCCTCTTGTGTATACTAACTGTTCCTGAACTATTAGTCAAGACCTGATAAAGCTGGTAGGAGGATATTCGAAGGTCCTGCCACTTTAGGGTCATAGTAAAGCATTGTTAAGCCAATTTAAGTTTGTTTTACTGTGTTACATTTCTAACAATTATGTTCTGTCTACAGATGGGTAAAGGTTCCTTCAAGTACGCCTGGGTATTGGACAAACTGAAGGCTGAACGTGAGCGTGGTATCACCATCGATATTGCTTTGTGGAAATTCGAGACTGACAAGTACTATGTCACCATCATTGATGCCCCAGGTCACAGAGATTTCATCAAGAACATGATCACAGGAACCTCACAGGTATACCCTTATTTATCTGTTCTCACTCCGAGAGTACCCCTCGACATCTGCATTCATATGAAATCAATCTCCGCAGGACTTCTGCCTCCTAAGCAAATCATAGTGTTGATTCCGATTTTCCATATGAAGCATTTCAATTTTGCATTATCCGATGATGAGAAGTTGTATCTTCCGGATTGAGACTCCTATGACATGGAGAGTGAGATGAGCACCCTCCTTACTCTATTGGACCCGTACAACTGTCCGCCAAATTTGATTTTTCCCTCCTATTTTATGGGGGATTTATGATATTTTCATCAGTATTGCCTATTAGACCCACGCCGCTTCTATTCACATTCAGTCAAGCTGAGGTTAAAGAAGAACTCCTCTCATCTATGATGTCTTTATTTCATACCTTCAGAAAAGACAGAATGTCAAATGGAAAATTTTATTACTATTAAGAGTGAAATCCCTCAATCTTTCATTATTGTCGTGAAAGAGGCCCATGCGGTAAGGAGTCCAAATCTGAGCAGAGCACCCAGAGAAATGTGACTCTTAATTTATTGGTTTTAGTGTGTTTGAAGAAATGTTAAACTCAGACCATTCGTCCAATTACCATTGTGCACTGTAATCTCTTGCGATGTTTGAAAGCGTTCAATAGTCACTCAGTTCACACCTTTTATTTTCAGGCTGATTGTGCTGTCTTGATCGTAGCTGCTGGTACTGGTGAGTTTGAAGCTGGTATCTCCAAGAACGGTCAGACCCGTGAACACGCTCTCTTGGCCTTCACCCTTGGTGTGAAACAACTCATTGTTGGTGTTAACAAGATGGACTCCACCGAACCACCCTACAGCGAGGTAAGTTATCATACCTTCTTGTCTACATCTGGTAAACATTTCTGAACTTTTTCATTTGACCTTATCCACAGAGAAGACAATATCGAGTCGCAAGTGTGAATAGTTACGTACTTTAAAGTAGCATTAAATAGCAGTTGTCTGTAGGTCCGTAGTGAAATCAATTGAAAGTGAAGAAAATTGCCAATTGATCTGACGTCTCCTCTGACATTTTTTCGCCTGCAGTGTTCAGGAGCAATCATGGCCGTTCTAATTTGCTCCTTATATTAACACAATCCCCAGAAAATAGTTCCAAGAGTTTTTCAGTATTCTCTTTTTCGGCGGTAATTGTATCGGATCAGATGAGTTATTTTCATGCAGAATATCTCCTAAGTTGTCCTGCGATACACCCAAGTGACGTTTGATATTTTGAAGCAAAGCTGTCTAAATTCAGGCTACTGCTGACACATTTTCCTGATGTCAATTCCCTACGCCCCCTTTTGTATCTGTGCCTCTCCTCCCTTTTTTGTGTACCAAAATGAAGAAATTTACTTATTAAGTTCATTCGAATTTTCTCTCTTTCAGGCTCGATTTGATGAAATCAAGAAGGAAGTCAGCAGTTACATCAAGAAGATCGGATACAATCCAGCTAGCGTAGCCTTCGTGCCAATTTCCGGATGGCACGGAGATAACATGTTGGAGCCATCCAGCAAGATGCCATGGTTCAAGGGATGGCAAATCGAACGTAAGGACGGTAATGCTGAAGGTAAATGCCTGATTGAAGCTTTAGATGCCATCCAGCCACCCAGCAGACCCACAGACAAGCCCCTCCGATTGCCACTCCAGGATGTCTACAAAATTGGAGGTAACTATCGCTGCCTCACTAACTTTCTCCGACTCATTCTCTAAGGAGTCAAAATTTTTTATTCTGTGGTATTGTTCCTTAAATTCAAAGATTCGCACTCATACTTTTTCAATATTTTCTTTTCGGTGCAGGTTAAGCTCTTCAGCTGTGAAGTTTGTTTAGCGTAATCGGTGTCCCAAAATGAACATCATGCCACTGAGTCTAGAAATTTCTTAAGAACAAACTTCTTGACCCCGTAAAATTTTCGAACATGTAGATTTAGATCGGCTTTGATTCAAGATTTTGAAAACAGATGAAGTTAAAAATATTGATCTAATGCACAATGAGATGTAAGGATTTGAATAGCTGCGTTTTTCTGAACTTTATTTTAAGAAACGTAGATTTGTTGACGTGCTGGGCACAAGCTACACTGAAGCAGTTAGTACCTAACTAAACTACTGGCACTAATTGAGCGGTGGATAGCTCATGGGGTTGGAGTCTAAATATGAAGAGAGCTCGCCCTGTCTTATGAAGATTCTGTGTTTAATGTCAATCAATATGAGTGAAATCCCATTTTAATTGCTGAAAATAGTGATTTTCTCCTAGATTGCTATTGATGTATTGGTTGATTACTAATTTGTCTCAATCACTTAAATTGCAAGAAGTTTAATGTTTGAACCAAATGTTTCTTTCAGGTATCGGAACGGTGCCCGTTGGTCGTGTTGAAACTGGAGTGATCAAACCAGGTATGGTTGTCACTTTTGCCCCTGTCAACTTAACCACTGAAGTTAAGTCCGTTGAAATGCACCACGAAGCTCTGCCTGAGGCCGTGCCCGGAGACAACGTTGGTTTCAACGTAAAGAACGTTTCAGTCAAAGAACTTAGGAGAGGATACGTAGCTGGTGATTCCAAGAACAACCCACCCAGAGCTACCGCCGATTTCATTGCTCAGGTAACAACCCTCAACAATCTGAAGCTAATAAACAAGATGAAATGCTTTGAGCAGATAGAGAATCTTGAGAGCTGTTTTTTTTCTAGACAGAATCCACAGACATGTAATTTTCACTCCTGAAGTCTAAACGTTTGGTCCATCTGTAGAAGAAATTGAATTTGTCCAGACTTCCTTATTCTATTTTACTCAGAAGGTGCATCGGCCCAACAAATTTTTGATCGGCATTCTTTGTCCAGAGATTTAATGAGTTTAATCAGTTGAAATACTAAGTTATCCCAGAATTACTCTTGCCATCTTTCAGATTTTCTGATCTGTATCTCTACTTCACAGTTAAGCTTTGAACTCTGGCAAAGGAGCGCAGAAATCAAGTCACGACACAGTCATCTGTATCACATTATGTACGAATTGGGCTTACAGAATCATATTCAGTGATTTATCTACCAAAACAGATCCTCATAATTTTTTGGTAGCTTGTATCCCATACTGTGAATAGTAATTTTATTCTTCCTCTTTTTCCTTACAGGTTATTGTATTGAACCATCCTGGTCAAATCTCCAATGGTTACACTCCCGTCTTAGATTGTCACACAGCTCACATTGCTTGCAAGTTCGCTGAAATCAAAGAAAAGTGTGACCGTCGTACCGGTAAGTCATGTCATACTTTCCTTGTGCTCTTTGCAACCATCAGGCAGACCCGATTTTTATCCATGCCATTTGTGTCCAAACCTATCTCATTGATTCTCAAATACATTATTCGCCTTTACATACTGGGCAAGATAACTATTTCACTGTGAATAAGTTCTCTAATCTTGGAAGGCTACAGGAAAATCTTGCTGATCTCTGGCTGGAGTTACCTGTGACCAGACCAGATTCATGCCAAGAATACAAAACCACCGAACATACCTGTAACTAGTTGGTTGTTCCATTTGCGGAATCGCAATTCGATTGCTTGATTTTCCCTGCACTGTGAACTTTAATCTACATGTCAGGAATCTTTTCATTTTCAACAGAAAGTAATTATCGCTTGAATATCAACCCAATGCCTCAGCTTACTGGGCAAGGAAACAATTTAGTGATGAATTAGTTTTCTAATCTAGTGAGGCTACAGGAAAATCTTGTTGATCTCTGGCAGGACATAATTCCTGACCCGATTCATGCCAAGAGTACAATTGAAAACTTTTTCTCGTATAGTTTTACGAAGACATTAAATTGTCAAAATTCCCTTTCTTTGCTGTGAAATCTTCTCATTTCTACCATGCGAGGTTGACGGATGTCATGAGCGTAATTCTGAACAGTTAGGAGCTGTCAAAATTCAACTTTTTTGCCCCATTGTTTAAATATTGAATTCTTCTGTTCTCCTCTGGCAGAATCTAGTGATTGAAATGTGGGCCACTCTCCCCTACATATCTGAGTTCCCTGCTTTAAGGTGAACATCGTGGTGCTGGAGCATCTCATATCCCCGAGTTAAATTGTCCAGATCCTCATTTACATGTGAATGTAATATTTTCCCCTCTGTGGATGTGCATCTTGTATGTTTTTGAGCTTTCTTAGTTGAAACTTATCGACATGTTTGTGTTACAGGTAAAACTACTGAAACCGAACCCAAGAGCATAAAGTCTGGAGATGCAGCCATCATCAACCTCGTGCCCACCAAGCCACTGTGTGTTGAATCTTTCTCAGAATACCCTCCTCTTGGACGTTTCGCCGTCCGTGATATGAGGCAAACTGTCGCTGTTGGTGTCATCAAGGTAATTATCAGTCTTGCAATTCTTCCACTTATCCCAGATATTTCGGCACCGAGTCAATCCACATATGGATTGCATTTAGCAAAAGGGAACCAGCGCTATTACAGTGTTGATTAAATGTTACTTCTTTGTAATTATCAAAAAAATCTCCCAAAGTAGCAAATAGGTTTTGCATCCCACCAAAAAATTGTTAATTTTAACGGGAAATAATTGTGTAAATTTAAATTTTGTATTTAGTATTTTTAAAAGAAAAAAGGAATTATTGGCACGATTTTGAAAACACAGTTATCGTTATCATGCTGGTTCCTTTTTGTTGAATGCGATCCACATGTCATTTGTTCTTGTGAACGATTTTGAAGAATGAGTGCAATATATTGCTTATGGGATCATATTGGGTTTATCTAATTCAACATCTGCGGTGGATATTAAAAAAAAACGTTTAGTAGCAGATCTATGGGGAATGATCTTGATTTGAAAGTCTTAATGGATTATTCCTCAAGAAATGTATTTTATTCTCCTGGAATGTCTGTTACCCTCAGTAACTAATCTCTAATCTCTCAAATCCTCATTTAATTCAGTATTACATACAGGATTATCAGTGGTCTAGTAAGCTGAGAAATTTTGCAAGTAGAGGTTCGTCAAAATCAAAGCTACTAAAAAAAGTAAAAATCCAGCAAAAAGGTTTGATCAAAAGTCTGAGAATTGAATAATTATAGTGTCAGGGAAAAGCCTTAACAAAATCAGGTAACCAGAAAATGAAGATCTTATGAAACTTGATCACTACTGGCAATGAATTAATATCTTCCTCAAATTTTAGGCCAAAATTTTTGGAGGATAGCAAAAATAAGCGAATTGTCATTAAGGTACTTTTGAATCCTGATCTGTTGACCAGTTAAAGTGTAAATTAACCTTCATTCATGAAGTGAAGCGGTTCTTAGTGGATCTTTAACACTGTGTTGAATTATTTTTTAAATTGATTATTTAATGGATGTTTTACTTTTTTGTTGCAGAGCGTACAAGCCAAGGATCTTTCCGCTGGTAAAGTAACAAAGGCTGCAGAAAAGGCGCAGAAGAAGAAATAACTAGGTGTATCCGTCACATCAGATACGCTTATGAATACTGTAGGGTCTATTGAAGAAACGCACGTCTTTGTCTTCTCCATGTCTTTGATATTACCTTATTTCCATCGTAAAGAGTTCCGCAGGAAAAAACTAAACTTTAAGTGTCGATCAACTGTGGCGTTATCATATTTTGATTTTGTTTCTTCATGACTCAATTCTTGATTCAACTGATTGTTTCTTTTTTTTTAAATATATATGTATAATTTTTATTTATTTTACTTTTTTAATATTTACTCCCCCATCCTCTACGTGTCAGCCACGACACTCATTTTCTTTCCTTTTTTTTTTTGTTTTCTATTTTTTTTTTGTATCCTCAGATGTGAGCATAGCTTTACCTTCGAAGCGGGGTTTCGAATTCTTGAATGTGATATTTGTCATGATGTTGAAGACTTGAGTAGTTGTAAATTTAGTTTTTTGCTTTTTTTTTCTAATTTTTTCTTTCTTTTTTTTTCACTTTGATCAGTGAACTTAAAACATTTAGTTTTCTCTTCAATTTTTCTATTGAATCAAAAATATTCTTACTAGTTGTATGCTTAACTAGAATCCAAGGCGTAACAAAACGTATGTTTACTTACTTTAAGAGACCCTTTTTCATTTTAATATCTTAATAAAACATTTCTTAACTGCTTTGGAGACTTCATTTATTTTCGCATTTCAAGGATCTCCAGTCAGATTTAACCCAAGTATTTACTAGATTTCAATCAAACTACTCAACCTCATTGCCGTCTTAATGAAGAAATCCGCTCTCTAACCATTTGTCACCAAGAATGTCGGCTTTGACTTTTCCACTGTGATTACTATGAGGGTTAGGGTCGCTAATAAGGGTCAAAGCTTGTCTATTGTGTGACTTTACTAACATTTTCAACAATCTGTTCACTTTCATGCTAATTAAACGATCAAGGAAATTATATAATTTTATTAAAACGTGCCAAATTGCATTAAGTTTTAACTGCGAAGACCTCTATCAATCATAATTTTTTAAACTCGGAGATGGAGTTCATAGGCTGTTTACCCATTCAAAACATGTTCTCAACTATAACTTCAGACAGGAGGGAGACAACTATTTTAATTCATGACAGTGCCCATCTCATTTTCCTTCGAGTTGACTTAGTGTGATCTTGATAACTCTGTTAAACTGTTGAAAAAACTTTTCCAATATCCCATCATAATCAGGGTCCAAGTCCTTAAATTAATACACTCAGAATTCTAAGGGCCTCTACTCGAGTCCAAATCTTTTGAGACGTATGAACGTGTTTTTATAATATGCATGAGTCCAGTCCCCTGCCTCTTAACGAATTCAATCATGATATCTTTCTTCCCGTTTTACACCCCCCTTATGCATCAAGCCTCGAGTGTTTCTTCAATTGTTTGGAATTATCATTTACTAATAAAAAAGATGAAACTGAAATGATGAGAGAATGAGAAGACTGGTCCAGGGAATCTCCTGGACCAGTTTTCTTCATTCCGCATCGAATTCTTCCTCTTAGAAAGGAGAACTTAACATGTTATTTTTGGACAATTTAGAGATTCCCAATTGAATGGACCACGTGGAACTGAAAGGAACCAAGCCACATCAACTATACCAAAACTGGACGGTTTAATTTTTTTCGATAGAACATTGGTGCGGATTCCTCTGAAAATTTTATGGTATTTGTTTCGCACTCAGCCTAAAATTTTCTGAAAGTACAATCGTTGTCACGCTTAGAACGTTAATGCCCAATTAAAAATGGCAATAGCTGATGTGGATGCATTTTGCAAAAAGGAACCAGCGCAACTACTGCCCTGTAGAAACGTTGCTTTTTCATCAAGGTACACTCTACTACAGGTATGGACAAACGGGGTGCCGAAGTGGCAGCGCTGAGAAAATCGGCGATCGAGTGACGTATGAAGTCGTACCGTCCATTTGCCGCGTACGTCTTCGCAGTCGTACTCTCGATGCTGTCAAATCTACGCGTTTTGACGACTTTCTAAAATTCCATTTGTCCATACCTGTAGTAGAGTGTACCTTGCTTTTTCATAATTATCTATGAAATCTCCCATAATACCAATAGTTTCGGCTTCCCACCAAAAAATTATTAATTCTAAAGGGAAATATGTGTGAGTTTCAACACAATACATACATAAAGTATTATTAAAAGAAAATGAGAAGTTGCACAATTTTGAAACCTCTAATCGCGCTGGTTCCTTTTTGCCAAATGCCATCCATGTGGCTTGTGATTAGGGGAACGTTATGGAACTAATGGTGTGACTCAAACCTCAGGATATGATTGAGATTTTGAGCGCTCGGGTAATCGAAGCGGCATCTCAGAGGATGTGTGACATATTATTTTAAGTACCTCTTTTAAGTCTCAAGCGGCAGGGTTGCTGCAAGAGGTTGCTTATATTGACTGACGCAGATAAATTCAGAGGGACTTACCTAGGTCTGAATTTCTGAAAGAAAAGGCATTTTCATTAGCTCCCCTGAATTTTTTCATAGAGAAAAAAAAGGAGGTGTTTGCATCTTGAGGATTTGTACCCACCTACGTCATCACTGTAAACAAGACACTCGTTGAGGGTTATGTTGCCGCTGTAAAAACGGACCATAATGTCCGATTTTTTTACTTAAATCAACTCTTTATATAATTTCAAGAACTTTTTATAGAATGACTTTTTCCCTTAAATTACACCATTTCCAAGAAAATCGACGGGATAAAAACGTCACTGTACCCACTGACGTCATCAAAGCTATAGATAATCTATGAAAAATTCCAAGATCATTGACGTATAATACAATCTAGACCGCGCATTACGAAATTCAAGCGAGACGATAGGCAACCCAGCAACACACAGCAAGTGTACCGGCGAGACAATGGTGGAATTCGTGGAAATGCCAGTCTTGCCAATGCCGTTGCCTGATACGGGTACACTTAGCTCGTATATCCGGCGGTATCAACTAGGCTGAAGGCGCGTCTTTACCCCCCTAGCTGTCTTACCTTCCCCGCCTAAAGTCGGGCCCAATGCGCGGTCTAGATTGTATTATACGTCAATGTCCAAGATGCCCGAAATGCAAACACCTCCTTTTTTTTCTCCATTGACGTATAATACAATCTAGACCGCGCATTGGGCCCGACTTTAGGCGGGGAAGGTAAGACAGCTAAGGGGGTAAAGACGCGCCTTCAGCCTAGTTGATACCGCCGGATATACGAGCTAAGTGTACCCGTATCAGGCAACGGCACTGGCAAGACTGGCATTTCCACGAATTCCACCATTGTCTCGCCGGTACACTTGCTGTGTGTTGCTGGGTTGCCTATCGTCTCGCTTGAATTTCGTAATGCGCGGTCTAGATTGTATTATACGTCAATGTTTTTCTCTATGGAATTTTTTCCTCTGTGTAAAATAGAAGCAGACTCACCAGAGGTTCCAAGCTGAAAGCTTCTCCTACGCATGTCAAATGCGAAGTTCAAATCTCGCGGCAGAAGTTGAAAGTAAGAGGTGATTCATAAATTCGATCCTCTGTGCCTTGTCTGAAATCACAGATTAGTGTCTGAAATGCTCGAGTCCTTTCATACTCTGGTTAGGATGGACTTCTGAATCATCCTGTAAGCTACTTTACTACTAGTAATACTGAAAACATCAACAACGCCATAGAAGAAAAAAAAGAAAACATGCCGATGTTTTCATCGAAGAGAGTCCACCGCTGACTGGTCGCTGTGTTTTGAGATTTTGGCTTTCATGACAAAATCGAATTTAAGAATGATAATTTATCCGCAACACCCTTGATTTTCTGTAAACTTAAACCACAGTGTTTTCAAGTTGTGATCACGTATCTCGCCGAACCAAGTTCAAGAGAACTTAACTACCTATCATGGACTAACTTCAACAGCAGTGGGACGAGGCTACTGTAAGTAAAACGATGTAAACAATCGACATTAACTCAAATTTACCAAGAAGTATTCAATTGGTAGCTTTTTTAACACATAAATCTTCATTTCTATTAAGTTCTAGTCACGAGTTTTGCTTCTGTCAGGGAATTTCACTCCAAAAAATCATTTAATTGTTTTGGAATGGGCACCTCATCTCATAGAGGCATTCATGACCGTAGGACTTCTCAGCAGACGATAGGCTATCTTAATACAGATCTGAGGTACTTCGGATTATGTTTTAAAAGACTACATCCGATCTGATCTCTTCTAAACTGGAACATTCGTATCCAGTTTCAGAAATTACATTTGCTTATCAATCATTCCGTAATAGAAGGAGAGGTTAACCTCTATCATCCATCAAGAATTTTAATTACTGTGCCAAAGGGCATCTAGTATGCAGACATTATGATGTCAATTCAGATCTCAGATTTTTTTAAATAACACCACTCACTCAACTGACATGGAGGAAAAAGCAGAGGTTTGAAAAATCTTAAGTACATAACAAGAGACAGTCCAGTGCTTTACCATCGGTTTGCCTGAACGTCTGATCCATATCACTTTTGTCAAAGCCCAGATTTAGTGCTATCTAAAGAGCTGTCAAACATTTCATTTCCTTGATCTGAACAGTTTAGAAAATCTTCCTACTAAAGAGGAGAGACGACAGGTGATCGCTGGAATTTTAAAGATTCCATGAGACCCCTCTTATACTTATCAATAAAGAATTTACCTCTCACAGGAAAGAAATAAAAAAAAGAGTTGTAAATATTTAATCTGAGACTCTCGTTCTTTGAATATTGGAAGTAGACAGTTCTCGCAAAGAGAACTGCCCTCAATCTGCAATCTAATCACTGTGCCCTGATGCCTGTTCCCTTTACAATTTTTGCCTGACGCTGAGATAGGTATGGACTTAATTTTTCAGTTGTGGGTGAATTGGTACTTAATATTTAGTACAGATTGGCTCACTAATCTTGTCAAATATCTACTTATAAACCAAAAACACAGTAATATTCCTGGAGTAAGTATGAGACTAATAATAATTTTGAATGAAAAAATTTATAATGTGAAGAATTACCAACAAGATATGCCACAGAAACAGTTTTTATTCCATGCAGCCATTGATTCCTGTATCAAATGGACACCTATTCCGTTCCTAAATCTTGTTTTTCTTCCTTCGAATTTTGCAATTCTGGTTTATAAATTACTTTCTGGACTTACAAGTAGTGGTTACTATTGTGTTGGTTGAATATCAAAATTTTCTAGGAGTGTCAACCCTATCAATGCAATACATCTCACTTCAAGTAGTCCACAATTGAAGTTTGTTCAGAAAGAATCACTTCAGTGCTCAAAAGGATCTAACAAAAGAGGCTTTTAGAAAATGTTTTTAACATCAGACCCTACTTCAGCTATTATTTAGATACTGAAAGTCATTTTCAGCCCCTATCACCGACTTATTCTAAGGAGGTAAACTAAGTAATCTACTGAAATAAGCACATGCAAAACATGTTGACGTGTATCTCTCGTCTGCGGGGCGATTATTGAAATGATATCGACTGTATGTCGCCGCTTTGTCGTGTCGTGCATCGACTGAGTGCCACTTAGTCGATGGCGCGACTCGACAAAGCGGCGACATACAGTCGATATCATTTCAATAATCGCCCCGCTGGACCATTAGGTAGTAAGTATGTGGTTGGCTGACAAGATAAGTGCTCAAAATTCATATTCCTGTTTCTGTAGAGAAAATCAGTGTGTAGGTTTATCATGAAAACTATTTTACTACTTTTTTTATGGGTATTTAAGACTTTTTGAGTATCTTAATCAAAATTCCCAAAATCCAAGTATGGAGGTACTTAATTCTTTGATACTTTAACAGAAGCTGTTGCAGTAGAATTATCTTTATATAGCACTGCTTTTTCCCCAGCTTATTTCAGTAGTTTCTACTGCTTTTCTCATTATTTTTAATGTTTTCTGTATATTTTGAATTATCGTTGGTCTCTGCTGCAGATTTCTAGATATCTGAGCTTTACCAATTTTGCAAACTTAGATGCAATATTTTCATGTGAGACCTTGAACTTTTGCCTTTACTTGTAGATGAAAACCCTTTACATTTGCTTGTCACAAATGTCTGCAATAATTTTGCAATATTCTTTTAGACCAAATCCCTCTTCTCTCTTTTTTTTAGGCTTGGCCGCCATGTCAGACCAAAACACTGCGGAACAAACAAAGAAAGAGGAACAGAAAATTACTGACGCAAGTGGAACTGCTGAGACATTGTTGGATGCAGAATGTCCTGTCCAAGAGTCAAAAGTCCCATCCACCACTGAAATCTCTGCTGACTCTGTAAGTCAACCAACTGAACCTATTTCAGAGGAGCTTTCTGTCGATGGCCAAAAAAACCCGTTGAAGTCAGAGACGAAAGACACGGGGAGTGATTCCTCTGCAGGGACAAAAGCCCCCACACATGATGTTTCAAGAGTCACAAAGAGCGGGGATAGTTGTAAATCTTCGGTGGCAGAAGATGAAGCAAGTGCTGGTTCAAGGGTTACAGCCGATACAGTCAGCGGAACATCTTTGGCCAAAGAGGATACACCAACTAAAATACCTGCAGTCACCACTGCCACCGATAGCATAAACCCCGCTAAAATCGAAGCCACTTCAACCATCACTGCCCCAAAAATAGAAGCCACCACTACTATTAGCCCTAATGAGACTGAAAGCACCATTAGTGATGCCTCTGGAAGCGTTCCTGACTCAAGTGCCAGTACTTCTGTCACGGTTGATAAGAGAAGTGCATTGGAGAAGGTTTCTCTTGATGAAGTCTCTGAAACGAGTGTAGATAATACCGCAGCAAGTTCTGAGTCTCAGGATGCCAGACAAGGAAGCTCAAATGAGCCCAAAGTCTTAGCTAAGTCTGCCGATAAATGTTATACATCAGAACAGAGCTCAATTGCAAACTCTGATGCTGTATCTGCAGCAGCAAAATCTGTTCCTACAATCAAAGTCTCAGGTCTTGTAAGTCTCCCATCTTCAAGCTCTGAAAGAAATGTCTCTAAGAAACCAGTGAATGAATCAATTCAAAATGAGTCTGATACAAAATCTGAAGAATATTTGGCTGAAAAGGACCGGTCTAAAAGCGCCGCAGCTGGTGGAAAGAATGAAGTCGATTTAAAAAAAGATATTTCTGATGGGAAAGGGACAATCATTTGTGGCAAAACAGCAGGAAACAATTCAGAGAAGCCTCCATCTCAGGCAGAAACTTGTCATATTTCAAGTAGCAGTAGCGTGAAGTCTGAAAAAACTTTATTAGCATCTGATAATGAAAAAGTTTCTGATTCTAATGAGTCAGAGACTAATGTGATGAAAGTCAAGAATGAGAAAAGCTCAAATGGCTCTAAAACAGCCGACTCAAGTGAAGAAAAGTCATGTAACTTGCCTGCAAGTAAACCAAGTGAAGTTAGTAAAACAGTGACACAGATTTCAAAGTCTGATTCAGAGCAGCAAGAACCTGTATTAACAAGTGTAATAGATTCTAAAGAGTCTCCATGCAAAACAGGTAGTAAATTTAGCAAAGACCCTTCCTTACAACAAGAAGAAAACGCTTCACCGTCAATTATCAAGTCGTCAATTGTAAAATCCACTCAGGGCTCGGCCAAAACTCTTGAAATTAGTACCAGCGAGGCAAGTAACACTAAATCAATCCGTGTTGACCCAGTGGGTGAATCACAAGAGTCATCAAAAATTGAAAGTGATGTAAAGCTAATATCACAGTCAAAAAATCTCAAGGAGGCTAATCCAAAGGGAGAAGCAAAGAGTGAAATTGATCAAACAGATGAATGTAAAATCAAGTCCGATATGAAAGTGGTTGCTCAGAAGTCTGACAGCAAGTCAACATGTGATATATCAAAGGAAGGATCCGAGAGCACATCCAACATTCAAGCAGACTTAAAAATGACAGCCTCAAATTTGGAAAATGTGAAATCTGACGAGGTAAGCGTAGCTCAAAAAGTGTCTGAGAAATCAGATTTGTTAAGTGCAATTGAAGCTGTCAAAGTGGAGGCTGAAATTATGAAAAGTAAACAGAAAGTAGAAAAATCCTCAGATATACCTGGAAAAGAAGAGGTAAGCAATAGTACAGCTAGAAAATTGAGTACTGAAAGGCAAGCCTCCTCCATAGAGGACAACACGAATGTCGACAACAAGGCAACTGCTTTTGATGCCCCGCCAGATAATAAACTTAATGGCTCATCAGTTCCCAGTATGGATGTTAAAGAGAATGAAAAAGGGAAGCCTGAAATTTCCGAAGTCTCATCTACTAACAAAAATCTTAGTACAAAAAATAATGAATCAAATCCTGAAGCATCACCTTCAGTGAAGAATTTAAAACCTCTTCAGGTTCCTACCACAGAAAGGAAAAGAGCTGAAGAAAATTCTCAAGCTGAAAGCAAAATTCATCAAGCGGAAAGTAAAATTGTTCAAGCTGACAAGTCAATACAAGCACCAGAAACTCCTAAAACTGATAAGCAGAACAGTAAGGAGTCTTCGAATATTTGCTCTTCAACCTTAAATGAAGCCACCTCTAAAAATTCACCGGAGTCTGCAATGGAAATGAACAAAAAAAGAGAATTGTCAGATACATGTCCTGAAACACAGGCATCCTCCAATGATGGTTCCAAAAAGCAACAAGTCTCCAGGTTGGAAAATGAGCAAGATATCAAGGAGCCTGTTACTGTTGTGAAAGGATCAGCCCCTGTTAGTGCAATCAAGAGTCCTGAATCTTCGTCAGAAAGTAAGCAAAACTTGGAGGAGCTGAAAGCTGACGTTAAAACTCCCTCAAATACTGAAAAATCCGTGAAAGTTGAAGTGTCAGTCTCTGCAATAAAACAGGTTGAAAAGAAACAGGAAGTAGATAGCAGAGTACCCTCAAAAGTTTTAGAACCAAAAATTATCCTCAAGCCCTTATCAAAATTAGAAGAACTCAAGGCAAAATCTGGAGAAGCTATTGAAGTTTTGGTTTCTTCTGAAAAATCAAAAAAGCTAGAATTATCTTCTCCCAAAATTAGTGAAAACAAAGAGAAAGCCAAACCATCAATTGAAGTCACCCCTGTGGTTGAAAAAGCAGTGAAATCTGATCCGAAAACCAAAGAAAATTCTGAAGATTTTGGAGCAGATGATCTCTCACCTGGCTCTAAAATTACAGAGGTCTCCTCTACAGGAATCCAAGCCTTAACTAACGACTTAAATAAAACAAAGGCTGCCGAGAATGAAAAATTAAAAAGTGAATCGGTTATCCCTAAAAAAACAAAACAAACTGAAAAACCCTCTATAGTTGAAATCACAATTGATGATGCTTCTGAAGATGCTTCAATTTCCCCTGCAGAAGTTAAAAAAGATGCTGAAAATCTTGTTGGAGTAGAAAGTAAGAAACTCTCTGTTGTTGAAAAAATCAAGAGCTCCTCCTCTTCAAAAGGGGATGAAAATACAAAAAAGTCCAATTTAACAGCTGAAGAAGAAAAATCATCCACCACACCTGAAAAGCTAGAAGTGTCAGAGGTGCAAACCGAAAAAATCAAGGAGATTTTAAAAGAATCGCCAGTTGCAAATCGTGAGTCCTTTTCCTCAGCTGATAAACCCGAGAATCTGGAGGAGCCTATTAAAAAAGGAGATGACTCAGAAGATTCTCTTGATGACATCAGTATTATTCCGAACCCTAAAGAGCCTGTTACCTCCCAAGTCGTTGCTGACTCAAAACAAGAGAAAGCTAAACCCGCTGAAACTGGAAATGCAATCAAGACGGCCGGTGCTGATGACAAACAGGAGGCATCCAAATCCTCGGAAGAAGAGCCAGGAGTAAATTCTATGCCTACAGCCAACAAGAGTCTCCCCGGACCTGTCAAACCGAAGACCACCAAAGTCATGCCGAGTCTCAGGGAAATCCGAAAGATTCCTCAGAAACCAGAAACAGGAACCGGCGGCATGTCCATGTCAATAGTGAAAAGACCGCGTTTGTCCGTATCTGATAGCGATTCTGGAGGGCCAGCTTCTTCCTCCAGCAGCGCAGAGAAGGTGTCGAAGCCACGTTTTTCTATCGAAAATGACCCGCTTCTCAACATTACATCTGAATGTCGCGTAGAACTTGAAATAACCAAAATTCCTGCAAATTGCCAACTGAAAACTGAGCCGGGCGGTAAGCCAGTGTTTGTACTCAACAGAAACTCTGCGGGTCCATCTACTCAAGATGTTAACAAGAAGCCCAAGACTCTGTTGAGGAACTTCATGGCCCCGAATCAGCCTAATCAGGCCCCTCTAATGAAGCGCATGGGCAGGCCACCGAAAGACCCTAACCGAATGATCCAAGTGAGTCCCATGGATGCGTCAATGCTGAACAGACCCAGACCCACTGTTTCCAAGAGAGGCAGGAAACGTGCAATGACCATTGACATGGCACGGCAGCCTGGGCCTCATTCTCCAGCAATGAAAATGGTTAGAACAGATCCACACCTCAAACATCGGATGAATATGGCGCAAATGCAGAGGATGTACCGTAAATCAGGACCCTCCGGACCTTCGCCCAAAACAACGTCCGCCTTGGAAATGCTCTTGATGAATAGAGGAGTCACACACAACCCACCAATCAGTGATGCCTCCGTTGCAAATTTCTGTCAGGTTGAAGAACTGGTGACTGAGCCAGACATGTATTCAACGCCTATCAAGCAGCTTAAAAGCCTGTCAAAAGGTCCAGCAAACTCCATTCTGAAGCAAATAGCCTATGGGAGCCAGCAGTTTGGTGCAATAACAATATCGCCAGTTAATCCATCTCCTATGCGAATGCCTCCAACTCCCACTCCTCAAGGTAATCATTATAATTTTCATCTAGGCATCTTTGAATAATTATTTTAATTTGTATCTGCATATCCCTTGCCAAAATATTTGAGAGATAGATTGACCTTTTAAAAAGGATGCTAAAGACTTTCCAGCTCCACCCAACAATTTATTGGGTAGAAAATTCTTGAAAATGATCATCACTCATTCTATTTTGAAAATTGAAGGTGCAGCACTAGAAGGTCATCAGACAGCATTTAATTTAAGCAAGTACTTGGGTATATAGGTCCTGACGATTATGAAGTAACCCTTTCAGAACAGAATAAACCAGACATCACTTAGTGTTTTTAAATTAAAAAAGGGAATAGAAGATTTGGTTTGTCTCTCAATTCAAAAAAAAATGATAATGTGAGGGGTGTAAATTTTTCATCCAGTAGCTTTGTAAATGAAATGTAATCAAATGACTAATACTTAGACCATATGTTGCATGGCTCTTACTTTTGCTCTCTGTTTAGCAGTCCATTAATTGAATGCATATTTAATTAAGAGAGCAAAATGAATTTTTTCATAGTAATTAAAAAAAAATTACCTCAGAAAATCGCTTTCCCAAAAATTTACCTCTCTTTAATCACTTGATTCAAAATATAATGAAACTCTTTTATTTTTCAGCCACTTCCTTCAGGCCAGGCCCCAGACCAGGTCCCAGACCAGCGCATGTCTCCCGTTCCTCCAGTATCGATGACATAATAGACAGCGTTGCTGCAGGTGAGGGCGAAATAAGCCCCAAGTGCCTGCTTGAGCTCAATAGTGCTGGTGAACCGAAGAAGAAACGTGGGAGGCCACGAAAAATCGTTCCCGGTCAACCCGCATACTCTCAGTTCCAGTCAGAGTCTCTTCAATGTGCACCAGACCTATTTTTCATGCAGCAAGGGCACCAGCCTTCTGTGCGACCCACTCCACCCAAAGTATCTGCGCCTGATGGAGTCTCGACGCCTTCACCCCTCAAGTCTGCACCTGCCCCATCTACGCCTGTCACGCCTGAGTCATTTGCTGAGTCCTTTGATGAACCCTCAGAAATTCTGTCTTCAGAAGTTGAGGAGGGTGGAGAGAAAAAGAAGTTGGCAAGTGGTAGAGCTGCTCGTATGTGTACTATCAAGGAACCAAAGAAAAAGAAAGATGGTGCCACCCCAAAAACTGGGGAAAAATGTGAGAATGTTTTTTTTTTTCTTTCTCTGGGCTCTTTTAGTGCTTATGTTTCTTCTAGAGGCCAAACAAGGTTGAAAATTTTAATCTTTACATCAAATGTCTGTGATGAGAAGAGAGGTGGAATGATTGTGGAACCTAATTTCTAAATTATTTCAAGTTGGACCTTTTTATGATTGAAATACTTATAATGATGGTGAAAGCAGATTGGATCGTAATCACTACGTTCCAAAATCTCTGTGAATAGTTTATTCTTTTACAAAAATTCGATCTGCTATTTTTACACATAAATTTTAGGGAATATTCTTGAGAGGTCGAAGAAAAATCACATTTAATTGCATGATGATAATTGGTCTGTTCTCAAGAAATTTTTTTGCATTTTTGCAACATTGCTGTATAAGATATATATAGTTTTTCTATTTTCATCATTGATGTAAGATTGAGTTCCTAACCTCTAGCATCTGCGTAGAGGCCATTCATAAACAGTGTAAAGCTAGATTTAGGATTTTTCGACACCCCTACCCCCTCCTTTAATAACGCTTTTGTGGCGTAGGTTATGGTTGTACGTAGGCATGTTGAAATAAGACGCAACACTCTCCTTGACCTCCCTCCCTAGAGTGTTACATATATTATAAAAGGCCCCATAGATATAGCTCCTCTCTTCTCCTGGGCATTTACCCCCTTTGGAAGACATTCATCATTGATTGATCATCCACTACAAGTCAGTCAGGGGAAGGAGGGTGAAGAAGAAGGGGTGGAGGGTGACAAAATTTTGAAGCCGTTTTGATACAAGGCTATAATCACTTTAGTATCCTCAATAATTGTCATCAGTAGCATTGAAGTCCGGCTAGGAGTTGTACATGCATAGGTTTTGGTAACTTCGTTCCATTCCATTCTCTTTTCTTACTTTTTTTTTCTTTCTTATTGCCCAGCTCCCAAGAAGAAAAAGAAAGACGAAGAGCCAGCGGAGCCAGATCCTGAGGAAGAAGCACGCAAGCTGCGAGAGGCCGAAGAAGAGGCAAAACGAAAGGCCGAATTGAAGGAGAAGCGCCTTCAAGAGAGACAGAAGCGAACAGAACTGCGTACAAAACTCCTTGCTGAGAAAAAAGCTAAATTGAAAAGACGAGCTGAAGAGAGGAAGAGGCAGTATTATGAGAAGAAACGCAAGCTGCAAGAGGAAAAAGCCGAGATGGAGCGAAGACGTGCTCTTGCCCCACCCGAAAATTTTTCAGAAGAAACCCAAATGGGTGATGGTACGTTTGTCATTGACAGTATCAAAATTACTAAAACTTAAAAAACAATTAACATTGTTTGTATCTGTATGAGAGTGTTTAGTTAGTTTTCTTTCCCATAGTATTGGAACAATTTCAAATTTCCACTCGTAATTTCTCACATAAATGGCCATATTCAGCCTTCAAGTGACAATCTAACAGTAACGAATCAGAAGCACACGCTAATAACCACAGGAAATTAAAATCAGCCGAACAAAATTTTGATTTTACAGTCAACTCTTGTCAAGTGAGAATGCACTGGAGCTGGGGCACCACTCCTACTTAAATGAATCATTGCCTACATCTGCGAATAAATGAGACTGGCTGCTCTTTCTCACTTGTCGGGTTTTCTCACTAACTGGGAGGTGACTGTAGAAACCAAAAAAATGGAGGCAGATCCAGCAATTAGGCAACACGGAATTTCCTTCATTCAAACCTATGCTGAATAATCGATTCTTGTCGGAGCACCTGGCCTCTTCAAAGATTGATACATATCCATAATTTTAAATGGAGGAATCAGGTGTTGCCAAATTGCCGGATCCGCCAATGCAGAAAAAATTGTGATACTAGGGTGCAGTATAGATAAATTTGTTCTATGGTGGAGGAGGGACTGTTTGATTTCCATTCAGGTATCAGTAAAGTAGTGCAAATCCATTTATTTCTCTGTGATGAAGCAATAATTACATCGTCCAACACAATTTTTGAGTCTTATACCAAGACCTCTAAAATATTTTCTATCTAAGAACTAACCTCATGCCACAATTTCAGGTACTGTTTGGCTGAAGAATCTAATTTTAATGAGCACTTGACAGTATTTATGATCTGTTCAAAAGAGTGTAAATGGAATAATCAAGATGACGACAAATCATAGCTGTGCTAATTTCTCAGTAGCCGAGAACTGCAATAAATAGGGATGGACGAATATTGAATTCGAATGCGATTATTCGAATATTAGAAACTTTTCTATTGCGATTATTCAAGTATTCAAATCTTGCGATTTCGAATACTTTGGAAGCGAATATTCGAATATTTTCGATTATTGCTTCGATTTTTTATTTTTTTTGGAACCATGGAACATGGTACGGTTATTAATAGAGATCAATGACACTTTTAACTAAGATGGTCAGTCATTCTCGTGTGAAGTTGTGGACGAGTTTTAATTAATAATGAGATTGACGATAGGGATGGACGGTTTTCGAATTCGAATTTGATTAATAGAACTTTCGGATCTTGCGATTTTGAATACTTCAAAAGCAAATATTCGAATGTGATGCGATTATCTCAGTGCCAATAATTCGAATATCGAATATTCGATTATCTAAATATTCGACCATCCCTAGCAATAGATCGCAAACTCTTATTTTATTTTTGCAGACATAGTACCTCTAGGGTCACTCAACATGAGGTGTTTTACTAAATTGCGATTCTCATTTTTTCAGAAAACGATTCAGTGGGTGACCTCATTCGAAATAAAAAAGGACGCATGGAAGTCATCGATCCAGAAAGGTAAATAAGAATTCTTCAAGTCAGTTCAGTGTACCATGTGAAAAATGTACTTATTCTGATAAGTTATCACATTATCATCTAATGATTAGATCTGGCAAATTTTCTTATTCTATGTACCGTCCAGGATTTGTTTATTTTTTCAGTTTTTATGCACCCCCAAATTAAAACCAGAAATTTTAATCCGGATATCCTTTCAGTAATGTTAAATATATCTTATTTAATAGCAGTACTTAACTTCCATTTTCCCATAAATCATAGATTGGTAACACAAAGAGAATTCAAAAATATTTTGAGAATTGGAATGCAACTGAAAAATGGGGTGATTACTTCCATGACAAACATGATATTTTGAGTATTCTCTCTCCTCCCAAAAGTAGAGCCCCTTCAACAATTATCTATAGCTTTTCTCCATTAAAAATCGGTAAAATATAATCCGATGTATGAATATGTTATTTCCTTATTTGTCAGGTAACACATATTTTTAATAAGAGGATAACTCCTTCGTTTTAACTCTTTAATATCTTGAATGATGTCAGGGCAAGCACAGTGATTTTTTTGTTTTGTTCCCAATGGTTAAGGTGGGATGTTTACTTCAGACTTGAAGAATTTGCTCATAGTGTCTTCTGAGCCATTTTTCCTGAGAAACAAATATCTCTTATTTTTTCCAAAGAAAAAGTTTCCTGTAGCAAAATTTCACAATAACTTTGCAGATTTTAAAACTTTAGTAATTTTTGTGTATTTCTGTTAACATTTACAGCAGTAAAGAATTTAAAGTACATCAGGTAGCAGAATACCAGTGGCCACTGCAGGGCGGCGAGTTCTTCATGTTGCAAGAACAGATTTCGCAGTATCTGGGCATCAAATCTTTCAAAAGAAAATACCCGGATATCAAAAGACGTACGGTTGAGGCAGAAGAACGAACATTTCTGTGTGATAGCGGACTTGTGTCTGAAACTATGTGTGATCTTGGTAAGTTCACTCAAGAAAGTTGATTTTCAACAATCAACTCAAGAAGGAAGTATAGAATTTAAGCTTTTTTTTTTACATGTACATAAATGTCTGAAGACTGTTAGCTTTTGCTGCAGTTATATTATATGATGATTTATTCGCACTATATTGAAAAGATTCAACATTCAAGCACTTTTAAGCTCGATGCCAGAACACATAAATTTCTTGAAGAATTAAGAACAAGGTGAGTTCATGACTTTACTTCGCAGTGTATTAAAAATGCTTGCACTTAAAGTAATTTTTCTTCTCTTCTCTTTCCACTAACTACGGCGCAAGCCCTGTCTATCCAGCCATTACCACATCAGATACGTCTAAAAGAAATAAAATTGATGGTAATTCAATAAGTTGATGAAGATGGATAAACATTGTGTGTTTATCAGAATGGACAGTCATCAAAAATTAGAAACATAAAACACATTCATTCATCCTTTGGGAATGAGAGCCAGTGTTCATCTCAAGGGCAGTTGTCCAAATATCTTTTTCCTCTTGTGGATTTGGAAAAAAAAAAAAAACCCCTCTCTTGTTCTCTCTTTACAACTGCACCCTTGTGGTTCTTTTTTCAGGTCTGACTGCTCTGAGAAGCGCAGATGTTTTGGACATCATGTTTGCTGATTTCCATGACAAGTATGAAGAATTTAGACAGCATTTGCGCGATATGCAAGCCAAGGAATTCTCTTTAAAGCAGTTAGGTAAATACCTATGATTAAGAATGTTTATTCCAAATTCAGTATTTATCACCTTTTGTTTTATTTCTCGGGTGTCTTATAATTTTAAATTAATCTTTAAGCATTATGCTACACTGAAATGAGCTTTGATATTGTTTCAGTGTCTAATTATACTCCATATTCTTTTTTGGAAAAGTGGAAGCAGACATGTATAAATAGAGAAATAAATAAAATAGGAAGAACTCCAAACATTTTAGAAGTATATTATAACTGAAAAGGAACTATATACAAATTCATTTAATCAAAAAGAACCATGAAGCCTACAAATCTACGGCTACCGGCAGTCAGAAAAACCTGGAAAAGTCAGGGACTTTAGTAACAAGGGCGTCGGCAGGGCAACTTCAGCTGGTGCTATGTGAGAGAGAGCGAACAACTTTCAAGTGCCTTTTCCTTAATTTGAATCTTTAAAATTGAAAATACATATATATATGAGTCGCTTTTACAGCACTCTTTGGCGCTTTACGACGCCTAATCGCCACAAAGCTCGGTCTTCCCACAGGTCATCAGGGAGTTGACAATCCCTCATCTCATTTAACACCCCCTGTCGCCAACCTCTCAAAAAAAAATACATAAATGAACTGAAATGAGAATACATTAATGAAAATACATGAATGAAAATACTGAATGAAAATATGAAATACTGAATGAAAATACATAATGTCCAAAATTTAGTAAAAGTCAGTGTAATTAAAAGGAGAAGAGTCCAAGTGGAAGTATCGTTCATAGATCCAGAAAATTGGGAAATTTTAGAATCACGGAAAGTCAGAGAATTGGGAAATGAAGAAATTATAGAAACTGAATTCTTGTTTCTTCTTCAGCTGCAGCTTTTTCTTTTATTCAATTCATTAGCACAAACAAAGGTTGTCCCAAAACAACTTAAAGTTGGACTGTTTTGAGGAAACTTTTAAAGGTATTGGAGTATTAGGTTTGTAAAAGCTTGCAGATCATGTCCTTCACATCTGTGATAGGTAGTTAATCATTTGGGCTGAAGAATCAAAGAATTTCTTTTCTTTTTTCCCCTCTTCTTCCTCAGACTTTTCAGTCATCCCAGGCTTGCAATGAAATATTGATTTTCAGAAGAATATTGATCCTTCAAGATCATAAGCATAAAACTATAAAAGTGGGAAGTGAGGAAAACTTAAAATTACCTGTTTGTACAGCTCTAGCTGGGAAACCAACGGGAGAGCAGTTAACCTCGATAGAAAAAGCTGTACAATCTGCAGCAAGGTGGAACAGCACTCTCAATAAAAGCCGGCAGGAGTCAAGGAAATGTTGTTTGGACCTCCAAACTTTTGTTATTCAATACCCAAAACCCCCAAAAGGGGCACAAGACAGTCCCAAGATTGGCAGTTACCCGATATCTTTGATTCCTGGACAGTTCACGGACTACTATAAGCGGTATGTCTCATTCATCACAAATTTGTTCCCAGTGCTCTAGCTAAATCATTCATCAGTAAATATTTGTAAATCTGAAGGATCTGATGTGAAGAAAATGATTATTTAATTTGTACTTTAGTACATATTGTCGTAGTAAGAGAGAATATTGTTTGGCCTTTTGTTGAAAAATCAAGAGAGTAAGTACCTGTAGCAATTTGCAGTGTGTAACTGTATTTTGCCAAGATTTAGCAATACTATCGCCAAATCTTGTTAGCTAATCTCTCGTCTTTGAAGAGGTTGGTAAGGAATTGTTTTGCGCAAGAATGATTTAGTCTTATCAACTCAGAGGATCTAATATTAGAGTTAGTGCATATTCGTGAGGAAAAATATTTGATTGTTGATTTCCCTTTTAAATTTTTCTGGTATTTATTTCCTCAAAATTTCATATCCCAACGCCAGTTTTTATAAAGTTTATGGCCAAAAAGTATAAAATAAATTCCGACACATTGCTTGCCAAGTCAGGCTCAAAGGTGAACATCGGCAAACCAATGGCAAATGCGTGCAAACTCTGGGTTAAAAAGTTTCAACCCTGATCTTAAAGTTTTTATTGAAAGTTAGCCCTTAGTTTTACATGTTTTCTAGCACAAAGAGCATTAAAAACAAGTTGGCCTGGAACATGTTTTTAATGCATCATCAAAAGGTACATTTTCATTAGCACTGTTATTCAAGAATGAATTTTAAAAAAAAATGCATATCACTGAGTTATGCTTTAATAGTCGACTTCAACTGGAAAAAGTAAATTCTCAAACCAGCTGTTTGCCTTTTCTTCAGGTACTCTGCAGCAGAGTTGCGGTATCTCCCTCTGAACACAGTTTTATATGGCCCCATCAAACCTTACAATGTTGTTGTGCGTGAATCTCGGAACACCTATTTCTCTGAATCGGAAGACTCAAGCTCTTCAGGTTCCAGGTAAATCCAATTTGCTTTTGATTTATTTTTCTTTGGCTCGCTCAAATTGAGCTGGCATGTTTCATCTTGAAAATCTCTAGCATCTGAAATTTCATGATGTTTAAGTGGAAAATCTTTAATGCTGTAGGAAGTGGCTCATTAGCTGTTGGTCATGTTGTGAGCATGGTTTGCCTCAATAGTCTCAATGAATTTATTTAATATCAGTGTTTCAGGTCACTCTTGTAATAATTTTTTCATGTATTGCTCAGGCATATGAAGCTCTCAATTTTATAATCTTTCCCAAAATATAAATTGAATGTGGTGAAAATTTGTCTTTTGGTCCATAAAATAGAACCTGCCATTGAACAGTCACACAGATGGCACATGAGTAGTTTGCAGTGAATCTTCTCTTCGCTTAATCTCTGTACAATACAGAAAATTAATGCCAAAATCAAGATTCTTGAGGGTGTAGTTTTCAAAATTTGCTGAGGAAGATTGCCTTTTTTCGGGAGGGGTTTTATGGAGGTGTTTCTCACAAAAGATTTTGAAATCCGAAAATAGGTAGGGGAAAAATTGCCTCATGGTGAGAAATTAAAGCCCCAACGTTTGCAGAATTTTTGCTCAATGTTTCAGGCCTGCGCCATTTTTGCTGCCAAATTTACGAATTTTCGCAAAATTGTGCTGATTTTGACAAATCAGGGCTTGTAATACGTGTGGAACAAATGCTGACATTTCTCATAACATTTTTTTGCCCTTCTAATTCAGTTGCAGCTCATCAGATGACTCTGATTCTGAAGAGTCTGTGAAGGAAGCTGCAATGGAAACAGAAGTTTCAGGCCAGGAAGGTGCCATCTGCAAAATCTGCAACGGAAACAGAAATAAGAATAAGAGGAATGTCCCGGAGGTTCTCATACAGTGTGCGCAGTGCACGGGTTGCTGTGAGTGCAGAAATTCACTATTACTTTTTTAATTCCTATTCCCATTAAAACTATTATCTCCCAGAATTTTTTTCTTCTTTTTGTTTACAAGTCACTATATATTTGTGCAGTTTTAGAAATATTCATCTGTAGGTTGTTTTATCTTTCAATAATTTTTAACTCAAACGATGTCATTTGTATTTTTGCCATTTAACCAATGTTAATTCAAATATTTGTATCCCATTCAGAAGTTGATTCTGAGACTTCTCGTTGCGTGATGCGTTTGCCTCAAAAAATTTTGAAGAGAAAGTATGTTGCATAGTGCTTTAATTGATATTTACTTTAACGGCCCACTAAGGGGCTACCAGGCTGATTTTTCTGAAATTAGCTTTCTTTTCATTTTTCCACTTTGATTCTCTTCAGAAAAATTATGTTCTTTTGACTGAATTTAATTCTATGTTGTTTGAAGAGATCAAACTTTATGCAGCTTACAATTAGCCAGTCAGACGAGAAAAACGTCCGATCACTGATTCAAAAAACTTTTTGTCTTCAGGTCATCCAAGTTGTCTGGACCTAGCTCCAGAGATGGTACCTCATATTCAGCGCTACGACTGGCAGTGCACAGACTGCAAAAGATGTGCGCAGTGTAAAGAAGTCTCTGATGAAGATAAGATGCTGTTCTGTGACCTTTGTGACCGAGGGTAAATATATTTTGGCGTACCCCTTGCTACACACTCTAGGGTATTAGGCCAGAATAAGACAATAGCCTCTGGACATAAGTTGAAAGAATCCAACGCAACAGTAACAATTGCAAAATTCAACGAATAAAAAATAGTATTTCGTCATGATGAAAGTATTGTATTTGATGTGTCATCAATCACTGTTTCAAATCATATTATTCATAGCCAAATCTAATTTTTATTGATGAGATTTTTTTTGTTGCAAGCGCTTTTTCATATTTAAGCACAGCAGATACAGCCCTTTGTTGGGCCGTAATCTCAAATTTTGCCTGGATTTTGACCTAATCAATGTAATTTATCACATGCCAACCGACCATGGATCAAATCACCTCAGTGTAAATCCCCGGTCTTTTTGCCCTCTTCTTAGAAGAAGGAACTCAGAAGAAACTTACATGGAACACAGATCTGAATCCCTGCTGAAGTAAAAAATTTAGGCAGGTCCCACCCTCAATTTTCAAAGGTTTTTGACAAAATATGGCCTAAAAATCTTTTTCTTCCACAAAATTACCCAATTTTTTAAATCTGGAAGACATGTGTCGCTGCTTTTTAGCCCCTTTCATACTGCTCTGTAGAGCAGGCTCGACTAAGGCTTCAAACTTAAAACTTAAATGCTCCCTTATGTCTGCAGTGTGTTCTTATCATTCTAGATTTGCCATCTGCTCATAACAACTCTTGTCATTTTGACTCTTATCCAACAATTTTTCTGAACTAGGTTTTTTTATTGGCTTTTGATTTTCTCTTGAAAGAAGTGTTCCTCCATGTCTAATGTTATTCTCCATGCAGAGATAGAACTGAATACTTTAGCAGATATGTCACTACATGTTCTGATTTCCAAGTTTCAATATGATAATTTTCAGTCCACTACCATGACAAACTTGTATCCAGTCCTGTCTCTACATGAGGAACTTGACTAAATACAGAGGTGGACTCTCTCATGGCGCAAGTCAGCTCCTCCATAATAGCCTCAACCTCAAGTGCTTTCTTAAACTTTGAAGTTGATTTTAGAAGAAATCAATCACAACACCGTGTTTTATGTAAAATTTGACCCAAGCTTAATGAAATGGATAAATTGAAAATTTCTGCTGCATCCAAGAATTCCATTAACTGCTTGCTGTATTCCCAGGTATCACATTTACTGTGTTGGATTGCGGAAAGTACCGGTAGGACGTTGGCACTGTCAGGAATGTGCTGTTTGTGCCTCCTGTGCAGTTCATGAACCAGGCCCGGGTGATGCAGCTCAGTGGCACCATGAAGTAAGTGTTCCAACTCAATGCAATTCAGTGCTCTTGCTAACAATTTTTGTCACTAATGGAAGCATACTATTTATCCATATAACTTAACAAACTTTATGTCATGTTTTATTTTATTAAAGGAAAATAATCATCTCTTTTCGAGAATTGCTCACTCTGGTTTTTTTCCTTGATGAACAATTTTCCGCTAAATATTTATAGTCCTTAAAAACTGATCCTCACCATTTCTTCATCAAAAATTTTCCTTCAAAGACGAGGCCAAGCTGTGAACAACAAAAAACCAACCGATTGATTTGTTTGTAGGTCTACTATTAAAAAGAAAGTGAAGACAAAAAAGAATGGTGTGGTAACAGGCAGAAGGTGAAAGAAAGTATGATATCCTGTACCTTCATCAATAATTTATTCAAAGGGGGATACTCCATGATCCTCAAGAGTTTTTTATCATCATTATTATGGGCTTTCTGTCCTTAGATCATGATCAGAGTATCATGTTTTTCCCTTTTTTGGGATCCTTCAACTAATATGGACTATTTTTTCTCTCTTTTTTCCAGTTTAAAAAAGGCGGAAAGGGTAGCAAAAATATTTATGTCAGAAGTTTTTGTGAAAATTGTGCCAAGTAAGTAATCTTTCTTGTTCTTAATAGTTCACTCAATCTGAAGCTTTAGGGCAGTAAGTAGAATTTCTGTACCTAGTAATGGGACCATTACTAGTTACTTAACGTACAGGAAAAAAAAAGGGGGGAAATGGTTAGAGAAAAGCTTGCTATTTTCAAGAGTCCAAAAGTCTCTTGATTGATTCTAATCTTGGGACAAATTATGCAGAGGAATTTTACTTCAAAGGACTTGCAATCAAGAATTGTAAAAGAACTTTACAATTTTTTGAACTCTCTTGGGCTGCATACATTTTTTTTTTTTTTTTTTTTTTTTTCAAAATTCGAAAAATGATCAGTCTTATGAAAGCGTGCGTTAGTGTATTTTCCGAAGAAAATACACTATTTTTTTTTTGTTTTTTTTTTTTAAAAAAAAAAAAATGTAAAATGACTGCCGTAGATTATGAAAAAAGTATGCTCTAAAATGTTTGGTCATTATGTACGTTTAGATAAAAAAAAAAGGATGTGTTGTGAAACTGAGTGCAAGGATTGTTGAGAGCTCTATTAATGCAAGTTATGCTGTTCATTATTTCCGGTATTATTATGTAACATTCATTGTTCTCTCTTTTTTCCCTTCTGTTTTAGAGATCAAACTCCAGCAGAAGGAAACATTTTAAGGCGAGAAAGTTAGAAACTCCTCAATTGTAAATTCTAATTCAGAAGTTCCAACATCTTTACTTGAAAACACCATGTTCGGGAGTTCTCACGTCATGTAAAAATGATACTTATAATTCTCGAAAGAGAAGGCAAGGCCTCCTTTGGTCGTTAGAATTTACTACTTTTATAGAAGTGTTTTCATACTTCAACTGATGCTATAGTTGCTTAAAATCTGAGCTGTTCATCAATATGAAGGAATCATTTGTTATCGACTGGATCATTGAAAGAGAAATATTGCTATGCGTAGAATCAAAAAAATTACTGGACTTAATTCTAGTTTAAGATTTTTGAACTGAAACAATAATGTATTTATGAACCTTTCAATCTACTCACTGACACTTATTAGCGTTAAAATGAGTTGATAGAATTTTAAATGTTTTTGTGTGTGTCATCACTTAATTAAAAGTAATGGCTCCTGCAAAGTCTTTTCATGATTTTGTGAAAGAAAAAGAATTACTTGAATAGTGTATATAGGATTGTATGTAATTGTGCCGAAGAAGTTTGTAATTTTTTGTGCAATGACGTTTTTATTTAGTCCTTTGACAAGTCTCAATATTTGGTTGCTTTTTTATTTTTTTACCGTTTTTATTTTTGAAAACTGCTCTGAAAGTGGAAAATTTGGCAGTACAGTTAAATCGAGTGCACTGGAGCGTGGGGTTGTCCTTTAATGGATTTTGTATTGAAGTATATTTTGATATAATGGAAGTTCCTTTTCCATCCTTTACAAAATTAACAGTTCGATCTTTGAAAATTCTATGTAAATTCTATGAAATACTTGCCCTTGCATAATACACAAATAAACGTAATTATTCAGGAAGAACCGACAGTTTCACCAAATTAAATATCATTGAGAATACATATGTTTTTACATTGAATGTGTAAAATCAAGGAGCAAAATATATTATCATCAAATTCCATGGAAATACAACTTCCGGAAAGGATCTTCCTCCCTTATTTTGCACTTAGTGATGACAGGGGTAAGAACAGAATTTAAGGAATTTGTATATGTATATAAGCGTTATCTCTCTCAGAAAAACTTCACCTCTTGTCTATCTATTTATGACTTGAGCTTCAATTCTGCCCAGTATTCTTTAGAATACCATGTCATAAACTTTGCATGTACGGAGCAAGTTGGTGCTTTGTCTGAGGCGACTGATTCAATAGAGATTCAGTTTGTTCTATTGGTGCATGTAAACAGGCAAGTTTCTCCAAATAGATTCTTTTTTGTTTCATTTAAATTTCTAAATAATGTATATTTTTCCAATTATCACGACACTATCATAATATGGGACAGAAGTAATAGTAAGCTTCAAACGATATAATTACTATAGTGCATAGATTGCACCCTAGACTTTCAGCAAAATGGTTCCAAACCTTTTGATTTGTTGACACAAGAATTCTTTACCCTTATCCAAAGTACTAACCCAGATCCCATTTTTTGAACACTCTGCAAGCACTTTCCAAGTGCAAACTGTATTTATGTAATTGAACAGTTTTTGAATTTTTGAGTATTATTTATTTGTTTTTTGTGTTGTATATTGTTAGAACATTTACACCTGGAGGCTGATTCTTCACAGCTGCTTCGACTGGACTCGACAATTTCGATAATTTAACACAATTCAGACATTACTCTCATAGGGCTTTGACCAATCAAGTTTAATCAAAATGGTCATCAATAATGTATAGAATCACACTGCAGTGCTTCGACCAGGTATTGTTGATAAAAAATTGATCTCATCATGAAAACATTCAATGAAAACGAAGTTGGTTTGCCGTTTTGATGCTTTATGATGAAGAATCAATCAACAGCTGCCCAACTTAGCCAGGAATTGTTTGAGAAATTATAAAGGAAGTTTCTCCTTGGTTATTGAGTAAATGGCTTACTAAGCAATATTTAAAGGAAATAGGTTTGAAAAATTGTCATCAGTCATTAATAATGTTTACATTGTCTGCATTTGTGGAAAGGACAATGGGAACATAAGCTGAAGTGCTTATACACTGTAAGTCAGTATTGTGTATCCCCCCTTCATATCTCACCATTGAGACAAAGGGAGGTTTTCTCAATTTTAAACTAGGGCCCATCTGGGGAGATTTCTGAATGTCAAGGTTTTTTTTTTGCAAACGCTGGCAGAAGTGGCGCACCCAGACCTGCGTCCAATTCCGAGCCTTTTCAGTGTGTTGCTGGTACCAACTAAAATTTAATAAAAATTCTTAACATTTATTTAACATACTTTTCCATTACCTTCATTGAAATAGGACTATTTCATGGGAATTGTTCAAATGAAAGGGAAAGGACGGTATTTACTGACCCATTGTAATTTTTCGTGTCATTACATTCCATGTATAACAAATTGAATGCGATACCATTATTAGGACAATACATGAAGCCTTGGATCTTACGAGCTCTTAAATTGTGTAACGGAAGTGTAAAATGGAATGTAATGAAAAAAAAAAAAAAAAATCTGGGATGAACTGCAAAAAAATTGGTCTCTTGCAATATGCTTTGCCGTAAGAATTATGACATTAAGGTGAGAGTAAAATGGTGATGCAAGCGTTCACAATAGCTCGCTGCACTGACAATATCAGGTCCTGTTTAGGTACATGTATTGAACCTACATGTGCTGCCATTTACTCAGTATTAAAGTTTATTCGCTACATTTTCAGGGATCTTCAGAGGTGGGCCCTAGTATAGGTGGTGGAAATAGAATCTCCTATTAGTCCTAGATGAACTTTGATCATAGGTTTCACATGACCCAATTATACACCTGTGATTTTTGTAAGTCGCAACCTTTAGTCAACGTATTACAATCCAAATGTTAATTAACTTCGTTACATGCCTTTTTTTTCATCTATTTTACTATGTTCAAAGTTTTCATAATCTCTTTTTCACTGTAAATTTTCGTTGTACGCCTAATTGTCCCTTGCAGTAGGGTAATATCGTGGATTTTTGTAGGTGATTTTTCTAAAATTTTACTGAACGTTAGATGATGCAAAAATATGTAATTCAGTACTGAACCATAATCCATTTTTCTTATTGGGGCAAAAAAATCGAACTGCACAGCCCCTGTGAATCACCTGCTATTTAGGAAGTTAACATAAAAATCTGCGATTGTTTTTTTTCATCATTCGTCCAAGGTGCCCTAGTAAATGGCAAAAATCCGTAGTTCTATTAATTTTCAGCTGTCTGTGATCTTCCTAAAAGCCCGGATCAGACGATCAAAGAAGAGGCTTCAAAGAGATTCATCGATGCCTTTCCTGGCTCTCTCATTGACCAGCGGTTTGAGTCGGGGCAATCGATGAGTCTCTTTGAAGCCTCTTCTTTGATCGTCTGATCCGGGCTTTTAGGAAGTAGAGGCTTCAAAGAGGTTCATCGATGCCTTTCCTGGCTCTCTCATTGACCAGCGGTTTGAGTCGGGGCAATCGATGAGTCTCTTTGAAGCCTCTACTTTGATCGTCTGATACGGACTTAACTCAGTGTCAGGTACGCAATGGATAATTGGACGTATTTCTGTCAAACAGAACTAAGCGCCATAGGGTAAGGAAGGTAGAGGGGGAGGGGGTAGAGGTAGGTGGGGGGTATTGGCGACGAAACCGGGCGTCGGGCTCATTCCATCCTATACTCGCAATGCTTTTCCATGGCGCATAGTTCTGTTTGACAGAACGCGCTATCCGGCACTCTAAATTCCTCAGAAGGAACTCAAATTGGCGCTTAGTTCCTTTTGACAGAAATAAGTTCAATTCACGAATTTTATTTCATAATTTCTCTCCTAAAACACATTGTATTTTGAAGACTCAACATGTAACCACACACCAATCAATTGAAGTATCGGGGGAATAGCTGTGACTGTAAAATGTTTTGAACTTCCTCAGCATCTCTTCAGCAAGGGACTTCTCCAAAAATGTATCTGATCAAACAGACAAATTACATACCTACTAAACTGAGGAAAATGAAAGAAAATAATTTCCTAGCAAGGAAGGGTTTTGTAATGAATGCTGTACACTTTTTTTTTCAATAACGGGCATTTGTGAAGTTTTGTATTGTGAACTTCAACTCACTTGTTCCTCGGGTGCATTTGTGTCTTTACTTTAAATGAATACACAATAAAGTTTACTTATACAAATTGAAGAATTCCTGTTTCTTTTTCCTGCACGGAAAAAAAAGAATTCCTGATTCAGCAATTCAATTGCTAAAAACAGTGAGTGCAATGTTTCAACGCAGATTTTACAACAAAAAAATGCTACTTTAACCACCCCCGTGGCTAAATTAGTTTACAATGTGGTTAAAGTAACATTTTTTTGTTGTAAAATCTGCGTTGAAACATTGCACTCACTGTTTTTAGCAATTGAATTGCTGAATCAGCAATTCTTTTTTTTCCGTGTGTGCACTGATTTTTTTTCTAAAGACGAGAGTCGCCTTGTATCCAAATACTAATGAAATGTTTGTGAAACCGTCCGGAGGCTGTTTTTAATGGCAGATTTAACATACGTTGAGTATGGTTTTTTTGCAAGCGGGAAAGAAAATTGAATCCACTATTTACGGTGTAAACCAGGAAACATTGGTTTTTTACTTATGACTTCATTTTGGAAGTTTCTGACAAGTTCAACATGTTCTGCATGGAAATTTTGATGAGGAAGTCAGACTGATCTAAATATCTGACAGGTGCTAAGAGTGAGTAACTTTCATATGTTAATTAAGAATTAAAGGGTTACAAAAGGTGATAGAAACAGGCCTTGCAAGGACCAACGGAACAAAAAAATTCAACAATACAGAATGTAGTAAATTATTTCTTTTTCTTTATTCATTTAAATAGTACTGTTTACAAATATCTTCTTGATAACAAAAAGTATTCTTTACAAATGGTTTGTTACAATTGTCTTCACACAACTGTGAAAGGATGAGTTTTTTCTTCTTTTTTTACTACATTGGTAGATTTTTTCTAACTGAACCTGATAACTTCACACGTCACGAGGAAGGGTGGAGGATGAGTACCAATTTTGCAAGAGCAAACTGTTAATTTAGTTTGAGATCACAGTTAGAAAGGAGGAGGCAGATGTAGAAACATAGAAAATAATAAACAAAACATAATCCAGGTAATTCAATTGTTATTTGTGGTTGGTTTAAAAAATTGAAGGGATATTGTTTGATTTAGAATGACCAAAAGGACAACTATTTACAAAAATGACATTGCAAGTTCACAGACGTTTTATGATTGGTAGTCTGGGCATTTCTAGACTGATAATTTTAATGCCATTAGGATCCACAAGGACGTACAGAAAGCACTTATAATTGTTATCCCTCATTATTTATCGAAACTCATTAGGTTTCTTCCAATATTAGGAGGTGATTTCGCCCAAAGTTACCCTTGCTCATAAAAACAGGTGTTCGACGAATCTTGGTTGAACCCAAAATAAAATACATTAACTTGCAGGCAGATGCCATGGGTAGATTTTAGCTCGCACCCTTATCAACTGACACTCCATCAAAGGAACTGGCAATGCAAAGTGGAGCTAAAAATCCCTGTGGTTAAATTAACAAAAGAGAATTCGACAACTTGCTTCGAAATCATCTGAAGCTGGGCGAAAGTCTTATGAGAAATACATGATTGGATTTGATCCAAAAAATATAAATATATGCATACGTATTTATATAATTTGTTATTTACTGTTGTTTGATTAAAATTTAGAGAAGAAAGACGTTCTGCAGAATAAGTTGACTCTGATGTATTTGGAATTCATTTTCTGAGATTAAATACACACTGGATTGTAGAAAGAATTCTAAGAAAGTACAAAATTTAGACCAAAAAGTCGAAAAGTAAAAAGGAGAGTCTTGATGAGGGACTTAGAAACACTTTTCAAGTGTACAGATTTTCCAAGTTCTTCAATTTGCCATCACAGGACTACTGGAACGAAAAAAAAGAGGGAGGGAAAGGAAGAAAATGGGACCAGGACATACTTACAGAGGGAGTTGATAAGATAAAAATCAAAACACAAAAACGAATAAAATAAAGAATCGATTAAGAATCATAATTCTCATCAACAAGCAACAAACTCAAAATGATCCTCGAATTAATTATTAGGGGGGTGGGGGCATGATAAAACAAAAAAATCCCTCAAACACTAAATCCACAACCCTCCGAATGGGTAATGCAGATCACTATAAAAGTGCACGAATAAAATTTAATATTACGTACTTAGAAACTAGGGAGAAAAAAAATTTGCGATAAATAAATAACATATTCATTGGAACTTAGACAATAAACAAAGAAAATTCAAATAAATACATTATTATTGCAATGATCCAGTCAGAACCGGCATTCGTTGCCAATGCTCAGCTTCATTCAAAACTATTTATCACTTAAATACAAGACAAATTTCTAGAGATCACAAGTTCAATCTAGCCTCAAGGAATAAACATTTGAGGCAAGGAGTAATTAGCAACAACTTGAAAGGAGGAATCAGTCTTTGAGTTCACAATAGTGACACACGCTCACATGAACTCTGCTTAAACTTGCTCAATATTGAAACTACTTCCACATCTTTTTTCAATCCTTTGACAAATGGAGAGAATACCAAGCCACTTATTTCAAATCCGATGAACTACCACGGCTTGTTAGAAGTTTTTGGGACCATTCAGAACGAATCAAAAACCAATTGACTTTGGTTCAGGCTTAATAATGATTCTTTTCAGGTTTTGATAGAATGCTCAAATCATCACAAAGTTACACAAGTTTTTGCCTTTACTGGCAGCCTACAATCTGGCTTAAAAGGGGGAAGACCTGAATCAATGCTTGAATCACGAACAGTGGCATTATGGAGCTGAGGGCTCGGTAATTGGAAAATTTTGGAGGAAAATTTCTCTTGTTGAAATCGATTGCGAATTTACACTGAATAAAAAAATTCTGTAGTGCAATTTACAGTCAATCACCAAAAGCCTGAAATGAGTTTGTTCTCTGGAAAATGTTTAGACAGAGCGAGTAATCAACAAAATGCCTCAGACCTTGGGATAACCTGCACTAAATTTTTAAATGATACAAGGGGAAAAAATTGTTTCAACTTCCATTTGAAATTGACTACCCTTAGAAATGGGCAAAAATTGAGAGAGTACCAATTGAATCAATTAGTCTCAATAAGACTTAAGCACCAGAAATTAAAATACGAGAAAAACAGTAGAGACTGTATTAATCGACCCCTTTCAAATCTTAGATTGATCGATAATGGTTTCAATTGATTAATCGTTTTAATATTTCAGAGTAAGATTTAAAACGGGTTTTACTGTTTTTTTGTATTCTCATTTCTGGCACTTCAATCTATTTAGGAATAATAAAGTGAATTGCCGAAAGTGGTCCATTTCATTTCAAGCTGAGTGCATGAGGAGTGAGGTATCATAGCTCAGACTTTGACTAACTTATTTTCGTGACGTTCAAAACTAATTTTCAACTTTAGTCGGAATCGTAGTGGATTGATACATATGAACAAGGTTTTAAAGAAACACAAGTGAGGATTTATAAATTGAATATTGGAACTAGGATTTCATGAAATTTCAGAAATTATTCGAGTAGCTTTTGGCAATGCTGAATATGGAACTTAAATTACTGGCTCTCATAGTTGGCATTAAAGCTAATTGATAAAAGAAAAGTATTTTAAGAGAAATAAGAAAAATATCACTGGAGATTATAGGGGGCCCGTGGTGACCATAACTTGAATGAAAAATTGCCTTGCGATGGTTCCAGTAAATTAACAACTCGTAATTTTGGAGCGTTACCAACACTGGATACGAGATCACCAGTGTGAATGTAAGGTTAGACTTTTCATGCTACAAGTCACCTTGATACAATTCAGTAAAAATCATAATTTATACGAGAGCATTGCGAGTGAATCTTTCAATCGTAGTTAAAGCGCAGTATCCTACCACTAAAGCTTGGTCTTTGATGAAAAAATGGAAGAACTTGGTGTTTCGTTCAAAAAAGTTTTGTGGGGCTTTAAACCTTGTTCCGGTCCTTAGGCGAGATTCAGATGAATTGAATAGCTCAGTCTGATAGATTAGTGCTGCGCCACTCTTCTCCTTGCTAAAACGGAACTGAGGTCTGAAAATAATTCAAGAAACTGAATTAATACTAGGGGAGAAAGTAAAATAACATTTTAAACGGAATTCACACATCAAGTAAAGACATGAAGTCCTAAAGGATGTAAATAAGGCTCCTTATACAGTATTTTTTTCAAACATCCAATTTGCCCTCTTCTCCAGTAAATCAGAGAATGCAAACCCAAATACTATGGCAGACTTACTGTGTAGGAGGGAGAATAAGAAAGACCAGGCAGAAACACACTACGAGAGGTGGAATGAGTGTTGGCCTTCTTTGGCAGCAACTTGCAGCTTTTGCCTCATCACTTCCAGCGAAGAGTAGTCTGGAAGCTTTAGATAGTTCACGCAAGTCATCACAGATGGTAAAAATTCATCAGCGCACAAGTTTGTGTCGAAAGTCCTTCGAACAATCGTTAAAGGCGGTGACAGAGCCTTGAAACCTGTAAAGAGCCAATTGTATTATTTAAACTTTTCACATAGGTGCTCATGAAGAGATTCAAATTAAACCAAATTGAAAGGTAGTGGCATTGAGCTCCTTTTATTTGTCGATTGAAATATCAGCAATTTTTGAAGTTATCTTAATTTTACTTTAAATTAAACATTTTCTAGTTTTATTGGATAATTCAGAAAAGTACAATCCACAGGAAAATGATAACTGTCTCAAGTTTTCATTATCAAACTTTGAAGTTGATGTACGAAAAACGAAGTCAAAATTACGCCTCGAATGCAACACTATGAATCAAACTGAAAAGCTTCTATCAGATTAATTTGTGAACTTTAATTTTAGGTGCTCAGACCTCAAAATACAGACACATATCAACGTTCCATGGATCTAGATTTCTTAAGATGACTCAAGTAAAACTGAAAATTAAAACCATAAATAGAAATGAGTTCAACATATATTGAGGGAATACAGGGGCCATCTTACATGAACATTGCTTTAAAATGCAATTGCTTTGAGGTAAAACTTATCAAAAATCCCTACACAGAACAGGGAAATTAGTGGCTACCGGTAAATATTGATGAAACTTAAATAGATTGACATACCAATCCAATACCAATACCAATCCAATACCATCCAATACCAATCCAATACTAATACCATCCAATACCATCATCCAATACCAAACATCCAATACCACCATCAGCTATTTTTTTGGTTTGTGCTAATGATGAATTTTATGTCACTCTAATAAAGTTTCATCAAAATGTACCATGTTCCATGCGATTCATTTTAGGAGATGAGGAATTGCTATGTTGCACAGCATAATTTATGAATCCAGGATTTGCAGATGACAAACCAGGCAGTCAAATTGATACTCATTTTAGAACTTTAAAAATTTTGTTTTTATAACATAACTATTATTGCCAGCTGCATTCGCCTTAGAAATCCAAATACTATAAATTTGCTTTATGAACAAAATTTGACAGTTGTACAGCTGATGGTATTATTTTGCAATTTTAATGCTTTGATTATAAACTCTTCACCACAAGGAAAACAGTGAAAACAATGAGTTATTCACAACAGAGTTTCAATTCATATGCCTGATACCTGAACAGATACATACCTCCAACAGGAAGCCGAGGTGAACCTGTCACGAATTGCACAAAATCACGCTGTTCCTGTTCAGTATACGATGCAAGTATTTCAAACAGGAGCTTGATGGCTCGACTGTCTGGTGTGTAGCCATGGTCAGGACGACAGCACTCAGCCAAAGTTTTGATATCCCAATTGATATGCGAATTAGAACCGCAGAAGACGGCGTCAAGCTCTTCGGGGTAGAACATAGCAAGGTTAGCCAGGGGAAACACACAGTCAAAGCCTTCGCGAAATGACTCCATCTGTCGACTAATTCCCTCATTCAGATACCAATGAGTCACCAGCTGAAAACCCACATTTTAATTAGACAAACAAAAGACATTAGATCGTAAAGAACTTAAAAACCCTTTCGTTGTTGACGTAATTTGACACATCTTTTAATCAGACAAACAGACAGATTTTTTTTATCAAAATTCAGAATTTATGACGCTTTCCGACCATTAAATAATTGCAAACTTTCAGTGACTTATCACAGAAATTAAGTTTACAATGACTAAAAAAGAACAAAACTGGCAGAAAGACAGTAGTAAAATAAAATAAAAATATACTTATATCAAGAAGGAAGCATTAAGGTGATTTGACAGACGCCATTTTTTGTGTCAAAGCGACACGCGATATATTACATCAATTCATTCCATAATTTCAGCTACTTGTAATTTTTTTGAATTTTGAAGTCGCACTTCTGTTGTCATGAGTTTAAAGAATTCATGTACTACATTTGACAAATAAATTCAACCTAATAAAGGCGGAGTTTTTTTAGACAAAAAATATCGCATTCAATACCGATATCGAAACTGCACTCGAATGCGACATTTTTTCTTGAATTTCTCTGCCTTTGGTACGTGAGTTCTCCAGACTCATGAGAACAGAAGTGCAATCTCAAAATTTGAAAAAAATGACGAGTGGCTGAAATTGTGGAGCGAATCGATCCGATATATTGCACGTCACTCTGACACAAAAAATGGCGTCTGCGAGTCACATTAACTGAGTATTTTTAAAAGTGCTGTGATTAGGTCAAAAGGATCCAACATAAGAATTCACCATTTGATTAACACATTGCTTGCTGTGGTGTTTTGGGTACATATTTCCCACAAAAACAACAGCGTACCCCCGTCCCCACCTTCCGCTGCCAAAAAAACTGAACAAGAAAGAAAATGTAATGGTGCATTCTCCTGCTGCGGCTATATCTGTCATGAACCAGGAGTATATACTGAACTCTAACAATCACTGGCCTTACAATAACCTAGCACGCAGGCAAGCGCATTCCCGTCAAAACAATCGGCATAGAGCTCATGGAACTCTTCAATGCCAGGTAAATACAGCAGGCAACGTGTTAACTAATTAGGGAGCTACAAATTAAATCCTGATAGTTCTGCCAGTAATTTACTGTGCTACCCACGCTTTTAGGCAAAAAAAAATGTAGTGCTAGCCCGAGAAGGAGATGTCACATTATTTTTACTGACTCTAAATTTATTTACCTTAATATATTGCTCAACATTATGGATAGTGACTGGTATATCTCGACCACCTTTCCGCAGTTCAATGGATGAATATCCAGGGAGAGTGAAATCAAGGCCTAGATCTTCAATTGCGCAACCGTCTAAATGTAATGAGTTGATCTGAAATAGAACAAGCAAAATGAGAAATAGTTTTGATTTCAATAAAATATAGGGATTTCACGTACCGAAAAAAACTTTCAAAATAAAACTTCATGACTTAATATTTCATTCTTCATAAAAAATTAATATGTCAGTAACTTTAAACAGTGCAAAGTAATCTTAAATCTCATTCTATGTGGTTAAAACTGATATATAACATATTTGTAGTACTTTCTTCGAGAGGGCAGGAACAAATTAAGTTGTGATGCTCTCATGTTGCTAATTAATTGCTATCAAAATTATAAAAATCGTGAAAAAATCGGCTATAATCAGGAAAATTTTAGAAAATTTTACACTCCACTGAACAAAAATACAAAAATACTGTAACCAAGAATAATTTATCGTACAAAATAAGTTTGAGGTTGGTCACACTCCTCATCTAAACATTAACGAGAATTTGATCTATCAAAAAAACATTGATGCCAAATAGACAGACAAATGATCATAGTATATCACGGTCATCAGAGTTTGGGAAAAAATTAATCGGAAATTATTTGGTTAATCAGCAACGTCCAATCAATCGTCAATAGGATGAATAATTTGACGATTGACATATGTTATCAAGTGGAAAGTTCGAAGGACTGAGCATCTAGTCAGTGTTCCTGCACCAATTTCAGTAATTGCCGAATTGTTCGCACCCAGGTTATTGGTCAAGGAATTTATACATCTGGTTTGAAATTACCTGTTTGGTTTGTTCAGCTGTAGAGAGGGAAGTGTTTGATTCTATTCTAAGTTTCTGCTGTACAATATTTTCTAGTTGAGCCAGAGTTTTGTAAATGTCTGGTGCAACATGGGCCAAATCGCTGAGAGTAAGACAGGCTTCTTGTCCAAGGAGCCAGCGATAGAACGATATACTGAAGGGAATGTCCAACTAAAAAAAAGGGTAAGCAGAATAAGTTTACAATGAACTACTTCTTTGTGAATTGGATTATGTGCCAATTATTAGGGATTCCTTCAACCAACAGTGTTTAGTTGAGTTGAAAATAAATATACCTTGCTCTTTTACTAAGTTCTAGAAGCTTCATAAGGAAAAATTGTAGAGTTATTAGCAAAATAAATTTTGTGTATTATTTATGACCAGATGAGCTGTGAAACTCAAGCAATGAAGTCAGATAAGATCATAAAAACGTTGAGGTTACATTGAAAGTAAACCATTCCTACAGTTGAATAAGTTGAGGATTTGGTTCACATTGTTCACATGCTATCTTGCGGGACACTACTAAAATCTCGTAGATGTTAATCCTGAGTTATAAAACAGAGGCGATGGTCAATTTGATTTCTATCTAGAAAATCTAAGACAGGTTCCATTTCTCCATTTCAGTTGATGAGTGAATTCTTCTTCAATTCTATTCTATTTTTCTCATAATTTTATCTCATTATTTAAAAAAATGAATAGATACAGATTTCTACAACTCCAGAACAAAGTCGAGTAAAAGTTACTCAACATAGAGAAAGTGATGCAATAAGATTTTATGCACAGCCATAAAAAATACCAAAAGGGGATCACCGGAAGAACTTTTAAGAGGTTGTTCAGAAAATTTGACTCACCATTCTAGAATCCATCAGAGCTTTGGCCATGAATTTTGCGATGAAGCGGAACTTGGCTTTAAGATTAACCAGATGCGTGGACTTGTTAGAGCGAGGTATGGGTGCTGGGAACAAGCCTGTTGGCGAGAAGACATGTGGCTGGGAATTGCTGGAGTTGTGCCAAAGTTCTAGGTCACTCTTCTGGAGTTCTCTTGATACAAGAGCATAGAATTCTAATGTTGGGCCTAGACCAGTTCCGACCTGTGAATGAAGAGACCAAAGATAATTAATCATGCGCTATGGGCTTTAAGGGATAAAGATGAGGAAGTCTCACGCCTAAACCCAAAATTACTCACTTTTACTTCCTCCAATGAACTTTACCGCACCTCTTTCCTCGAATTCTCTTTCTCTTGACTGCATGAGTCAAAGGCTAGTCTGGTAAAAAAAATGTGTGTCTGTGAAAATGAATGCCAATAAAAGTAACGCAAGTGAACAGATTTTCCAAGTGTCATCCTGCCTTTCTGGATTTTTGCTTGATGGCATTTGAGATTTTTCTCTCTTTTGACACTTGAGAAACCTCTCATTTGTAAAACTTCTTTTAGGCCTTACGTCCCAAGATTTGCCTCATGTTCTTTGATAAGAAGATAACCCCCCTGATTGGGTTGGTCGAGAAAATTTATCAGTGAATGTCTAGTGATTAGAAACTTGAATATATCACTATGCTCCACAGTAACAGTTTAACCTGCACTAAAACTAGTTTGAAGCAGCGACCTCTGTTTGCTGAAATAGCTGTCGAAATTCCTGGTGAGTTCTTCCTCATTCTTAACATGTAAATTGACCGGCTCAAGATTTTGAACACCTCTCATTAGAAAAAAAAGAAGACTGACTAATGTAATGAAAAAGACGTACCTCATCTTCGTATTGGACCTCTAAAAGTGCTTTCGAGGAGGCTAGGTCGTGAATCACAGACTCTGCTTGCTTTAGGATATCATTGCGCGACACGGTTCGCTTCCGGCGGTCAAGGCGTGGTGTGACACGTTCTTGAGAGTCAGTTGAGTTGCTCAACTCAGGACTGGAGTCAAGCAAACGCTGAAGAGCTCGATCACGGTCAAAGGAGATTGCATGGAAAAGGAGCTGCCTCGTTTCGAATGGAAACAAGAACGGACAAGACGATGCAATTTGCTGGAGCCAACACGGTAGGTTGCCCGTCATAATGACTAGCGGGTCTTGAAGCTGTCGATTTGCTTTGGCTGTGATTTTGTTGTTGATAAATTCCTGAAATAAAAGAAAGTAAAATTTTTCAGAATCCCTACTATTGTAGATACTGATTCTGATACCAGCATTAACTTCATTACAAAAGGCAAAACCCATTTATGAACAAAAAGTAAATTTACAGCAACGGCAATTTCCATTTTGGATCAGTTATTATTTCTATTACTGTAAATACGATCGGACAGTCCAAGAAATTTTGAGTGAATATAATTGTTTTTTTATAAAGTTCTTTGTGCTTCAGGTGAATACTCATCAATGATCTTATTTGTCTGAATAGAGCACTTAATTGGACGCATTTCTGCCGAACAGAACTATGTGCATTGACATGAGCCCTGAGACCCATAAAAATGGATGCGTAACAGGTCTTAACCCATAATTCACACAGTTCCGTTTGGCAGAAATGCGTCCAATTATTCATCTTCTCTCTCAAATAGAACCAGCTTAAGTTGCTCCACTGATGTTCTCTTCACCAATTTCTCTCACTTTTCCTATCAATTCCCTGACTTCAGGGGGTGCAGAAACTTCTAAGGGTTCCACCAAAATAAATTTAGATTCCCCCATTTTAAGTTTTCGCAGAATTTTGCCCGACACATAAAGTATCGCCTTCAACCGTTGGGTTCCCTTAAAACAGAGCGGTCAACAGTTTGGTTCCCCCCAAAAACAGCCTGCTTGAATGTTTGGTTCCCCCCAAAAAAGCATGCTTGACAGTTAGGTTCCCTCAAAGTAGTGCACTCAACAGTCAAGTTCCCCCTAAATCCTTGGGAAAAAAAAAAACCTTCCAAGGTTCCCCCGATTTTTTCGTCCTCAAATAGGTTCCTCCATTTGACGCAAACCGCCGGTCGCGTGGTTGGGAAGTTTCTGCACCCCTGCCTGACTTTCCGCATTTTCCAAACAACAGGAAACCCTGTTAGACTAATTCTGCTTTAAACCATTCAATTATAATTGAAGATTTACAATTGTAATAACAATTATAAGACTTAAAAAGGGTTCTTACCTGATGCGGTATTAATGGCTTGTACTCGAGGGTTGTGTAAAGAGAGCCCCAATATCGGTTCAAAGCTTGAAAGACACGTAGAAGAGCGAGAACGGGCAAAGAGGCATCTTGAATTTGTACATTATCGGGAAGTTTTGCAGTTAAAAATGATTCTAGAGGTGACTTCTTGGAAGGTACAACTCCTTCTGCAATAACACAAAGAAGAAAATAATCAGCTTTAAATTTTAAATGAAAAACTATTAGGTACATGTACAAAGAGACAGAGCTTAAGCCTCTGTAAATTACAAAAGATAAGCACACCAACATAAAAAAATAGTATGGATTGTGATTGACAGTAGCAGTAGAGGCTAAGAAGCTAACATTGGGCTCCTGAAGAGGCATTGAAAAACACAACTCAATTGTTGTTCTGCTGATCAAAAGGAGAGACAATTTAATTGGTTAATTTAATTGATTGTGAAGTTGCTATCTTTTTTTTTTCTTGAGATTGAAAAGCTGAACTTACCAGTCCATAGATCATCTGTTTTCCTTCGGGAATTGCTTTTACTGCCAGTTCCTTTGCCTTTTCGTGGAGATGTAACATTAATATTCGTTTTACTACTACTAGAGACTTGGTCTTCAGGAACAGGCCTAGGAGAAAAAAAAATCCAAATTAGGAGATTATGAGGTTGTCTTGAGGACCACGCATGCAGACGAATTTAATTTGCTCATGCAAGAACCTTAAATGTTCATTTTTTAAAATTTAAAAACTTTTGGTTTTTGAGAATCTTAAGGTTAGTTCAAGTCAAGAGCAAAGTAAAAATGTTGAATACTCCTCGACAATTTCAATTGTGAACTTCAAAACTGAAATGCCATTGATAAAAGCAATGTTCAAGCCTTTAAGAAGGGTTCAGTGAGTGCAATTGCAATCTCCTGTCTACATTCATCGCCGAGGAGAGCAAAAAACATGTTCCGAAAGTGCAGTCCATTAAGTGTAACAAAAAATCTGGGACTATTAACTCTTCGCACAAATTATACTCCATGGTAAGTCATACAAGGGATAATTAGATGTCGGTGCGAACACAAGGTATTTTTCCTTTGCCTTGGATTAAAATCCACTAAATATCTCCTGTTATTTGGAATATGCTTTCCATGGTTGAAAGTGATCTAGTTATTTTTAGCTTCTGTTTCTGGGAACTTCGATTTTATTTCTTGTGTGCAGTGAACACTCAAACTAAACTGCAGGCATTTAGAATAACAAAGATGAAATTAATGATCACAAGGACTTAATACAACAAATGACTATTACCTGTAATAAACTGTATGCGTTTGAACCCATACATTAGCAGAACCCAAAGGAGTTTCATTATCAGTGTCAGTTTCACTATTCTCTGTGTTGGTGACGACAGGCGAAAACTGTCTGATGGCTTGGTAAACTGTCATGTTGTGCGGCAAAACATGTTCACCAATCAGGAACTGCAGTTTATGTCTCGTCGCACTTTGACTGATTACCACAGCAGCCTAGAAAAGTGGCTTGAGTGAGAATATTGTTAACACCATGTCAAAAGCTTTTATTTGCCGATTGATTCTTTTAATTGTTAGAATTTTAGGATGGATCTTCAAACTTGAAAGGAAACAGTTGGATGCTATCCAGATATTTTTTCTCATTATCTACCAAAATGTATTTAGCTACTTATTCTTATCTGGCTAAGCATACTTGCAAGAAGTAGCCATGTATAGAACGGTCACAATGACCTGTTCAGTTTTATGGGATTTTTTTGGAAAAATCAAAATTTCCAAGTCTAGATAGTTGTAAGAAATTGTTCAAGTTGTTATGTAATGTTTGTATCAAAAATCATGCTCCAAAATCTTAAGATGATGCGAAAAAAGGCAATTTCTGACTCATCATGAATGTCAATGCATCAAAAGCGAGAGGAAATGGGGAACAGTTATACTTTACATTTTAAAGATGATTAAAACTATTATTTGAGCTTTTGAGAGCAGAGGTGAAATATTTTTTTAAGACAAATTTTTGTATTTAAAAATATCATAACTACTACAGGAACTCTACGCCTTGTAACTAAGTACAGGAATTAAATTAAATTTGCAAAGGCATCAAGAGACTAAGTAACATTAGGTGGTACAGATTAGCTAGAGGAACTGGAATGAAGGATTTCTGTATCTTTTGTTCAAAGAAATTAGGTGTTTAAGATTACTAATTTAATTGCGTAAACATATACTTACGGAAGTATCATCTGTATCTTCATCACTATTATCATCGTCGGAGTCTGCGACGTCTTTGTCACGTATGCGACTATAACCACGAATGACTAGATAACGCTCGATTGCCTCTACAAGAGCCAAAGGGTCTATTTTCACTGCTCCACCCTTCCATTGTTTCAAATTTGTACAACTAGGATGCCGCTGGAGGTGACACTGAAATAAAATCATGAGAAGCAATCTTTAGTAAAATCACATGTCTTACTCTGTTATGCGAAATTACAGAATGAACTAATTCCCAATTATCTTTTAATTGTTTGTCATGAGGGATTTAGAGAGAGAGAAAATTCTATGATGCAGAAAAATGAGTGAGTCAGCTTTAGACAAATTTTAACTTGACGCTCACAACTATTGATCCACTAAACACCGAAAACAATCTATGCAAGGGTATTTCAATGAGTAAATTACACATTATTGTTTCTTTTTTGCAAATATCATGGATAGAGGAAAACTGTAAAAATTTATTTTCCAGTCATCCTCTCAGCTTTAAAGAGGGTTTGAAGTTTCGAAAAAAAAAAAAACTCTGAGAACTTACTTTGAGTTGATGTGTATTGAAGAATTTGAGGGGAGTAGTCGAGCCAGTGCCCGCAGGAAGATCATGTACTTTAACTGGAAACTGCTCCAACTGGGATATACAACCATTCAACTTGGAAACTAATGCAGAAAAGCTTGTCACATCTAGGTTATTCAGATTGCCGAACAAAACATCAGCCTGAAAGCCAAAACAAGAGATAGTGTTAGACAAGATTAGACATTTGGATTGGCCAGAGGATTAGCAGCTACAAAGAAATATAAAGTATCTTACAGCTGAGCCTGCATGAATTGGGGTTCCAATTAAACAACACTGATCTATAATAGATATTATTTAAAATAAGAGCAAACTTAACTTTTGAGGATTTCACTTTATTCAGGTTCAGTTGCGATTCAAGAGATTTTTATAAAAAGGGATCAAAATGAGGTGTCCGAATGAATTAAAGATCATACTTAAATGAACGTTCAAAATAGACAGATCTGTGCATTCCAAAACAATGATAGACTTTAACCAAGAACTGAAACTTCTAGAGAGAGTAAGGGGATACATAAATTTACTGTCAGACAAGAACTAAAAGAGAGACGGTAAAACCCAAAATGAAAAGCGAAATTGGCCCTAATACATAAGTATCAATTTTCTATTGATCTCTAGATAGAATGAGTGAAAGGTCTAATGTGTTGATTAAAATGAGCTCTTACCGGACATCCGGCGAAAACATGGAGGAATCTCCTGAGTCTATTTTCTCGACAAATGACTGAATCGTCAACACGTGTTAGAAAATCTAGAAGACTTTTGACTAAACCACTATGATTGACCTCAAAAGGTGATATATCTGAAGTTATGACGATGTCTCGCAGTTCTTCTAAAGCAGTTAAACTATCTTCAGCCTGAAATGAGAGAGAAGACATAAACATGAACTGTGGAACTGGCTAGAATAGTTATTGGTCAATATTATGAACACTACAAGAGTTTATAGTGACAGTTTTGAACGGTTCACGTTCCATCTTTTATCTACGGCTGAGGTGTGGCTAACTTTCAGTAGTGTTCTGGGAATTTTTAATAATTTTCCTCTGGTAGATGGGAGGTATTTTTATTCGTTCATTCTTATATGGATGCAAAGTTCTTTTTTGCTGGTTGTTTTTGTATACATTTAATTTTCTTGTAATCGGGATTCTTCTCGTCAACATTTGAAGAAATGAATAAGTAATTGATAAGATAAATTAAATAATAATGGTGACTATGAATTAACAGGAATAGTGATTTACATATTTTTGGCACAATTTATTTTCTTTAAACAAATTGCACTGAACAATGTCAACGCAACAAAGGGCATTTTGTGAATAATTTACTTACTTGATTGTCTAATTTGTTGATGGCGAGAGTGAGTCTTGATAGGATTGAAGAGGTTGAGTTATCGTTATTGATATTTGTACTTGCTTTGTCGAACATTTCGACAAATTTGGAGGCTCGCTCACGCACCCACTGCCGAGCTTTCTCCTTGTTACCCGCACTAATGTTGGTACTACTTGCACATTTTGGTAAGTTTGAATCCTGCAATCATACACGCCATAAGAATGAAGAAGCAATTGAAATTTACAGTACTGAAAGCCTAGGGTTCGATATTTACAAGTCTTTCAGATATTTTTGAAACAGAACAGGTACTGCTGGAAATAAACAATGTGTTTTACAATAATGTTGCATTTTCAAATACTTTATAATGGCGGAGAGTTTGCAAGGATCATACTTTTTGATGAGCAGCATCAATTTACATGGAGGGTTGAAAATCTTGAATTTTTCTTGCAAAGACAACACTGGGAGACTACGAAGAACAATATGAAAGAAGTGGTAGTGTCAAGTTGATGTCAAGGTTTTTTTTTCTCTTTGCTGATCCAGGGCAACTTATGATCAATTCTAAATTTCAGTTCATATTCTCATTCAGAAGAGTCAACACAGGTTGACATCTGCGTTCAGTACAATAACAGGAGCATACAGTTGCAATACTTGTAAATGATAAATAAAGGAGGACTGACCTTGCTAAAAGGTCGATGTTCAGAGCTGCGTCCCCATCTGGCTGGATTGAGGGAAGCAAGGAAACTGCTAGTTTTGGATGTAGCACCAGAAAAACGAGATCGAGAAGAGCTGCTAGTTGCACTCCTTCCATTACTAGTTGACGTATTACTAAGAGTGGTGGCTTTAATAAAAGAAAAACAGAACAAAAATAGTAACGATTCAGTGATAAGATTGGAATTATTCAAATGATTGTTTGCACACGTTCTCAGCCCCTTCGTTTGGGACAAGAGACAGGAGGAAAATTAAAATGATGCATGCAAAAACATTTGACGTTTGATGAGCTATTCTGAATTTTGTTTTCGCAGGTAGTTACTTATTATTATTCATCCAAACTACCAGAAACAGGTACCATTGCTTTTCTCCAAGTTTATCAGGTATTTTTGAAAGGTTAAAAGGAAGATTTGATTATGGGTCATTTTTTTTTTTTTAAATATTTTAGCTCCTCACAGAATATCATGATACAAGATGATATTGTCAAAAATTTCATTGGTTCTCCTACCACAGTAATGTGTTACTTGGTAACCTTTACAAAGTTCAACAAGCTGTTGAACACAATATTAAATCAAAATTAATAGAACAGCATTCAGTTATTTCACCTATCGAAATGTACTTATTTGGAATCTTACCTTTGGCAAACAGGTCTTGCATCATAATGGCAGAGGAGATAGAACTCTCATCATGACGCGACTTGCGAGAGCCTGACAGCTGTCTTCGTGGTGTGCGCTTTCGTTTAAGCACATCACAAATTCGAAGCTGTGAGGGACTTGCTGATCGAGTGGTTTGACTACTCTCCTCTGAAAATGAAATATTTTAATAGGTGAGCATGAAAGTTGAATTGTAAAAACAGTGAAAGGATAAGATTTGACTAATTTAAATGGATGAGGCTATTCGTCGGTACGGTACCGACGGATAAATGGCTATTCGTCGGTAACGTACCGATGAATAAATGGCTATTCGTCGGTACCGCATCGGCGACATTAATTAACATCCATTGAAGGAGAGTGAACAAAGCGTAAAGGCACTAAGTGTGCGTGAAAAGTACAACATGATTCTGCCCATTGTTTTAAACATTGCTAGCCTAACCTCAAACCACGGAACCACGCAATTCAACAGATATTTAAGTTCATTCAAGATGATTGAAAACATGGTAAGGACTGGAACAAATGTACAACTATTGTCAGTTCATGGTAGCTGCTCCACAGCTTGCGAATCTTCAGTATCTGTCGCTGCCCCAACTAACAACGATCATAGTGCAGAGAGCTATTCCACCACCAGCGAATCTTCGGTTTCTGTTACTGCCCCAACTAACAACGATCATAGTGCAGAGAGCTATTCCACCACTAGCGAATCTTCGGTTTCTGTTGCTGCTCCATCTGACGAAAATGTCAGTGCAGAGAGCTTCACGAAGCTAAAATTTAAGAGTAAAGTCATTTCACGAGGGCGACCTAAACTGCCAGCAAGACAACTTTGTTCCTTTAATCGCACCGTTGCCGACCGACAATCTGTGGAAAATCCCCCCGAAAAACGAAAACGAAAGAAAACACCTGCAAATGAAACTAAAGGCCCCATCACCCGAAAAAAGAAGCGTTCTTGATGATTCTTTTGACAGAGTAGTACATTTCAGTATTATGATGATTCATTTGACAGTGAAGTACATTTCAGTATTATGATTATTTATTTGACAGAGTAGTACATTTCAGTATTATGTGAGAGTATTCAGTACATAAATTAAATTTGGAGAATATTTCTTTACAACTCGTGTTGGGTTTTTTTTCCATCTTTCACCCAATTGTTAGCTCTTAACTTCCACCAAAATATTATTAAGAAATCATATCTTTAATATAATTTACGTACTAAAATCAAAGTACGGTACCGACGAATAGCTATTTATTCATCGGTACGGTACCGACGAATAGCTATTTATTCATCGGTACGGTACCGACGAATAGCTATTTATTCATCGGTACGGTACCGACGAATAGCTATTTATTCATCGGTACGGTACCGACGAATAGCCATTTATCCGTCGGTACCGTACCGACGAATAGCCACTTCGAATTTAAATAACGTAGGAGTTATGGTGAAAAATGTCCATTCCCTTGAAATCCCAGTTAAAATCTCATTATCCTGGGAAACTTCGATAAAAATACACTGACACACAGCAGGTGCGTAAGTACAAGTACACTCACACGAAAAGGATCACAGGGAACATAGATAGAGTCTTACGCTTCGCACTCAACTTTCAAAGTTTACACGTGAGCATGTTAAAAATGTCAAAATATTAATTATTGATGCCTGTAAAACAACCTCAATCCCTCTCAAACAGAAAATTGCCTATGAGAACAAAAACTTCAGATCCATTTGCCTTTGCTCAAGACATTGGTGAGACTCAACAACTTGAAGGCAGTGATATTGTAACACGGAAAAAGGACGACCTTTTTAAAAGTAAAAAAACTGAAGGAGTACCTTGACTTTGACTAGTTGCAGGCGATGCTTGGGAACCGGAGGGACCAGGGAAGAAAGCGCTTTCAGAGCTTGGAGTGGACTTTGGTGGTGACGCACTTAACGGGACACCTGGGTCTGCAAGTTGCTTAATTTGGTGCATTACACCTGAAAATGTGAGGAAAAAAATAATTAAAAACTCAATTCATCATGATACGAAAAGAAAGAAATAAAAGGAGAATAGAAATATCAGACAAGAAGAAAGGAACTTTCAATTGGAAAACAACTAAAGAAGATTCTTTTTGAGGAGCACCAAAAAATACTACAAAAAATAACCCTAAACAGACAGAGAGAGCAATTTTTTTCATTCTCAGACGGTTCAGATACTACTTGAGGAGATAGCCATGTCTCACCCATTTTGAAGCGTTTTATACTCAAAATACAGAAGTATTTCTGCTGACTCGTTAGTTTCCTCTCCCCTCTCCCTCACCCCTTCCATTTAAACCAATGTAATTTTCTCTAAAAGTAATATCATTACGTCCTCTTTCAAAAAAACTTACAGCTATAAAAACTGAACTAGAACTGAGTTTCACTCAGATTTAATTAATGCTTAAAGATGACATAAATATGCCACACCCTAAAAAGGCACCTACATCCTCCCTACCCTTATCTGTTCCAGTAGGCCAAGTATAATCTTAAGAGGGTTTACCTTCCCGAGTGAAATGAATCTCGAACACATTAGGAAGCTTAGTCATGAGGATTTCAGCCATCTGAAGAGCTCCGACCACAATCCGCAAGTCTTGCGACGCCATCATGCCTGCTATGTGACTGGACACGACCTGATTTTTTAGCACTTCCTGGAGCAACTGCGGTGGTGCATAGTAAACCATACGCAAGAGAGCTCGCAAGCACTTACACCTTACCGCAGGTCCTGCACTGCTGCTGTACACTTCGTAGAGAACGCTGAATAGACTTCGAATGAAAACAGCAGCCAAATCACTGTTATCAATGTTATCCCTGAAAAGAAAAATTTGAGTCCGTCATACAAGATGACATTTTCAGGTGAACAAGGAATTTTTTCCAAGGTTCAAGTGCTGTCTTTCCTATATATATTTAAGCCACATAGCTAGCCTATTAGAATGCTTTATGGTCCTAGTTGCCAACAGATTCGATCCTTCCGCTGATATTCGGGTCAAGGACACCTTTTCATCTGTTCCGAGGACCCTCTGCATCCCTTTCACTTGACGTCTATACCGCCTTCTTCCGAGAGGAGCCCAATTGATTACTTGCTTCGACAACCGGTTGTCCGCCATTCTCTGCACAAGTCTGTGCTAAACCAATTTCTTGGTTTTGATATAATTTACAATATCATTCTCAACCGCGGTTATTCCATGCATTTGTTTTACAATATTTCGAATTTCAAAGATTTCCCTGGTTTCTACGACTTTGCACAGAGGTACCTCATAATGCTGTCCAGGCGAGAATAAAACTTGAAGTTTCTTGGGGATGACTTCATCATAAACGGGCTTCTCTAATCTTGAACTGCACCATATCAAAATTATGAAAGCTAGGTGCATGATTAGAACAATATAATAGGGTCTTTACCTTGTAACATTACTACTATTTTGGGTGTTGTTATTGATATTTTCTGCATTATCTAAAAGAGCATTGTAGTTGATTCTGCGCTGAACAGGACGAGACGTTCCTGTGTCCTCATTGATTTGTTGCATTGTATGGAGATCAATTGTGTATGTACGTCCCAGGGTTGTCAAAGTTACCTCGTCTTCGCCAGCTTGGTGAGCAGCCTAAAAAAAGCATGACCAAATAAAACGTTAAACAGATGCATTGAGAAATAAAGCAAAGCTGTAATAAGGTCTATATGGCCATTATCTTGCTGCGATAACGTTGTCATCCGAGGAAAAAATGCAGATACCTACCTCCACTTAAGAAACAATCGCATTTAAGTACGATTTGAAAATTTTGCTAATACGGTGCCAAAAAAACCGGTGTAGATGACGTTCCAAGTGAGGAGCAGATGAACAGCACATTTTTTTCGAATCAATAAAGGGGTCTTTCATAGAAAGTTGCTTCATAAAAAACCGTTAGACTGTCACTCTTACAGTACAGACAGTATTACTGTTACCAACTCTTCCCTGATGTTGGTTGCGTTACTTTGATAGTATTGCCTCTTGAATCTGTGTCCTTTTGTCTCCCTATTTATATGGATTTGAACCTGGTACAAATGCTTTGATTTCGCAAAAAAGCACTGCGTCAAGTTTGCAATTTTTAGGTGGCCCAAAATCTAGAAAAAAGATTGTTATTTCGAATGCTCTGCAGGTAACTTACAGTGACTAATTTCATAAATGAAGGTGAAGAGTAAAAGTCTTACCTCAATTATACGCGAGTCTATGGGGGAATAGGGATGCCACAAAGTTCTATCGTCACGCCATTGCCACATGATTGCGTCATAAGTACCACTATATGTTACGGTGGGTCTTTCAAGCAATGCATCTACAGCAAACAAACCATCCGATGGAAGACGAGGCATCAGCTCTCCAATAAGGCAGGTTATTTCATAAAGTTCTTGCGGACTTCTGGATGTTAATTCAATCTGAAATAAGGAGTAATTTTATAAATTACTGAAGAGGAAACTAAATAACCTGATGAGACATGGCCTCAGAAACGAATCTATGAGAGACTTTTGGGCGGACATTAATCCCTACTCCACAGATGATACAAAAATTTGTTATTCTTGGGTGTGACGAAAGCACCAGCGCGTATCAAGTCAGGATGACAAGTTTTCTTGAATTTCAAAATTGTATTACTTTTTCTGCCTTCGGAACATAAAATTTGTGACTTTTCAAAGACTTTCCAATCTTTTCCAAAAAATTGGAGGGAGTAGGAGTGATTTCTGAAGATGATGAAGATGCCCGAGAAGATATCTCTTGAAATTAAAAAAATTCAAAATTTGAGAACTTAAAGCTGCACTTTAAGATGACATGCATAATTGCAAGTTGCAATATCTGTCAAAAGAGAGTGTGAGTGGGATAGAAAATAATTAAATATTTCTGCCAGAGGAGAGAATTTCAAGGTACTGCGGCAAAATTTCCTGACTTTTCCAGGTTTTCATTGACTACTTGAATACTTGCCACCCAGCTGGTGGACAAAACAGACGCATTGCTTCCAGAAAAACATGTGTAAAAAGCGCTAATATTGGTATGTTGGACGCTTTTATAAATTTACAATCCAGCAAGAAACAGGTAAAAGTGCAGACTATCATTCCTACTTACATCATCTTTCAAACTATCCGCCGGTTGGCCTGTCAGCAAGTAACACAAGGTTTCAGCAATGTTCTGTTCCAATAACACATGTGCAAGATCTGGACAATTGGCACACATAATGGCCATCATTCTCAAAACAGTGATAAAAGTGCCTGAATTGATGACAGGAGGGACAACAACCAACTGAAAAAGAATCAGGAAAATGTTTAAAGTGCATTAAACATATCTGAACTTTATGAACTGACCATTAAAAATTTTCACCATGAAAATGTTCAAAACCTTGAAATTTTGGACAAATGAAGGGGGGAGAGGGATTAGCTTTTATGTCGGTACGATAGAACCGCCTGAAAAAGAATCAAAAAATATTTTTTAACTTACATTCAACATATCTAAATTACGAGACCATAAAAATCTTTAAAACCTTGAAATTGTGAAAATATGAAGGATGAGGGGGGAGGGGGATTTTTTAAAGGGTGTCAGTTCAACGTGGAATTTGATTTCAAAATCTTGTTGTAATGAATCATTGAAACCAGATCAGGATACAGAATTAAAAACTCAAAGAGAAAAAAATATCATATTCTGCTGACAAAGAATTGAGCTCAACAAAGAGAAGGAGCAAGAAAATTTGAGCTCATCAGATGAATGAAGACTTTTATAGATGATGAAGACAACTGACTTACCAACTGCTGGAGATTTGTTAATAGTTGCGTACTGGCTATTTCTCTTAACTTGGCAGAGTCTGATTGGTAACTTTCGACAAGCCGACTGAATGCTAAACATACACTTTCCACACTTTTTTTATCCTGAAAACATACAATACAGAGATTGAGTAAAGAAATCTATTTTCTGTGAGTTCAGAGCTGACCTCCGAATTCAAACACGTGGGCAAACTTCCACAAGCCTAAACTTGTGTACAGTCAAAGGATGACCTTACTTTTTGGCTCATCAAAACCAGTTTTGATTATGCCAAGACTAATTTGTTAATTTGATCAAGATAAATTCACTGACCTACCTCCAATAGTCAGGGCAAGTTTGCCCGATTAGACGAGAACCAATTCCTGAGAACATATTAGTCATATTGTTTTGTTTGTACTATGTCTCACTATCAGTAGGACATAAAAAATGACCAAGATTTGTTCTGCAAATCAAAAAATATGCCTGAATTCTAACTTGATATTTGAATAAAATAATTTGTCCAAGCTACCAAGTGGTTCAGTTGAAGCAATGAATACTAAACTTTTTAAGAATAACTGTAAAATAGTGTTTGAAAAGACCTGAAGTTAGGAATAAATTGTATCATATTATCAATTGTATCGATAGGGAGGTTAAAATCAATTACAATATTGAGGATTCTTAAAACTCAGTTTAAAATTCAATCGAGCAGCAAAAAACTCGTAAAATAGGGTACCTATGAAAGAATCCACTGACACTATAATTAGGATTCATTGCCTTTACCAAGTGAGAAAAATTATGAACAGGTCCAGTATCTTGAATACATTAATGTTACAACAATAAAACTAACTGCTAAGACTGATCAAGAAATTCGAAGGCAATGATTGTGTTCTCTTGTGAAAAAACTGAACAATAAAAACATCGCTGAAATATTCAAGCTTACTTAAAGCCCTTGAACATTTTAGCACAGCTCAACTGATGCATTGGACAAGCTTCAAGAAGAGAATTAATTACAATAACAGACATATAAGAATTGAATACCTGAAGAGCTAGACGGTTGGCCAGAAAAGACAATGAGGGCGAAACAAAATGGAATTCCTCTGTGTGCAGGTTTTGACAACAGTTCGCTGTTACAGCCAAAGCTGCTCTTTGGGCATTTATTGAGAAAAAGTCGAGATACATGAGGCAAGCCGCTACTCCTCGCTAAAAATCAAAATTGGCACTTCAGTCAGAGAAACAAGAGATTCAGATGGGAAAACTTATGCTTGATTACGGAAAAAAGATGAATATATGCTAAGGAAAGGAGAGTAACACTCTGCATAGTTTTTACTCATCCCCTCAAAATGTTTCGATAAAATGGGGCTGTTGCATCTTTACATTTAGCGTAATTTAATTATTTTTTAGGGTTTAAATAAGTTCTAAAGAAATTTTTTTTTCACTCTGCACCCAAATCATGACACTCCTCGTCAACATATTTTTGTGGAATTGCTCCTTTGACACGAATAAAACATGTAGAAAATTGCTAAAAGTCAGAAATAACAGTGAAAGGGAGCGTTATCTCATTGTTGTATCCTTGACACAAACTAAGGGATAAATTCCATGGTTAACATGTATATTGCCTTCCTTCTGCTTGGCAGGGAACATGTAGCTTTTTATCTGAAATGGTGGTTAAAACATGTTCTAGGAGTACTGTTTCGAACTGTTTACTTGCGCAAAAAACTGAATGGTACTTACAGCTCGTAAGATGGCTTTATTATGGCGTCTGGACAGCATTTCAAGAGCAGTCAGACTCTGTTCTGCGACATCCATGCACTGAATAACTTGAAGTTTTTCTAGAAAAACGGGCACAGCATCCAATACAACAGCTGAGGAGCGTGGTAAAGCTTCCATCATGTATGTCAGAGCACGGCAAGCATGATTCATCTAAAACAAAATAGAGGTGATGTACAGGTTAATCAGAAATAACATAATTAGTTGATCTTTAATTTTTCAGTTCAATTTAATATATTTGTTTGGCGTGACTAGATCCATTGAATAAAAAAGAAAATACATTCAAAGTACAACAACAACACAAAAATTATGACTAATTTGACAAAATGATAAGATCAAAAACACTTCCTCACGGTTTCTCATAAAACTAAGAACTGGAGATCCTAACAGACTGAGCAGAAAAGTCTAAATACATATTGTTTATCTAGAGAATAGTTGCAGCTCAAAACTCACCTTAACCTTATCTAGCAACTTCTACACTACAGTACACAGCCGCAACAGGGAACAAGCATTCTTTTGCAATGCGACGACTCAATTTTTTCACACAACCTGCGTCACCAAGCGCATGAGCGCCATTCTACACTACATTATCAAGCAAGTGGAGCCCAATCCTCTTAGGCTCCGGACAAAAGCACTGCCTCTAGAGCGAGCGCTGCCGCACTGCAAAATACATGCGCATACTAAGCGCTGTCCACACCACCACGCTAAACTGCCAAATTCATGCGCAGTGTGACTGTTAGCTCTGAAGTGGACATGGATTTTTACTGCTGAATTAGAGTAATGCTTCTCCAAATTTTAGAACTTTTTATCAGATATTACAAAGGAGTTGCCAAGGATTTTACAGCAGTCGGGGGAGGTAAAAAGAAAATATTCTGACTTAGGTGTTGAACTTTAAATTTACATACCATATCAAAATTATGTTCCATGGATAGTAATGTGACTAGTGCTGGGACAACCTGTTTGACTGGAAAACCATTTAGAGTGTCTTCATTCCCCATGACCAACATTTGACACATTTCTATCACAGCTTGAAGTTGCTGGCCTTCGTCACCTATAGCTTGCAGACTGTTCAGCAATTGTTGAGCTCTGGTGGCAGCTGATTTACAACAGAAACAAATGACAATTAAAAAGTATGAAAACCAAGTGAAAATACAGAGCTTGGATGCCAAAACTTTCTTAGTTAGATGTATCTGAAAATTGTCAAAAATTGTTTAAATATTTCCCTCGTTATTCAGATGGATTTCAAAATTTTGAGACATCAACTTTTTGTAAAGGCACAGCAATATAGCAAAGATAGGCATTTATGGAATGTTTTTTTAATAACACGAGTAAATTATGGTTTTCTTCATGAGTGGAAAGTTTGAATTGTGACAAAAAAAGTTTTTGTTGTGCAAATCCAGTTCTATGTAAAAATTTGTTGAGAAAATATGTATTATAGTATTTAAAGTCGCATGTTGTCTAGTTGTCCATGGAGTGCAGAACTTTCTTTTCTCTCTTACAGTGTCTCCAGACCAGACTCACTGTAAAAATTCAAAAAATTTATATTTATCTTGAAAAATTGAGATATTCATCAGAAGGTAACTTATGACCTCCTTGGCATAACAGCCTTTTTGTCTGCAGTGCCAATACTACAGTAAGAGCCTTACACATTAAATCAGGTGTTAAAAGTTGATTCTTCTAGACAGACCAAGAGTTACTACTGAGCAGACTAGAGAGTTTATTACTTACAGGAATTAGCACCCATGCTACGGTGAAGGAGGTGCTGCATACGAGGTAGAAAATGAGGTGGGAGTCCACGTGCTTCCAGCAAAACTTGAAGACGTCCTACTTCGCTATCTTCACTTTCGCTGTCTGTCACACCTCCAACCACATTCGCCATTAAAACTAAAAAGTTTCAAACATACAATTAGGAAATCACCCAGATCACAATTCTTTGATAGTATTTAGCCCTGTTATTCAAATTTTGGAGGCTTATCATTGAAAGAAAATCATCAGAAAAAATGAAGTATGCCAGCAGGAAACTCGATTACTCACAGATCTCATCACATTTTAGTTCTTCAGAAAAACTAAGAGTGTGCCACCGAATCTTTGAAGTATACTTGGCTTTAGAAGACCAGCAGTGCAGAAAGTTCTTAGCCTTGCCATTCTAAAAACCTATTTATCTCCAAAAATGTCGAAAAAATGACTTTTTTATGGCTCTAAACACAGAAATTGCTGCGATTTTGAGCAAAGCAGATGATTCATGCCGCTGTTTACAGGAAACACGAAAGTTTTATTACAGTTTTACAAAAATAATCGTGATTATGCCAGCCTTCCCATTTCAAAATACTGTTTTTTGGGCCTTCTCATTTTAGCACCTGACCGATCGCGACCCGCCCGGTCACATGGTTTAGAATTTTTGCACCCCTGTAGGAGACAATATCCTGATTAGCTTAAAACTTACCCGAGGGTGCATGACCAGCCGTTTCATTGGTGGCTGTTGTGTTAGCAGTGGACGAGTTGGTCGTGTTGACATGGTGAGGCTGAGCCGACGCAGTTGCACCTCCATCTTGCTGCTCGGCAGGTGTGGACATTCCTCGTCCTTGCTCTTCACTCTCGCACCCTCCAGCCAATGGCTGCTTTACTCGGCAAGAGCGGCGACTGAAAACAATGCAAAACAAGTGAAGATTAGAAACAAGTGACCAAAATGAAATAAGATAAAATAGAAGAATTTCATTGTAGTAAGCTCAATTACACAATATTGCGTGAAATGGAAGAACTGTCTAAATTGTCCATCACACATTTTTTTTTGCATCACTCAAAAGTATTAAGAGAACTTAGCTTACTGTATGTTTTTCAACTTTTTTTACATACATATTTCAAAGATATTTCTCAGAGTTGCCAAAATAAAATAATTAGTGTAATTTTTTACTGCTTGAAGAAAGCGATGTACTAATGTAGAAACGATGCACAATAAAACAAACATATTAAATTTTAAAAAATAATAGAATTAATCGCAATTAATTTTTCAATTCAATAATGGTTCAAAAATAAATTGTGATTACAATGGAGAGGTTTGGAGGACAAGGGGCATGAGAGCAGTTTTTGAAACAATTGAGATATTAATGATTTCAAGTAAAACTAGTCTTAATGCATATTCTGCAATAATTAGCTCCAACATTCCAATTTTTAAGCATCAAAAAGTCAGTTTGAACTTTCTTTCTACCATAAGGATACATGTGATTTCCAAACTTCAAACACACATATTTCTCAAAACAGCAAAAACTTTACTTGGGCGCCTTGTCCACCAAGCCTTTTAATTGTCGTTCTTTAGACAACAGCTGTACTGAACATCTTACCTCGTGCTAGCACAGGACCCCGTTGTTGATTTTGAAGAAGCCTGTGAGCGCGTACTTCGTCGCGTTTGGGGAGAGGGAGAGGGTTGTGCCTCTCGAGTGTGATAGTTTGACTGACTTCCGCCTGAAAGCAAAGAGAAAAATGAAATTACTAGCCTGATAGAAAGCTAACTTTTCATTTCTTTCATCATCGTTTCTTTCTTCATAAATGATTTATAGGAAGAAAAATTGAGGAAATGAATACATAAAAAGAAGGGAACTAACCCAGGTTATCGGTATGAGAAACTTTTGGTTTCTTAGAAGACGTTTTGGATTTACTGGAGCTACTTGTGGACGGTGCGGTAGGTTGGGCAATAGAGCTGCTTGCTTTTGTTTGGCTACGTAGAGGGTATTTACATACAGTAGTGCCACTGCTAGATGTAGAAGGATTTTCTGCACCTAAGACAAAAAAAATGAAACAATTTGAAAAAACGTTTTTATGGATGTTCTATAAACTTTGAGTTATAATATCAAATTCCTAGATGGAGATTTCCGACCATTTTCATACCTTATTACCAAAGTTGGAATACAAAATAAATAATAGAACAATTCATTGCCTTGGCGAGTGGAATTGGCAAAAGATTTAACTTCATTGAAATTAGCATTCTGTTCTGAAACATTTTGAAACATAACTCTTCTTGATCATCACTCCAACTGCATTTTGCAATGAGGAACTACTAATTCTTGGCTTGCCGACAAAAGTACACAATACGAAAACGGGCTGGCCAAAATTCAGTACCTCCATTTGACAAAGTTTGAAAAATTAAAAAAAATTGAATTTCTCCCTTAAAATGCGACAAAAATGACAAGAAATGGAAAAAATTCCAGACCTTCTTGCGAAATATCCGCACTTTATCAGTACTTCCAGACCTCCCTTTAAAAATCAGTACTATTTACAGACTTTCCGGAAATTCCGGACTTGTAGACACCCTGACCTACCTACAAAGGGAAACTAATGGTACATACAATATTTCCAAAATGAGCCAGAAATAATAGTTCCTCATATTTTGCAGAGTTGACCAAGCTTCTGAACTAACAGTAGTTTATAGCATCTGGTTCTCTTTCCTATAATATTGAGGGTGATTAAAATGAGCCTACGTTAGATTTGAAAAATAAATTAATCATGATGCAGGCCAAATATTGCACATTAATGTCGAAACAAGCAAACAAGGGTTCTGTAAAATTATGTGGGAAAGTGAGAGGGAAAACCATATCAATACAGAGGAAAATGATCATTACTAAACTCCTCCAAAAGGTATGCTCTGGATGAAGGAGTAATAATTCCTGAGAGAACATACTAGAACTAAATTTAAAGATATATATGCGACTTTTTACCTGAAGCAGAAGTTCTAGAATGTTTCTTCTTAGAGGCGGGATGGTTTGTAGAAATGGAAAAGTGTGTAAAACTGCCAGCTGAGGTCGAAGTTGACGATTGGAATTTGACAGAGGCTGGCAATGGTTGCTCGCTTGGCAATTCAGGGTTACCCAAAGAAACTGCAGTGTGACTTGAACTGAAAAATTAATAAGCATAATCAATATACAAGATACAAGCAAGTGCTGCAAGAGAATAAACTAAATTACTCAACTCAGATGGATCTTTTTGCTTCTTACTTAGAAAGAAGGCCTTAAAAATAATAGATCAGTTTTACTTAGAGCCAATTTTAATCTTGATGGTTTAGAGCAATCATATTGTTTTTTGGCTAATTCTGGCTCCATGACTCTCCTTCAATAGCAGTTTCTCGTTTAAAGAGCAGTGTCTTGTCCCAATGTCAAGTATTTTTTTTTTTTTGTAAGCTGTTTTAGGCTTTATATCCGCGGGATACTGCGGCCTTGGAAGGGATTTGAAATTGGAAAGAAATTTTGGTTTTAGTTAAAGCTGGGATGAAAGGGTAGGGGTATCACAGTAGGTCTAGGGATTTCTGTTAGTATTCTGTAGGATTCAAGTATTTAAATAGCTGATGACACTTATGTCTCTGGTTTAAAACTCAGATAAGGAAGATAACTTACTTCAGGATGCGGAGCAAGCGTTTAGAAGAAGCAGTTGGGCACCTCTGTGGCTCCTTTTTGGCAGTGGCAGATTGGTTGCGTAGACTACTTTTTGTTGTCGATGGGGTTGCCTCAGCTACAGAATCTAGATCTAAAGTAGAGGAAGAAGAGGAATACTGATGATCACAGACAGCTCTCTTGCCAGAGCTGGTACGTGCGCTGGGAGCAGACGTGTTCTGAGCAACTTTTTTGACTGTGAATGGACCACCAGATGTTAGGAGAAGCTTGCGGGACTGTGATTTTGCCTCTTTAGGTTTGGGGACTTCTGGAATGCTGATGGCACTCCAGCCAGACACTGTTGCCTTCGAGCTTGTGCCAGAATTCCACGGCTTGCGAAGCTTTGACGAGCCTGCTGTGCTCTCAGCAGCAGAAGACGGCGGGCGACCACGACTTCGTGGCTTAGCCACTGGAGTAGGGACTTCCGTGACTGTTTGTCTCCCGCATTCACTCCTCCTACAAAAGATGAGCGATAACAAAATTTATGAGATAATAATTCTATTTATTTCGGACAAAGTTAAATCTAGAAGGCTTGATGATTCTTAAATTCCTAAACACCAATAGCTAAATACTAGTTCTTCCCTCTGTTGCATTGATCATCACTGATTCTCCTGTAACCATCATTTGTAGATAGTATGTTCTGCCATTTTTCTACGTATATCCTAAGCCCCATGACATATACGCAAAAACTTTGTACTAGAATTCTCTTTTTATTCTACACTCATGGTGGTGTTGCTACTGAGATTAGTTGGTTTTTGTTCTCAGTATATTTTTTCAATTCTTTACTGCCATACATTGAATTGAACAACATAAAAAAAATCATATAAAAATGTTGACAACGAATGTCATCAAAAACTGATGATGATAGGATGAAGGTGACTTACTTGTCCACAGAGCTGACACGAGCCCGTTTAGATTTCTCAACAGCCTTGGGTGGGTCCTCACGATGCCTTTTTCTGCCTCTTTCAGATTCACTCCCCCCTTGCTCGCTCCTCCCGCTCCTATGAAAATAAGTGATAATGAAACAACTGTAGAAAAACATTAGGTACTAAGACTTTCTTTATTTTCCTTTGCTTTCTAAACATTATTATTGATTCAGGCATTGAGGCAATTATATTTTCTGCATCTTCGCAGTGTAACTGGAAAAGTTATGTGCTATCATGGATAAGCAAACAGCATAACCAGAACACTTTCAGCCTTTGACCTAATAATTATACTTGGATACAATCACATGGTACAAAGGCTGTCTCAAAAGAACTGAGATTGTCTGTGAGTTTGCAATTAAAGCAGCTAGAAAGCTGATCTTGGTTGCATTTGAAAGGGCACCTCATTTTCGATCAATTGACACCGAATTTACTTTATGTAAGTACTTACAAAATTTCAAAGTTGTGAGGGTTGGAAAGAAAGAAGAATTCACCCCCTACCGTTTATCCAAAGGTTTTCTTTTCGGAATAGGTTTGCTGGAAAAGTAGAATCCAGTATGTGTTCAAAAGTTGCAAGACCGGTCTTACTCCTTTTAAACCAGACTTTTTAATTTAACTTCCAAAGACAAATATTTATTCCAGGGGGGAAAATGATGTCATTCAGGCATGGATATTCAATTTTTCAACAAAAATTGTGCACATTTTAACTTGCCAAAATGGAGAAATCATTCCTTTCAATGGCCTTAATTTGATTTAAAATGCTCGTAACAGAAGCCTTGCGAAAGTCTTAATGTTTAATAATCATTCGATCTGGATGAACACAAACTTTGAGCTGCACCATAATCAAAAGAGTTGATCATTTTGATTTTAAGTGCCACTCAGAGGAGGACACTGGAGGATCGCCAAGACTGAATATTGTGAAAATGTTCAGAAGTGTGAGTTAGTGGTTCTATACTTGGAGCGAAACATNGGGGGGGGGGGGGGGGTGAGGAACAAGGTTTAGCTTGGGCCCTTTCACTTCGACTATAAGTGGGCAAAGACTTGCAGATTTAAATAAGAACTAGGGGGCTAACTGCATGGCAGTTCAACCTCCAAAAGCGCTTTGGGCTTCAGGCAGTACCTATGCGTCTCGCATTGCTCTTGTAATTTTATACTATGGAGTAAGATTAACAAGAATTTTAAGCACAGATAATGCATGGTAACGCCTTGTGGAATTTGAGACCAAACTATTTTTTAATGCCCTTCTGAAAACACTGGTTGGAATGGAGAAATTAATGAAAATCTAAGGCTTTGGATGACAAGCTGGGCAGAATGACAAGGATGATGTTATTTCGCATTTACTGTGATGGTATGGCCAAATTAGTATGTACTCAATTTGACAAGACACATTACGACAAAGATAAGAGCCCAAAAAATAAAAAGTAACTTACATAGGTATCAACAAATGAATTGGTTCTTACGTGGAGAAGATTGTTTCACTGGAGTGCGCTGTCGTATTACTTGACGATAAATTAGCAGCAGCTGTACTAGACACGCCCCCAAACAGAGATGAAGAATCAACTTGCTCGGCCATAGACGCGTCTCACCGGTTCTGTCGGCATGCCACGGTTAAAAACACCCTTAACCTGTCAAAAACACAGATAATGTAATTCATTAGCAAATACTATTGTCAGTGAATGATAAAACTTAAAATGTACATAAGGGGAGAGCAAAATAAACTGACTCACAACACGTTAATTGCATCAGTTCTGAGAAAATACACACATATTCAAACTGAGCAAGAGTTAGTAACCAATTCAAGCCCAAAAAAAATGGTAGAGGAGAAATGAAAATGTAGAAGAGAAGGAGGTTGTTTTCGATATGACCCGGTATAACAGTTCAAGGTCTCAAAAAATTCAAAAGATTATGGAGTTGAAAATCAGTTGCGAAGAAAAAAAGGATAAAAGGGGGATCAGGCAAGAAATGTAATGCTTTCTTAGAGATGCATCTGGGGTAACCTATTTGGACCACTCCTCTTAAAATTTTAAGGTTAAGATCAAATCCATAGAAAGGCGAGACAAGGAGAGAACATTCAAGATACTTCAATGGAGGCCTTGGGATGTGGAGTTTCCATAACAACTGTTAGTTGAATACCGTTAAGTAGGGGTAGTTTAAAAGAAGGAAAAAAGTCCATCTTTCGTTGTTTTTTAGGAAAAAGAAATAATCTTAAAAAAAAGTTTGAAGATCAACTGAGCAAACACAAGCTTCAAAAGCTTTGATTAACCACTAAAGTATATGCGAAAATACACCCAAAATTAAAAGAAAAACATGGGAGAATAAACCTAGTGTAATTGATACTGTTGTCTCTATTTTTGATGAAATAAGATGTAAGTAACTTTAACTTTAGCTGCCGGTTATTTTTTTTTCTTTGTGCGAGAGAGGAACTTGAAGAGTAACAAAGACTTCATGAGATCAAAAGAAAATTCTATCAAAAGGAGAAAAATACTAACAAGGGTTCATGAAACAGTCATTTCGTTTGTGTTGACAAATACTGGTAATTTTATCGGCAAATCAATTTTTAATTACTTATGTTGTGAACTAATCTCAGATAAGACTAAGCCAGTGAATAGGTCATCATGCAATCAGGTAGTAATATCATCATTGAAAAGTTCACGATAAGAATGAGGAGGGTATGCATTTTTTTATTCACTCAATTTAAATTACTCTAGTTGAGACTGCCAAAACCTGTCTGAAGAGAAGATACTTAATAGGACACAACATAAATGCAGGTCAAGAATGAAAAAAAAAAAAACTGCAGACACTTTAAAAAGTCATAATGTCAATTGGGTATTCTTAGCAGGTGATTTTGAACCTAAATACCTATATAGGAGGGGCCATTGGGATCGACAAAGCAACAGGTACTGTCAGTATTATGAGTCTTTAACAACTTGTAGTTTTTTTATGATAATTAATGACATAAAGTAATAAGACAACAGAGACTGCAAGAACATATAAGAATTACAGGGATTCCGACAGGATTACATAAATTCCCTTTCTGTCATATTCGCTTTTTAAGAAGAAAACCAACGAACACAGAATGAAGTTGAAAGACTGACAGCCTCCAAAACAACTAAGAAACTGACATACCTAAAAATCCTTTAGGAGATGCTTCAAATAATTGTGAAGTGTGATGCTTGAAAAGCAATAAGCAATCAAATTTTACTCTCATTATCTACCATCACAAAGTACTCAACAGTTTTTTAAAAGATGGTGAAGAATAAAAAAAATGTCAAGCATTCATCCCTAGCTGTTCGTTTTCACAAACCAAGAAATAGAACGGTAGTATGACATGGATAGGTTATGTTAGATGAGACAGAAGCTTGTTGATACTAACTAGTGAACTATCTCACATTTTACTCACAAGTCAAGGGATAGTGAGCTGAGTAAACAAGCACGGAGAAAAAAAACTGATAAGACAAAAAAGTTCCAAGAATCTGGACAAAGCGGGACCAATGAGAGGCTGAACCTTAATCTCCAATTAACATCCTTATCTTGGCACTAGGAGGAGGGAACTATGATAAATTCCTTGCAATGATAGTTATGGTTGCTTTGTAAAGAGGGCTGAACCATAACTATATAACAGAGAGTAAGACCAGATTAAATCTAAATTTAAGATCTAGAGGGATCACCTGAGCAGAGAGCAACGCAGTATCAATAAATTGAACCAAAATGCACTAAAAATTAATTAAGTAAGAAGGAACATTGCACAGGAATACCTAATGTTGGAGAAGGGCTTTTTAGGTTTTACAAAAAATTTGTCCTACTACTCATGCAATTTTAGAACAAATACTTCATTAATAAATAATTTTTTATGAGTACAAAAATTCCTTCCAACACAATCTGTGTCATGGAGCAATAGACAAAATTTTATCTTGATACATGATGTTTTGAACTTGATGGGACTAATCTGATATAGGTTAATGTCAATGGTTAATACGATTTTTGTCATGCTATTATCAGGTAGGAAAATCTAGAGTCCGGATAATCAACTGGTTGATCATCACAGGAGGTGTCGGTAGCTGAATGATCATACAGCCCAACAGAGGACCAAAGTATGACAGCTGACCAATCATACAACTCCATTTCAGTTCAGTCTTATCTAAATCCATCAACATGGGCAAGATTTCAACTATCGGCCAGCTGAGAAAATCTCATTTCTTCCATTCAAATGTTAATACCACTTTTTAAGAGGACTGACCTACACTTTAGATTTAATTTTAGTTTGGGCAAAGTGGGCATAATCCTCATATTCAGTAAGTGGTATTTGAGACGATGAGAAATAAGAGCAATGGCGAACATAAAAACCACTGATTCACACAGCCTAGTGAAACCAATGATAATGCAGGTTTAGACAGTCAATACATGAGTAATCCTCGAATACTTATTAGGACTGAGAACAAGCTTACTTACTATGGTTCTGATAGTAGTTAAAAATCTAGCCGATCAAGCATTGAAAGCCCTTCCAGATCCACAGTGGAAGAATTTAAAGGTATTTAGCTTCTACTGTAGGTACTGGGATTTATTTTTTATTTCCCTGATTGAAAAATTGAATCCACTGGTGACTGTGGGTAAATTCTTCCAAAATGACTCAGACGAAATGGTGCGGTGACTCATGACAATGCTTCAGGATAATTATTTCATTGATAGATACTCCATGCATCCCAAAGTTCCTGGCCCATTAAACTCCAGTCATTCAAGCAAAAAACAGGCAACCTGAAGGCTGCTACCCTTACTTAATTAGGAATTTGAGTAAACTGTTTCAACATTATTCTTAACACTCTGACCTTGAGTCGGTGTAACATTTTCAAGGACATTAGGGACCTCCTACGATTTGACAAAATTCCTTCATCCCTCTTACTAACAAAGCAATACAGGTGACTTAAAATTTCTTTCAAATTCCTGCGGGCTATGAATGTCAAAATATCTCAAGTTTCAGTAGCGAGGAAACCAATGATAAGATCTATTCCCTAGATGAAACTTCTGAGGAAACTACTACTAAGGAACCTTTAGAAATCTCATCATAGCTAGAATTTAACAGAAGCTCAATGATCAAAGGTCAGGAATCAGTCTCATCAGAATGATTTCAAGGCCAGTTGCAAGGATAACGCATTCCAGTTTGGGCGATGGAATCAACAAATATGCCTCTCACAGAACATAATAACAACAATGGAAAATGAAGAAATGGAGACTACTAAACCTACAATGAAGCATCAATCCCTGCTGATACTGAGGCTGAACAGCAAAGTGTGATGGTTTAAAATTGATGGTGATGACGGAGCCTTGAATGCGTAAATTAGCATCTCAGAATCAATACTTGACATTCTAGATGACCTGCTGATCCACTTCAACACAATTCTAATATGAGAGCTAGGATATAAATACTTTTCATATGATCTGCAAATGGACATTCAACAATAAAAGTCAAGACAGAATACTCTCTAGAACTTCATCTACTGATCACTAAACTGAGCACTGTCCAAAGACGACTACTCATTACAGGATGTCGTCACCCTAAGTTCAATCTAGAACTCTTGGAATCAAACCTGATCAAACATAAGGATAAACTTCAGCTTGCTGGCGACAGAATCAAAAGCACACTAAGCAGACTCGTTTTCGATCAAAAGACGATGACGATGAAAACTTACAACACTTTCCGAAACTTCAGAACATGAACATTCATTGATAGCGAGGACAGAAGAGATGAAACCCAAGATAAGGTAATGTTACCTGAGAGAGAAAGAAAAATCAAGAACGTAAAAGCATTCAACAGAGGAAAAAAAATTCAGAGAAACAGTCTTCAGAACTCTTCGAGACATAGCAGCTTTCCAAAAACAAAGCAGTTTATCACGCAGTCGGAGATTTGATAACAACAAAATGAAAAGAGGACTCTCCAATGGAGAGCAGATTAAAATTATGAGAAGGAGGAAAAATGAATCATGAGGTGAACATTAAAAGAAACAGAGTTACCAGTGAAAAAAGTGGTGGGCCCATTCCATACAGATTACTTAAAAACTATCAATAAGTACACAGATCAGACAAAGGAACTAAGTAATGCAAGTTACATGGATGCCAGAAAAATCACAGCAGGCAATTACATGACTTACAGTTCTGACAATCGAGACAAAGCCCTGACTACCTCAGGACTAAGACTTCGTGTTGGAGAAAAAATGAAAACTAAAAAGAAGCATGAATCTATTTATAACGTAACAATTGCGTTTTTTCACGACTCCAGAAATGCTAGAGGGGTTCAACTCAGATAAGGGTCGAGGTGATGGCTTCGAAGTCAGAGTGATGAAAAAATCAGTATCTCTGCTGAAATAAGGTAATCACTCCTCATAGTAGCTGGATCAGAAAAGGATATCAAAGGTGAGCAGGAAATAAAAGGAAACTGAAACGATGGGGATCCTCCATTACATGAATCGCGGAATGGACAGAGGATAAGATACAGAGAACTTACTTTCTCGTCTGGAATCACAGGAAAAGTTGGAATTGTATTTAGATAGGTACCTGGAACGTGATCCAACGTAATGAATTTACTGATTCTGACGGTTTTAGGGCGAAAAGTCTATAAAGAAATGCATAATTTACGGTCAGAATTCGGGATTACTTGGTATTTTTGACATTCACGTAGCAGCAACACACTGACAGAACATACAGCCAATACGATACAGCTCACACACAGGTCGCAACATGACTCTCCCCCTCTCCCACTTGTCCCCACGACAGACCTCATCTTGTGCAAAATAGTTCTAAAATATTTTCTCTTTTGCTTCTAAAATATGTGGTATTTTGGGAAATAAACTCTTCCGCGTCCCTAAAAATGGAAGTTAAAATCTGTATTCAGCAATTCTCTATTGCCAAAAAACCCGTCAGAGAAAAAAGTTGAGAGCCAAGGAACAAGAAACTCACTCACCTACCAGCTGTTCATTAAACTTTGATATCCTTCCGCCAACTTTAGCCATAGCAATCAGTCACAGCTGATTCTGAGTAATGAGTCGAGTCTATATACCCTACTCGATACATAATGAAAATCGATAGAAGTAATGGGCACTTGCAAGGTCTACTTTTCCACCTGTGGCTCGCGAAGGAAATATCGTGACAGCATCCGGTTTTACTGGGTAGAACTTAACTTTTCTTTAGCGCAAAGCAAAAATATGGAAAACATACCAAGCCTTATGAGTGTAGCTTTTAAACTCTTAAATTCTTATATTTACACTATAAGTTACTGAAAGCAACACTAACGAGGGAAAGAGAAGATATGATTAGTAAATCGAAAAGAGCCTCATTTTTCTCCCATAAACGCCTCATGACAGCAAAAATGGAAACTTGGATGATGCGCCATTGTCTTTCAAAATAATTTGAGAGTCATGAAATTTCGTGCTGACTTGACGATGATGCCAACAGACGGATAAAGGGGGGGGGGGGGGGGGGAGCGGTCGGGTAGATTTAAGAACAAACATAAAAGGTACATGCAGTATGCAGTGTCATGACAGAGCATTATGGAATACTTACATTTTTTGGAAAAAGAGAGGGAGGGTAGAAAAGAGGGAGAGTGCGATACGAAAAAAGAGGAAAGTAAATTTTTTACAACCTCTATTATTTTAAATTGCGGGTGTACAAATTTTATTAATTGCTTTGGGATCCTACCAAATACGTAAGGAAGGGGAATTCTCCTTCATTTAGGCTATAATGCAATTTGAGTTGTTTGAAAAGTGATAGTTTATTTTGGGTTGGACGCGACGCATTATCATTAGGAATGAAGCGGTTTGTTGGTCGAAGAGGCTGGGTAGAAGTAAGAACATAATAGGTACCTACATGCAGAGTTCAAAGGGTAGGGCAAGGGTAGGTTTGATGATGGTCTCAAACAATGGTTGCTTGGGACTGGTTGTTAGGGAAGGAGGGGGGACGGGACTAAAGCGCAGGATTAGTCCTTGTGGGCTATTTGAAGTATGTA